TGTTCGTGATGCTGAGACTAAAGATGACGAGGAGACTCTCGCCCGCATCCTGCCTATCGTCCAGCAGCTCAAGAGCGAGCTCTTGGTTCGTGGTGTCCGCCGTCTTACCTTCATCTGCGGTCGCAGCGACTGCTCGTACCCCGGTTACTACACATTCCGAGGCCCCGACTACGAGGAAGACGACAGCATCCGTCACAGCGAGCCCGCCCTGTCCTTCCAGCTTGAGCTTGCCCGTCTTGCCAACTTCCGCATCAAGCCCATGTTCACCGAGAACAAGAACATTCACGTGTACGAGGCTGTTGGAAAGAGTGTCGACTCTGACAAGCGTTACTTCACGCGTGCTGTGATTCGACCCGGCCGTCTTCGTGACGAGATCCCCACTGCTGAGTACCTCATCTCAGAGGCTGACCGAGTCATCAACGACATTTTCGATGCCCTTGAGATTATTGGCAACAACAACTCTGATCTCAACCACATCTTCATGAACTTCACTCCCGTCTTCCCGCTTGACCCTGCTACTGTCGAGCAGTCTCTCCAGGGCTTCTTGGATCGTTTTGGTGCTCGTGCCTGGAGACTGCGTGTCGCCCAGGTGGAGATTCGCATTGTCTGCACCGATCCCAAGTCTGGTATCCCTTACCCTCTTCGCGTGACCATCACCAACACCTCTGGTTACGTCGTTGACGTTGACCTGTACGCTGAGCGCAAGTCTGACAAGGGCGACTGGGTCTTCCACAGCATTGGTGGAACCAAGGACAAGGGCCCTCTGCACTTGCTCTCTGTCTCCACGCCTTATGCTACCAAGAACTGGCTCCAGCCCAAGCGATACAAGGCTCACCTGATGGGTACCCAGTACGTGTACGACTTCCCCGAGTTGTTCCGCCAGGCTATTCAGAACAGCTGGGCAAAGGCTGTTAAGAAGCAGCCTGCTCTGGCCTCTCAGCAGCCCAAGGTCGGTGATTGTATTACCTTCACCGAGCTCGTGGTTGATGACAAGGACAACCTCGACGAGGTCAACCGCGAACCTGGCACCAACACTTGCGGTATGGTTGGATGGATCATCAAGGCTAGAACTCCCGAGTACCCCGCCGGCCGTCGCTTCATTGTTGTCGCCAACGACATCACGTACAAGATTGGATCTTTCGGCCCCAAGGAAGATGAATTCTTCCACAAGTGCACACAGCTGGCTCGCAAGCTCGGAATTCCTCGCATCTACCTGTCTGCCAACTCTGGTGCCCGCCTTGGTCTCGCAGACGAGCTGATGCCTCACTTCAAGGTCGCATGGAACGATGCCACCAAGCACGAGGGAGGATTCCGCTACCTGTACTTGGATGAGAAGATTAAGCAGCTCTACAAGGACGAGGTCATTACCGAGGAAGTGGTGGAGAATGGCGAGAAGCGACACAAGATCGTCACCATCATTGGACGTGAAGATGGTCTCGGTGTTGAGTGCTTGAGAGGATCCGGTCTTATTGCCGGTGCCACAAGCCAAGCTTACAACGACATCTTCACCATTACTTTGGTCACCTGCCGATCCGTCGGTAAGTATTTTACAATGTTTCCCTCTTTAGACGTATGTATTTTAACTAACATTCCTTTTCCCAGGTATCGGTGCCTACCTTGTCCGTCTTGGTCAGCGTGCTGTCCAGATTGAGGGCCAGCCTATCATCCTTACTGGTGCTCCCGCTCTGAACAACCTGCTTGGTCGTGAAGTTTACTCATCCAACCTCCAACTTGGTGGCACTCAGATCATGTACCGCAACGGTGTCTCTCACATGACTGCCAACGACGACTTTGAGGGTGTCTCCAAGATTGTTGAGTGGATGGCCTTTGTGCCCGAGAAGCGTGGTGGCCCCGTTCCCGTCATCCCAAGCATTGACGGCTGGGATCGTGACATTACCTACTGCCCTCCCCAGAAGCAGCCATACGATGTCCGGTGGATGATTGGCGGTAAGCAGGAGGACGACGGTTCTTTCCAGAGCGGTCTGTTCGACAAGGACTCCTTCGTTGAGACCCTTGGCGGCTGGGCTCGAACCGTCGTGGTTGGTCGTGCTCGTCTCGGTGGTATCCCCATGGGTGTTATCGCTGTTGAGACTCGCAGCGTTGAGAACATTACTCCTGCTGATCCCGCCAACCCCGACTCTATCGAGCAGATCGCCAACGAGGCCGGTGGTGTCTGGTACCCCAACTCTGCCTTCAAGACTGCCCAGGCCATCAACGACTTCAACAACGGTGAGCAGCTTCCTCTCATGATCCTGGCCAACTGGCGTGGTTTCTCCGGTGGTCAGCGAGACATGTACAACGAGGTGCTCAAGTACGGTTCGTTCATCGTCGACGCCTTGGTCAAGTACGAGCAGCCCATCTTCGTGTACATTCCTCCCTTTGGTGAGCTCCGTGGTGGTTCATGGGTCGTTGTTGACCCTACTATCAACCCTACTGCTATGGAGATGTACGCTGATACCGAGGCACGTGGTGGTGTCCTTGAGCCCGATGGTATGATTGGTATCAAGTACCGCAAGGACAAGCAGCTGGAGACCATGGCTCGTCTGGATCCTACCTACGCTGAGCTGAAGAAGAAGCTGGCGGACAAGTCTCTCTCCATCGAAGAGGCGGAGAAGGTCAAGCAGCAGCTTACCACCCGCGAGAAGCAGCTGCTGCCCATCTACTCACAGATTGCCGTGCAGTTCGCTGATCTGCACGACCGCGCCGGCCGCATGAAGGCCAAGGGCGTCATCCGTGACTCTCTGGACTGGAGCAACGCCCGCCGCTACTTCTACTGGCGTCTGCGCAGACGTCTCAACGAGGAGTACATCCTCAAGCGCATGAACACCAGCTTCCTGCCCACTCCTCAGCTCAACACTGCCAAGGCCAACGAGGCTCGCGCAAAGGGCTTGGGCCTGCTGGAGAGCTGGTCCGGCATTGTCGGCTGGGACCGCAAGGACCAGGAGGTTGCCGAGTGGTACGAGAAGGAGACTCAGTCCATTGGCCAGAAGGTCGAGGCCCTCAAGGCCGACAAGCTTGCTGCTGAGCTGTCTGAGGTTGTTCGTAGCAATGAGAAGGCTGGCTGGAAGGGTGTCCGCGAGGTTCTGCGAGTTATGCCCGTGGAGGAGCGGGATGCTATCCTCAAGTATCTGAAGGAGTAAATGTATAATTAAAATCATCAGGGTGGTTAGAGTTAAACATAATGTTTTAGAAGCGGGTGTACGGGTTACGGTTGATGTTTTATGATAGATGCAACTTTACATGACTTTCTGTTACTTCAACAAGTTGTGCATTCTGGTGTGAGGTCTTGGCCATGTCAATGAATTGTTTGGGCGGTAACTGAATATAGGAGTCGTTGACATATATTACATTCACGCTTGCTGTATCCAGCATATACTAGTCCAAATTGAACCTCTGTTACAGAATCGCCTGGGCGTTTTAAGTTTCATTGACATTAATACTATGGACCCGAGACAATAGAGAACACTAGAGAGTACAAATAACCTTGGCTACGTGCTCGTGTATGTTTTGCGCAGCTTCATTTAGCGTTATATTTGTGACATCTAGCTCCAATTCATATGGCCCTCCGAAGATATAGATCTCTTCCTCTTGCCTGATTGCTTTCAATACCTCCAGATCCATCAGTTTAGTATTAAATCTGGCGCCGCGCCCTTCACCTAGTACTCTTGCTGCATTTTCCTCCAGCTGGCAGCGGAGTACGATGGAAATGAACGGTACGTCTCGTGTATTCGCTGCATCTTTGTAATCTCTGGCACCCATGCTGCCGATCAAGCTCGAAGATCGAGAATCGGTGAAAATCCAGGTGAATTGTTGTATTGTCTCCGATGTGGCAATAGTGTTAAGGATCTGACGCCGGAAGCTCGTCTATGTCATGATAATGCGGTGAGTCGCGATCAACCAATGGGGCAACGGGATCGATAAAAAAAATGGTTGTGGTAAATCTTTGAGTTGGGGATAAGTTTCTCTAGTTCCTTGGCGATGGTCAACTTGCCGACCCCTGGATATCCGTTGATATAAATGTATTGCGGCATGGTATTAGAGGAAGCAGCTTCTCTTTTGTTCAAAATGGTACTGAGTGTAAGCATGCAATTGTTGATTGATACAGATACCCAAGGCTGGTTGGCAGTGGCTATTTGAATAGGCGGCCTATTTTCTTGTTGACTGTGGTACGGTAAAGCAAAAAAGTCTCATCACAAGCGTTTCTCTGATACCTACATGATGTTAGAATGACTCCGATAGACCCTTTACATTTTTTTTTGTTTCATCAAAAAGTATGATTAGATTTTTAAACGGTACAAAAAGTGCGGCGTATGATATAGGTTTCATTTTGAGTTGAGAACTGCTCCACGCAGTATTTCACAAGTGTCTTCATAAGGTTTCTGTTTTTCACAGACACTCAAGAGGTCACGGCCCTTTCTGAACTTTGAGTTTGTTGTTTTATAATGCTTTTAAGCCAACAGGCATTTGATATAGGCAAATAGATCGTATTCAACCCTATATAAGTCCGTATCTCAGTTGCCTGATAGAGAGAACAGGCAAGAAAACAAAAGTTTAATCTCTTGCTTTTAGCGATTGCTACCTTACCTTACTGGACTAATATTCTCTGTTTCCCTCCGTCTGTCCGGTAATTGTATACCAAATCCTATCGCCCATAGTTCAACATCAAGCAGGGTAGTGGCGAATATCTTACAGTACTTCTAGGTCAGTACCAAGGGCCCCCATGAAAATTTACAAAATAAACTTATGAGTGCACTCAAAGATTCTCAATGTACAGTCGGGCTCGAAATTGGCTTCCTGTTTTGAAAACTTACGGCTTTTCTTTGACCCACGGACCGCTCCGGTACTTGTGGACAAGACAAACTGAACCCCCTTTTATCGCATATACAAAAGTACCTAGTGTTCTAAACAATGCTTCCGATTCATTAATACATCCATCCATATCATTTGACTTCAAGATCTGCCACGAACCACCCTGTAAGGCACCGCATCTGCTTCCGCACTCAGCGAATATTCAAATTCCCCCCAATTGAGAAACTTCCCGAGCCAGTATGTTGCACACCCCGACCATGAAAGACATGGCCTCTAGTCGCTTCGTCTCTTTGCGAGGTTGCTGTGCTTGATGGAGCGTGTTCAACCGATGCAGGGTCTGCATCGACATAAGACAAGAGCTCCTTGGTGCAAACAGCTGCCGCTGCAGCTGCAAAATGCTGCCAACTATCGTTTTTATGCGAGTCGGCGTAGTCCGAGATGCCACGGATGATAATGCACGGGAATTCGCTCATTATACCAGCCGCTTCCATCTCGAGACAGAGCACGTTTCCCAGACTCTGAACGATTTCACTTCTCTTCATTGCGCTTTTCAGGACGCGATCGCCCGACGCAATCAGCCCGTAGTGGATCATGGGACACTCAAACTGGCGCGCCATCCTGTCGATTGTCTGAGATGGGTCGCAGTCAGCACAGGAAAGGGCACCGGTTGGATGCCGGTAATCCTCGCAGTACAAGACATCAGGCTGTGATGGACGGTTATAAATGGTAAGCCGCGGCCACTTATGGACCATGGCAGACAAGTACTCCTGGATCTTGTTGTCGAAGACCAAGTGGTCAGATCGCATCTGCTCGACGGCGCTCCTCAGCAAGGGAGGCGGCGGCCACAAGAAGCCCTTCAAAAGGAAGCTGGCATCCGTATCCTTCCCCATATCATACTGGACAACGCCGCCATGCATTCCTTCAGGCATGCTAACGACCACGTCCCCCAAACGGATGTCGTTCTTGTCACTAGGAACTCCACCCCCAATGCCCACAAGGAAACGCCATTTGATGGACGGGAACGTACGGGACATATTGGTGGCAACGGTTGCAGCGGCGCCCTTCCCCTGCTGGCCGGGTAGGCAGGCGAGGACGACGTTGTGGCCGTGGAGATCGCCGAGGGTGTACATATTGGAGTCTCCTGGTTTTGCCGGCAAGCGGTGGTGTTCTTGGTCTAGCATAAAGCGAACAGCGCTCATTTCAAAGCTCATGGCGCACACCACAGCGACGGTGTAGGCATTGTGAGTCTTTCGACCCGAGAATTTTGGTTTCATAGTGATAGTTTACTGTCCTACTCGTATGTGCCGATAACACGGCCTTGCTGTGTGAAGCGCATGAGATGTACATCAATCAACAGCCGTGTGGGGCATGCCGCTCAGCCCAAAGTCGGGTGCCTATACATGGGACAAGGCTGTCGGAACAATCGACAAGCTCTGCATGCATAGACCAAATGTGCCTCACCATTGCGATTTCGCCGCCTGAAACTGCCGTCTTCATAGTCCACGACGCGACCAGCCTGAAGACGACGGGAGTCTCCCTCCTAGCACTAGCACGAGTCGAACCTCTTCTCTCATGTCGGTGGATCAGCGGAACGACAACAGCGGGGCCTGCCGGACGGAGACGCTTGGACGGGCCGAGTTTCATGGGCAGGGCATCCAGCACACCGGCCCGGGATCTTTCAACGTCCGGGGGGACGTCTACATCGGTAAGAGCTCGTCTCAAGTTTCTCCTCCAACACAAGGCTGACAGTTCGGAAGGCGCAGAAAGTCACGGAAACGACGGAGACGACGAACTCCTCCGCGCGCTGCGAACAACTGATCCTCGCGGCGACAAAACGCGCATCGTGCGGCAAAAGGGCGGCTTACTTGTTGACTCGTATCGATGGATCCTCGACCACGACGACTTTCAGCAATGGCGCGACGGCGAGGAGACCCAGCTCCTGTGGATCAAAGGCGACCCCGGCAAGGGCAAAACCATGTTGCTCTGCGGCATCATCGACGAACTGGAGAAGGCCGTGGAGGACCACATTGCCTACTTCTTCTGCCAGGCGACCGATGCCCGCCTTAATAGTGCAATGGCGGTATTAAAGGGCCTCATGTACCTGCTCCTAGTTCGGCAACCAACTCTGGCTGCACGGGTGCGAGATAGGTATGGTCATGTCGACGAGAAACTGTTGCGAGAGGTCAACGGCTGGGATACGCTGTGCAACATGCTTCTCTCTCTACTGCAGGAACCTGGCGTACAAACGCCATACCTGATCGTGGACGGTCTAGACGAGTGCCAGACGGGATTCAGCGAGCTCCTTTGGCTGATCGTGAGACTCTCATCGTCACGAGCTAGAGTACTCGTGTCCAGCCGCAACTGGCCCAGCATCGACGACGGGCTGAGCGCCGCCACCCTAAAAGTGCCGCTCTGCTTGGAGCTGAACACGCAGGCTATTTCAGCCGCCGTGGACACATACATCGGATATAAGGTGGAGCAGCTGGAGCGGTCGAAGAAGTACGATGAGGAAACAAGGAAGACCGTTCAACAGTACTTGGCATCCAACGCCGACGGCACGTTTCTGTGGGTGGCCTTGGTCTGCCAAGAGCTAAGTGACCCGAAAGTTCGCAAGTGGCACACGGTTGGGATGCTCAATGACTTCCTCACAGAATTCCCGTCCGGACTTGATGCGCTGTACGTACGGATGGCGGAACAGATATTCAGCTCACGCGACGCAGAGCTGTGCCGGCAGGTTCTTGCCGTCGCATCGGTCGTGTACCGGCCAGTCGCTTTGACCGAGATATTATCTCTTGTCGAGTCACCGGGTGACTTCCCTGACGACGCTGGCTCGTTGCGGGAGATTATCGAACTATGCGGCTCTTTCTTGACTCTGAGAGAGGGGATCATCCACTTTGTGCATCAGTCGGCGAAAGACTTTCTCATGAAGAAGGTATTGGACAAGATCCTTCCGCACGGCCACGATATTGAGCATAACATGATCGCGACACGATCAGTGCAAATGATGTCGAGGAGACTCAGGCGGAACATCTACAACTTGCCGTCGCCGGGGTTCTCCATCGATAGGGTCAAGGCCCCTGATCCCGATCCATTGGGGCCGGTCCAATACGGGTGCGTGTACTGGGCTGATCATCTTCGCAATGTGATGTCAAGAATAAACAATCACTACCTCCAGGATGGCGGATTGGTTCACAGGTTCTTGGCCCAGCACTTTCTACACTGGCTCGAAGCCCTCAGTCTCCTCAGAAACATAGGGGCAGGGATTGTGGCCGCAGCGCAGCTTTTATCTATGCTACGGGTCGACCTTCAGGATGAGCAAGGCTCAAGGGAGTCTGATCTAGCAAAGCTAGCGCACGATGCGTGGAGGTTCATACGATACCACAAAACGGGAATTGAGGCAGCCCCGCTCCAAGTCTATGTCTCGGCGCTCGTTTTTAGTCCGATATCAAGCGTGGTGAGGAATTTGTTTCGGAAAGAGGAGCCAGAGTGGATGCTGACGATGCCGTTGATGGAAGAGGACTGGAGCGCATGCCTGCAAACGCTCGACGGCCACAGCGACGGGGTCAAGTCGGTAGCGTTCTCGCCCGACGGCAGGCAGTTGGCATCGGGGTCCAGGGACGGCACAGTCCGGCTCTGGGATGCGGCAACTGGTGAGAATCTAAGGACCCTCGGGCGCCACAGCGATGGCTGCGTCTACTTGGTGGTGTTCTCGCCCAGCGGTAGGCAGTTGGCATCGGTGTCTGGGGGGATACGGGTGTGGGATGCGGCGACGGGTGGGTGTTTAAGGACACTCGAGGGCCGCGATGTAAGGTCTGTGGCGTTCTCGTCTGACGGCAGGCAGATAGTATCAGAGTCCAGCAACGGCATACATATATGGAATGCAGTGACGGGCGAGTGTTTAACAATGCTTACGGGCTATAAATACCCTGTGTATGACAGTGTTAGGTTGGTAGCATTCTCGCCAGACGCTACGCAGCTAGCATTGGGATCAGACAGAGGCTTACAGATATGTGATGCGACAACATACGACTCTTTTTGGATACCCAGAGGCTGCTATGGGGTTATGTCTGTGGTCTTCTCGTCAGACGGTAAGCAGGTGGCAACGGCATCCAGCGACCGCACAATACGTGTGTGGGATGCGGCGACGGGCGGGTGCCTGCAGACGCTCGACAGCCACAGCAAAGAGATCACGTCGGTAGCATTCTCGCCCGATGGGAGGCAAATAGCATCGGGATCCAGCGACGGTACAGTCCGGGTGTGGGATACAGCGACGGGCCGGTGCCTGCAGACCCTACAGGGCCACGGTCGACGCATCGTCAGGTCGGTAGCGTTCTCGCCTGACGGTAGGCAGTTGGCATCGGGATCGGAGGATAACAGGGTATGGTTGTGGGATATAACAACCCGCCACCAAATGACGCTTGAAAGCCACAGTGGCCCGGTCAACTCGGTGACGCTCTCGCCCGACGAGAGGCGAGCGGCATCGGGGTCAGACGACGGCATGGTCCGGGTGTGGGATGCAGCGACGGGCAGGTGTCTAAGGACATTGAAGTACGATCATCACGGCTGCTGGGAGATCAAATCAGTAGCGTTCTCGCCCAACAGCCGGCATATAGCATCAGAATCCAACAGCCCAGTACGGATATGGGATACAGAAACAGGCGAGTGTTTATGGACGCTTAAGTATGGGGTTATGTCTATAGCCTTTTCGCCTGACAGCAGGCAGGTGGTAACGGGGTTCACTAACCGTACAGTCCGAATATGGGATGCGGCGACGGGCAAGTGTTTAAAGACGCTTAAAGGCCACGACCGCCTTGTCCACACGGTAGGGTTCTCACCCGATGGCAGGCAAGTAGTATCAGGGTCACACGACGGCACGGTCCGGCTTTGGGATGCGGTGACGGGAGGGTGTCTGAGCTGTATAAGGGCGCTCGGGGACGACGGCCACTACACCGGGCCTTGGGCATTCTCGCCCGACGGCTACTCCATTAGGTCTGTGGCATTCTCGCCCGACGGCAGGCATGTGGCATTGGGATTCACCGACGGCACGGCACAGGTGTGGAATGCGGCGACGGGCCATTTGCAGACGCCTGAGGGCTATGACGGCGAGGGCCATCGCATATTATGGGACCCGGCTAGGCTCCGAATCGACTCTGTTGTCTACGACCCCCGAGCACCATCTTTCGGCGACACCAGTCACTCAATGCAAAATAACAACGCCCTCCTCGAAGGCATATTGCCAGGTATGCGCATCAGCTCAGACAACAGCTGGATCCTGAACGACGGCGAGCGGGCTCTTTGGCTGCCCACAGAGTATCGGCCATTCTGCATAGCTTCATCCGGCAAAGTCCTTGCTTTGGGCTACCGGTCTGGTCGTGTTCTTTTATTCCGCTTCTCATGAATTGTAACAATCATCCGGACCTGCTCAAACCAGAACCTTTTGGTTGAACAATGGAAGTCCCAATTCCATCATACAAATATCTAGGTTTCCATCCATTCGAGCTCCCACTGGTGGAGAGAATATGTCGAGCGTCCACAATGCCATAGACTCTAAGTCTCGATCCGTGTCCCGTTATGAGGCGAATTTCAGCCTGCCGTTAATGTCAAACCGTGGCAGTGCCAATCTCTTCTCGCTTCTGTGTTCTTATCAAACGACGCGCAGTCGAGCAGAGCGGTGAGCAGACCAGGCTGGCGCAATAAGGACCTTGGTCCAAGGAACTTGGTCCAAGGGAATTTTTGATGTCCAGAATAACCGTGAGCGCCCCAAACGCTGCCGTCTCCGCTTACCCAGAAGATGAAGTCGGCTTCGAGATCCCATGCTGCTATGCAGAGACCGCTCTCGGAATTGACGTCGATGACATTGATGTCGTCTGCAGCTACCGATTCGATAATTTCATGTAGTTTTACCATTTTTACGTCACCTTCTGGGCTGATGAATAACAAAGATTCTGTGTATGGCATTGGGTGCTGCCAACTGGTCCGATCTCTCTGGAATTATGCATGCAAACTATTGAGGAGACTATACTTTAATGAGCTAACAACTTACTGCACTGTGTGGCTTATATGTTGTGCCATCTATTCCAATTGGGGTTCAAGTAGAATAGCCCGTCATCGTGAGGCTTAATAGTCTGCAAGAAATACAATCTTCCAATGTCACTATGCATGGTACCATGGTGTCAGATGAGGAGCCTAAGCTCCCTTCAGCTACGGCGACCTATACTTTGGTCGTACCTATGGCATTACAGGCATTTGTCATGGCGGACAACTTTGCAGCCAGCCAGTATCAGGCTGCGCCTATTGCCCAGCCTGACTATTCTCAGCTACACCCATAAGATGGCGAGATAGGCTAAGCTCTGATGGATCAGCTAGACACATCATTTTGAAGATTGTAGGCTTGCTACAGTTCGCGCTTCGGCGATCTTGCAACTGGTCAGCCGCGTCAAAGTCTCTCTGGCATCTACCTAAGCTGTTGTCTGCCTCACATATACCGAGCGAGCATTACAGCAACGGATAATGCAATCAGGATTGACGAGGCATTCGAGAGTTATAACGTAACCATGTGTACGGGCGGGCTCTATGCTTCTGTCCAACCGGCCCCCTTCATTTTGAATACTATCGGCATCGTTTAAGTCTTGTTCACAGGTCAAGATGTTATTTCGCTATTTCGCTGGAATAATTTCTTGATCTCTCATGGGAGAATGATAGCAGTTCTTGTACGATAATATCATACAATTCCCATTGAGGTATATAAATGGTGTAATCCAGTTTTTAATTTTCTCTCAATGCTTCTTGCAGGGCTTTGGTGGGCGCACCATGAAATATGGTTCTCAAGATAAAGACAAGCCTCAGACCAATGGACCAGGAGGCGCTACAGAATGTTTCATCTATTTACCAGATCACTAAACTATATCTGCACTTGGTTAAAACTAATTCAATGTGTTCGGGTAATTGCCGATGGTTAATACATGCTATGAGGGCATATGACTGCCTAATGCGATATTAAGAGTGGTTTCACTCTCAAAGCATCACATATAATTGGCCAAAGCTGGTCCAATAAGGTATCAATGAATATATCACGGGGTCAATACGCCTTATCGTCGATCTTGTTGCGGCTCTTTTGTTGGTGCCCAGCCGGCATGAGGACAAGTTCAGCCTCATTGATGCCCTACCAAGTCCCCCCACTCCTCATTAACATAAATTGGACAATCATATAACGCATATTTCTATTCTTCGGAGACCTATAGAGGTAAAAACTTGTACGTAATTTATGAACAGGAAGATGCAATTTTGCCCTCCCTTGTGCTCCCTCAGCCTACCCGCTCAAGCCAGAGGTTACAATCTGCTACTGTCCAATTATGACATCTGTAAAAAGATCTCATACTGACTATAGAGTGGGATGGATTTGCGCTTTGCCAAAGGAACAGACGGCAGCTACGGCCATGTTAGACGAAATACACCCGAACCTGCATAAGCCTTCGAATGACACAAACACCTACACGCTCGGCTCAATCGGCCCTCACAATGTTGTTATAGCCTGTCTGCCTAAGGGACGATCTGGTAACGGTTCTGCGACCAATGTTGCGACACTCATGATCGGGTCATTTCCTTCCATCAAAATCGGGCTTTTGGTTGGCATTGGTGGGGGTGTCCCCTCAAAAGTGAGACTTGGCGATGTGGTCGTCAGTACCCCGGGTGGCCAATATCCTGGCGTAGTCCAGTGGGATTTTGGTAAAGCGACAAATGGTATATTTGAGAGAACCGGAGCGTTGAGTAATCCGCCAAATTCTTTGCTAACTGCCTTGGCTAAACTTGAGACGGAATATGAGCTGGAGGGATCGAAGATCCCTCGCTTCCTTGAAGAACTCAAGGAAAAGTACCCAATGTTGCCGAAGGGGTACTTTGAGTCTGATTCACTTCGAGATTTGCTTTTTAGAGCAGATTATTCTCACGTCAATGGCCCTTTCATGGATGCCAAAGGTCCAACAGACGGGATTGCCGAGAAATCCCAGGAGGAGGCAGTTGAAGAAGGGCCGGAAGAAGGTGGAGAGGTGTGCCAGTTTTGTGATCAAACGAAGATTGTGAAAAGAGATCATCAACCGATACGTGTGCATCATGGACTTATCGCATCTGGGAATAAAGTTGTTGAGGATGGCTTATATCGAGATAAGCTAAACGACACACTGGGAGGAAATGTTCTCTGTTTTGAGATGGAGGCAGCCGGATTAATGAATAATTTCCCGTGCTTGGTCATTCGTGGTATCTGCGACTACTGCGACTCACATAAGAATAAAACCTGGCAAGAGTATGCTGCCGCGGTAGCAGCGGCATATGCTAAGGAGCTACTTGGTTGTATCCAACCTAGCAATGTTGAGGATGAGCAGCTCATCAGGGATGTTATAAATGAGGGTCAGTGGTTTCTTTATTCTGCTTGTCTAAAATTTGGACATTCTTCATGATGGCACGATTATAATATCCTCATCACCGCAGAAGAAAAGCTCGAGCTAATGGAAACATCAGGAAGGAAAGAAGACAAGAAGAAGCAAGAGGAAATTCTCGATTGGCTGACATCTCTGGATTTCCATCTGCTGCAGAACGATTACTTCAGGAAATGCCAGCAGGATACAGGACAGGAGTTCATAAATTCAACAGAAGTCCAAAGATGGATATCAACAGCCAAACAAACTTTATTTTCCAAAGGCGATCCGGGAGCCGGAAAGACATTTCAAATGGCCATTCTGGTGAACCATCTGCTGGAAAATTTTAACCAAGAGAATGTTGGGGTCGCTTACTTATACTACAACTACAAGACACAGCAGAATCAAAAACCAGAGCATATGCTCGCAAGTCTTGTCAAACAACTCGCCCAGAGTTCAAAGATTTTCCCCAAGGGGCTATACCAGCTGCGCGATCGACACAGCCCTACGAAAACTCGTCCTTTTCTCGGTGAACTTTCCAATGCCCTTGAGAATGTTATTCAGTCTTTTTCGAGGGTCTATATTCTCATCGATGCTCTTGATGAAGGGGATGATGATGACCGTACGACGTTTCTGCGTGAGATGTTTGCCATTCAAGCAAAGACTAAGCTCAACCTATTCGCGACATCTAGGCCTATTTCGGCAATTGGGGCTGTATTTAAAGGAAGCATATCTAAGGCCATTTCTCCCTCTCAGGAGGATGTTTTCCTGTTCCTCAATGCCCGCATGTCCGGACTACCACAATTTGTAATCGATGATACAACTCTGCAGGGCGAAGTCAGGGTGGCTATTGAATCAGCCATCGGAGGAATGTAAGTACTGTGCACTAGCAAGACGTTGAACAGATTCAAATATTAATCTCTGCACCTAGGTTTCTCCTTGCCCAACTCTACATGAATGCTTTAATGGGCAAAAGATCACCGGATGCGCTACGGGAAGCGCTTAGAGATCTACCACATGCTTCATCGTCAAAAGATAAGACTAGCGTATTGAACCAGGCTTATGACAAGTCAATGGAACGAATACAACAGCTGAAAGGAGATATGTCTTCCGACGGATTATTCATTATCTCTTGGATAGTCAATGCCAAGCGGCAGCTGAAGTTAACGGAGCTTCAAGAAGCACTCGCTATCGCTATCCATACGAATAAATCTGAGTCTCTCCTCGCTGTTAATATCCGCGCATTCAAACTAAACAAAGACAGTATCCCGACGGTTGATCACATCACCGAATCCTGTGCGTCATTGGTAATAGTTGAGGGAGACATTGTCAAATTAGTTCATTACACGGCGCAAGAATATTTTGAACGATCACCCCACAGTTCAATGACCAACTTCCACGAAAATTTAATGACAATTTGCATGACATATCTCTCCTTTTCAGGTTTCCGAGATAAATCTTGCCGATCAAAGGAGGACCTCGACAAGAGAATTGGAAAGAATCCCTTTTACAGCTACGCAGCTGAGTTCTGGGCCTATCATGCAAATGAGGCTATAAATCGTGGTCTAGAAGCTTCTAGGGTTATTGAATTCCTTGAAAAAGGCCAAACCCGAAGATTATGGTACCAAGATCTCCTGTATGGCCATTCACAAGAAGCTTTTCGTCCAGAGTTCATTCCGGATCGGTTGACAGCATTGCACGTTGCGGCTTTCCTTGGCATGCGACAGGTAGCTGCAGAACTAACTGTAAAGGGGAGCAGCCCGAATAGCACAGACTCGCTGCTTCGGACGCCGATGTGGTGGGCTGCATGGAGTGGGCATATTCAACTCGTCAAGTTTCTCCACGATGAAACCAGCGATTTTGAAGCGAGAGATATGGAATATGGCTCGACACCGTTGCTGATAGCTGCTAGGCGGGGCTATGAGAAAATAGTTGAATGGCTCCTTCATAAGTACGGCCTAGAGTCTAAAGATTCTTCTGGTTGGACATCATTAAATGTGGCTGCCCAGTTTGGGAAGAAGGCTGTTTTCGATTTGCTCATCAAAAAAGGCGCAAATACAGAGGCCAATGACAACCATTTCCAAACACCTCTGGCCATTGCTGCAATGAACGGGCGCATGGACGCCGTTTCATGGCTTGTTGAAAAAAGAGCTTGCATTGAAGCGAAGGATAGCAAAAAACGAACGCCATTGATGTTGGCCACTATTGGAAAACACGAAGATGTTATCAGATATTTACTTGAGAATGGCGCCAATATGCAAGCTATGGATGACGACAACCAAACGCCATTAACTATGGTGATAAAAGGAAGGGACAAGGGTACCATAGGACTTTTTACCAATACTGGCGACTATATAAACTCGATTATGGAGAACAGGTATACACCTTTAACCATGACCATCAGCGAAGGTGATGATGATACTACTAAATGGCTAATTGAGCAGGGCGTCAACTTGGACAAGCAAGATGGGTATGAGATGACTCCTTTACTTACAGCCATTGAAAAACAGAATAATGACGCCATCAAACTCCTCATTGAGAAAGGGGCTGGTTGTGAGGTCAAAGGAAGTCTGGATGGCGATACACCCTTGATCTCGGCTACTAGAGAAAACCACGGGGATATCGTTGAACTTCTCATCCAGAAAGGAGCCGTTTTGGAGGCTCAAACAGAGCGGTTGTCTGGTACCGCTTTGATATATGCTGCTCGAGCTGGTTACACGAATATTATTCAGTCGCTCATTGAAAAGGGCGCTAATGTGGAAGCTGGGGACCAATACGGCAATACACCATTAAGTGAGGCTGCTGCTTGGGACCAGGTTGGCGCTATTCAATTACTACTCACCAATAACGCCATGATCGAAACCAAAAATAACGACGGTCATACGCCACTATGCAGAGCTGCCAAGCTTGGTAGAACAGGGGCTATTGAGTTGCTCCTTGCGAAGAAAGCCAACATTGAGGCCAGAGATAATAACGGTCGCACACCGCTAGGCCTAACTGCTGAATTCTGGAAGCCCAGGTCTACTAAATTGCTACTTGACAACAATTCTGATGCAGAAGTCAAAGATAACAATGGCCGCACACCGCTTATGATAGCTGTTACATCGTTACAATTGGGGAGCACATATGTTCAAGGACTTGTTGGCTGCAGTTACCTTGGATTCACCCGGCATAGGACAGATGAGACGGATGAATGTGTCCAGCTGCTTCTTGACAGTAATGTTGATTTAGAGGTTACGGACGATTCGGGGTTCACTGCGCTAGTTTGGGCTATTCGCGGAGGACGAAGGTCAATCACAAAACTACTTCTCAATTACAGAGCCAACACAAGCTATCGAGACGCCTCTGGGCGAACATTGATGCATATCGCAGTTGAGAGAAGAAATCTCGATCAAGTTGAAGTTTTACTTGAATTTGAGACCGTTGGTGCCGACGAAAAGGATGATAATGGCCGCACGCCTTTGTCGCGTGCAATGGAATACAAGGAAGAAGCTATTGTGAAAGCGCTGCTTGACTCGGGAAAAGTTGACGTTAACACAAAAGATGACAAAGGATGGACGCCACTCCGGTATATAATCGAACTCAAATATGTGCCAATTATGAAAACGCTACTTGGCTACAAAATGGTGGATGTTAACACAAAGGATGATAAAGGACGAACGCCGCTGCTACGTGCAGTAGAACTCGGCGATTCATCTATCGTGAAAGCATTACTGGATTCTAGAAGGCCGGACGTTAATGCAAGGGATATTGAAAGACGCACGCCACTACGATACGCAATAGAAAAAGGAGATGAATCTATTATCAGAGTCTTATTGGATTGTAAAAATGTGGGCATCCACAAAAAAGATAACGAGGGATATACGCCGTTATTATATGCGATGAAACACAAGAAGAAGTCTATTATACAACTTTTATTTCATAAGGGAAGAATCAGTGCGAATACAAGAGATAAGAAAGGGCGCACACCGCTATCTCATGCAACGGGGCTTGGAGATAGGTCTCTCGTGAAGGCACTACTCGATTTCGCCGAAGTCGAGATCGACGCAAAAGATAACAAAGGCCGGACGCCTTTGACATATGCCACCTCGTGCAGTGTGGCCAAGGTTCTGCTTAGAACTCAAAAAGTGGATGTGAATTCAAGAGACAAACAGGGCAGAACCCCTATCTGGTATGCTACTCAGGCTGGGAATCACAAGCTCGTTGAGCTGCTTGTACGACGCGGTGCATATGATGGCTCCGACGCAAGGAACATACGCCGATGGGTTGATAATGGAGCGCGGCTTGTGTTCACCTCAAGTGGTGGCATCAGCCTATGGAATTGGATCAGGTCTTCACCTCTGCTCCCACGTTTCTCATACTTTGCACACCATTTCCTTACGTGGTCAGCCCTGAGCTAATATCTCTGCACTGAGACATCGTGCATGCCAGATAGCCTTTGCTTATGCATTTCAACTTTATAAGCAATTTCTTATGAGAAGTGTTTGCCTGAGAATCGAATAGTGCATTAAATAGCATGAGTCTTGTTTACAACGTCTTGGCGAAGCAACTCTTCCTTATACATGGCAATACAAATGGACTTTGTGCGTGGTTTGGGGCAAAGATGCAAGATAGCGTCGAATTGTGTGTTGAGAAGAGTGATGTCGTTGTATTGTATAATGAAGGAAGTGTGAAAGAAGTAGAGATTTTATTATTATTATATTTGACTGAGATAGTTGGGTAGGTAATTCGCTGTACTATTACATATGTAATGATGAGTTCATAGCAATTACAAATTTGCGGATAAATGCATTCCTTTTAGGTGGCACATTCGCAAGACGTCGCTTGCCTACCAGCTAATAAATTATTAGATCTTTACTTCTTCAATTGAATCGTTGTTATGTCTATCTGTCCCTATTTTGTCTTCATTCATCCTCAGGCGGCACCCTCGTCCGTATCTGCACTCCATGCCATTCCTTGACAAGATCCCCCAAAGCAGCATTGACCATTCGCTGCTGCTTGAGCATATTGAGCCCCTTGAACGCAGGCGAAGTAATATCAATCGCATACATGCTGCCACAACCACCAGATATATCCTGAACAAGAAGCGACGTGGGGTTAAGCTTAGCAGCTAAGATAGCCGCAATCGACGCTTCGGCCGGTGACATGTCCGCCTCTTGTTCTTCTAGCTGCTCATTTGAAGAAGGCGAAGAGTATTTCTTAGGAGACGTAGCATAGAATGGGCGAGATGTCGTTGAGGAGAGGAAGCGAATGCGCTGGGGAGAGGCTCTGGCAGTGGCCTTGAAGGTGTTTGCGACAGGCGCAATTGTCGTGCGGGAAGGGCGCGAGACGGACGCGAGGAGGCGCAGACGCAGTGCGGAGCGGCAGGAAGAGCAGATCATGATTGCGATTGGCGCTGATTCTGCTTCGTTTTGTAAGAGGAGGTTGAATTGCTGAGATTTGGTGGCAGAGAGAGATGAAGTCAGTGGCAGAATTATTCAGCGGGATGGAATGCGGAAGCTGTAGCGCACGATGGGCCGAGCCGGGGCTTTGCCGACCGACTCTTGCCGAATCCAAATTGCCGGATTCAGCAAGTATTCGGACGAGGAGCATTCCAGTGAGTGCATTAATAGACATATTGTTTATCTGATCTCTTAGAGTATTAATCATGAGTAATATTAGTTATTAGAGCGCATATCACGCTGTGCCAGCTCCAGCTATCCCATTCCGCTAAACGCCTCAAACAAAAATGCTCCTAGAAATACATCACATAACCAATAAGCCACTTACACAGAGTAATTCGAATCATCTCACAATCCACATCCCTCCATTCCCATACGCCTTATCCTGCAACGTACCAGCCTCAGACCTCACTCCTGCCCAATGCAAGGGTATCTTATCCACCTGCGCCACCACCTTGCCCGTCGTGTCATCCAGCTTCTCCCCAAGACTTCGGCTGCTCTTCACGCTCTTCATCATCGCAACTGTATCATGCGGGCCCCAGGCTGGGCGATCTAGACTAGCAAGGGTGTTGACAACGTCTTGAGAATGTTCTCCTGCGAGATGTTCTGGTGGGGTGTTGGAATGGGCAGCGGGGTGGAGAAAGCCCATGAGGAGGACTTTGACTTTGGCGTCGACAAAATGCATGCCCTCAAAGTCATGAATGATGTGTACCATGACACTGTTCTTCATTGCAACAGAAGGAGGTGCGTGTCTGGACGGCGCTATTGTAACGACGGCTTCCAGCCAATCCGTCGGTAGCATATCGTCCAGTCCTCCACTCGCATCATCATTACTGTTCTTTGGAGTTTGTATGCAAGCCCATGCAGCAAACACGCCTCCCATACGAACCTTGACCTGATCCGACACGCCACTCAAGTTTGCCGTCGGGATACCCAGTTCAGCAATTGATCTGCCCGTACCTCGAACAACCTTTCCATCGAATTTGACAGGAAACGGCGCCTCGGGACCGCTCTCTGAACCAACCATTTGGATCACCGGTACATTCACCATCAGAGAATCATATCTTTCTTGCTGATCCCTCTGCCGCCGCCAGCTATCCTGCACTGCATCCCCCATGCCAGTTATCTGATAACTTTGGTAAGCCATTGTGCCAGCCTTCTTCACTGTAGAATTCGTCACAACGCTGCCCACTTGACTGTTTACCACCGCGCTCGCCACGCCGATATACTTGTTCGCCATGGCCTGCCCTATCGTACTGGCCACCTTGACGCCCATCTCTAGCGGCATCGTACTCAGACTCGCACCTCTCACGACACTAACATCGGTAGACGTACTCGCCACGCGAAATACTGGACTCCCGCACAGAACCTTCTTGCCAGCTTCGGCCCCTGCGCAAAGAACAAGGCGAAAGTACCCATCCGACGCGGTGGCGGGAATGCGCACGATGTGCGTCTCTCGCGGGACGTGATTCTTTTGGCGTCCTGAGGCCTTTTTGGTGAAGCGCTTGAGATCACGCTGGAGGCTGCGCTCGTCTGCCTCGGATGTGTCGCCCACGTTGGCGCGGCGGGCAGGGGTGACATTAATCCAAGATGAGGTCGTGCCAGCTAACGCCTTGAGAGCCATGCCCATGTTACCAGAGTAGCCCTTTTGCTGCATCCAAAGGGTTCTCGTAGGGGGCAGAGGCTCATCCGAGAGGATTGTGATGGAGACTGAAGTAGAAGGACCAGAGTACCAGATCAATGCACGGGTATGCCGGATAATGGAGTAGTGACGCGTAGACTCTGAAGGATGAGAAATGAGACCCGAGGCAAAATACTGAGCTTCTCCAAAAGCAGACTTCCAGATTGAATCCTGCTGCTTCGTTTCCACAGGCAGAGTGACCGCCTGCTGCGGATGCGGCGAGAAGCCAGGCGAAGGCGGACCTCCGGCCGGAGCCCCGGCAGACAGCGCGGAAGAGCTTTGCGCACGCCGCAGAGGCAGTTCCGGCGCCGCTAGAGATGGAGAATGGCCCGGATAGGGTGGCGGAGGAGGCAGATCCTCGTACGGCATGATGCTGGCGGGAGCAGGGAGCGCCTCCGTACTGGTCTCCCGGGGGCGAACTGTGGTGGCGGATAGAGCCACGGAGGGAGGAGGAGCAGAAGCGGGATCTTGTTTGAGATTGGCGGCTGATTTGCTTGGTCTTAGCTGCTGACCGCTTGCCACTGGTGCTGCCGGCGATGCAATTGATGGCGATGGCGGTTCGTCCGTATACAAGTCGTAAATGTCTGCTTGGTGGTCATATCCAGGCGCTGGGACGGGCCGCCGCCGTACGGGGACGGGCTTACGCGCGTATCCCATGCCAGGAGATGCCATGATAACCTTAGATAGGGGCAATAAACAATAGCATTGATCAATTATCCCTGGCAATTATAAAACCCGGTGCGGTGGGTGATGCATCATGTCTTATTTCGGCGTTGGGCATCGGTTCCCGAGAGACCGGGTCAGTCCAGTTGGTACATAATGGCTCTCCCGGGAAATGGGTCGTCAAGGGGGGCGTTTGTCCGGACTCGGTGGGATTTGTCCGGCTTAATACATAGTTGGGGTTCTGGACCGGGGCGCGACAAGTTTGCACAGTGTCGTGGACAAGGCCGTGGATGGAGGCCTCGTATTGGTACGCGTAACCAGATTCGCACCTCAGCTTGGCTTGGACCAATTTCGTATACATTAGTGTGCACAGAGCGAGATTGATATCATCATTTGGTCATTTCTTTCAATTTTTTTGGTCTTTGTCTTTTTTACATTTGACGCTATGGAAATGGCTTGCTTGCGTCCTCTAGTTAGCCGCCATGAGGGCCTCCAACTGGGCCGGCTCCTTGATTGCGGTGGTGAGGTTTTCGTAGCCCGTCTCGGTGATAAGAACATTGTCCTCGATACTGTAGCCGGGTTAGTATGCTAGTCTTGGGATGAATCACAGTGGATGGAAAGAGATCCCTGGCTTACCGAACACCGCCCACGTCCCAGTATTTGGCGAGCACGTCTGCGTCAATGTATTTGCTGTGCTCAGGGCTTTCCAAGTAGGGGTCGATGATGAACTTGCAAAAGTAGACCTGCGACCGTGTGAGATTCAAGTACACCGAAGAAGAAAAAAAATAGCATGGAACTACTTACACCGGGCTCAACCGTAACAACACCGCCGACGGGGAGTTGGCCGCGCAGGCGCAGGTTCTGGAAGATGACATCGGGGTCCTGGCGGTTGTGGTTACCGCCAGTGTCATGGGTGTCCATGCCCAGGTAATGTCCCAGGCCGTGGGGGAAGAAGGCCTGGCTGGTTCTGGCCTTGAAGATCTCGTCCTTGTCGCCCTTGAGGATGCCAAGTGCCAACAAGCCGTCGATGGCGACCTTGTGGGCCAAGATGTGGGCATCTTCCCAGTAGACACCGGCTTTGAGGATCGCCATGGTCTCCTGTTGCATCTTGTAGGCGATGTCGTAAATCTCGCGACCCTCTTTGGTGAATTTGCCATTGAGGGGGAAGGTTCTCGTCTTTGGTGGCAGGGTCAGTCGCAGTCACATCAAAGCTCAGTTTGCTTCATGATTTTCTAGTCGGCAGAGACAGAAAAAAAAAAGAAGTAGGGCATCACTTACGATATCGGCGCAATAATTGTCCCACTCGGCACCAGCATCAATCAACAGGTTCTGCTTTCCTGCCAACGGAGCATCGTTGGTGATGTAGTGAAGAGTCGCCGCAGCAGTGCCGCCGGCAACAATAGGAGTGTAGGACTGGTTCTTGGCGCCGTTGGCAACACATCGCTCCAAGAAGACAGCCTCGAGCTCCCTCTCGTTGGACGCCTTCTTTGCCTTCTCGACGACGGCCTTGTGCGCCAAGCTGGAGATGTGGTTAGCCTTGCGGAGCATGGCGACCTCGAACTCATCCTTGACGACTCGAGAGACCTCGATGGCTTCCTTGAGGAGGGCGAAGTCCTTGTTATCAAACCCAATGAAGGTGATGTGATCTGAGACTTGGCCGTTGATGGCGTAGATTGTAGAGTTGGAGTTGGTGCTGGAGACGTGAGCCAGCGTGGCGTTGACTTCGGTGGTGAACTTGACCTCGTCGACGTCGTACAGCTTGAGGGCCTCGTCGATGGTGGTCGGCAAGCCAGACCAAACGACATCATGAGGATCGATCGGGGGGATGAAGAGCGTCGACTTGGCGGATTGGATGTCGTAGGTGAAGTAGCAGTCGGGCAGGTTGCAGCCGGTGAGATAGTAGAAGAAGCGACGCTGGCTACAGCACCAGGCCCAGGTTAGCAGATACATTCAACGGCATCGAAGGCATTTCTGTCGTACCGGAACGGCTCAGGAGAGTCATTGTCCTCGAGCAACTTGGTCATGCGGCCCTCGAGATAGAGAACGCCATTGGCCTTGGGGTCCTTCTTGCGGATCAGCTCGACGACGCGGCTGGCGTGCGCCTTGCCCGGGTACTTGCCCTTGAGCACGGCTTCGAAGTCTTCGGCAACCATCTTTGCTTGGTATCGATGCGACGAGTGGGAGAAGCAGCGATAAGCGTGGAGAGGAGCAAAAGACGGCAGAGAACGGATTTGGCGATGATGTTTATGGTGGGGGATTACACGTACAGCGCTGGCGCGGGGCTGTTTGGGTACCTGTACTAGCAATGATAGCAAAGTTGGCCGATGGAGAGGTCGCAACGCTGCGAAACCGGACATGGAGCAGGCGGACAAGGCCAGAGTGGGTGTCTGGAGCATGCAGCGTCTGCTTTACAGGTCCATGGATTTCTCTCTTCTCCAGACGGGGTTCCAAAAAGTTCCATCATGAGGCCGTCGATGTCGGGGTACTTTTTTTGCATCTCGGCCGTGGGCTCCGTTTTTGCCGAAGACGCATCAGGTTCCGTAATAGCTCGTGGAGCTGCAGCGGCTGTGGCGCAGATAAAGATTGACTTGCAGCTTTGATAGGTGCTTTGCTGCGCATGGCACAAAATGGCCGGTTTCATTTACCAAAAATCAGATGAAGGGGTTTGTGTTTTGTTGATCAAAACGGTTGTCTAGGTATAGCAACTACCTACACAGACACACACCAGCACCAGATTCATCCCCAGCTAGGAACAACTCATCAACCAAGAGCCCTGTAACAGCTTGTAAGAGCCCTGTGGCAGCGCTGTAAAAAGTGTGCCGCGAACTACTGTAGACCCAAGTTAAGGCAACCCCACCCGCTGGAGCTGGGCGTCTCCACAGCGGCTGCCAGCGGCTCATCTCGCATTACGCTATCACATCGCCATAGGTACTGTAGGTCTCCAACTGAGACTTGAGCTTCAACTCTCAACTCAACAAGCCTTGCTGAGACACGCAGGATTGATGGTGGCATATCTCTATCAGATATCATTCTCATCCTACGGAAGTAGAGTGTACTATAAACTACATGACCTCACATTAGCGCATCAAAGATGCAAAGATCCGACGGCCAAGGCAGATCCATGTATGTCAATATTACAGGGGAGGCGCACAGACAGCTCCCAAGTACCGGATACTTGGGCTGCACCACTGAGACAGGGCGTTGTTGTCACAAGCCGCCCGTGAATGAATGTGATTCAGCGGGATCTGGGGGCGTGCGAGTCGAAACTCTTGTACCTGTATACATTCATGTCACTTGTAAATGTCCCGTCCTCCCTTGCATGAAGCTTCAATCGTGCGATCCCCGCAGCCAATCAGGCTCGCGCACTGCATGAGTAAGACGGCACGTACCTTCTCCCACGACACGTACTCGTATGAGTAAGCAACGAGGACTACGTCTCGCTCTCTCCTACCTCACTTCACCTACCAGAGCAATGCGACAACGCTTCATTTCAATGCAAAATTCCTCCTCCGAATTGCTTCATTGGTCATCTTTTCAACGACACGCTACTCGCACTGAACATCACCAACTGTGTACTTACTTTCCAGATACCGGGTGCGTGGAGCCCTGTCGAAATGGTCCCCGAGCTGGATGGGAGATATTACTCAGCTGCATCGCCAGCATCACGTCTCCCTACATAACGACAGGCCCATAATGTCATCTCGCAGCTCGCAGGCTCAGTTCAGTCATGTTTTTCGAATGGCGCCGCATCGTATCTAGTTCCCGCCTCTTCCTCGTGTGACAGAGCCGCCCTTGACGAGTCTCTCCTGTTTTTCATTCATGCCCATGAGAGTCTCACTCCCACCGCCAGTCAAATGATCAAATGTTTGAGACCTGCCTCATCATGCCAAGCTCCGCTCTTTTATCTCCGACCTTATGTTGCGGAAGACGGTCGAGATCGCTTCGGTTCTACTTCGTGTGCCAAGTCCAAGCTGCCTCGTCCGCGGAGATCTATAGTCTCGTATGGGGCATGTGCAAGCAGAGCGGATCGCGTCTCGAGAGAATGAGAGACAAACATCAATAGCGTCAAATCTACTATCCAAAAACACTGACTCCTACTGTGCTCACCATGGCTTCCCTAAACGCCACGGCCGGCCACCTGATCGCAAACCATTGTCCGCGCAACACCATGCTGCCTGGAAATCGCTCAGGATAAGGAGAGCCACGCGCGTCATAATGTTTCAATAGCCCATGTCATGTCTCGGCGTTCTTGATTAGCACACTCGCACTCGTACTTGTTGGGGCATGCCTGGACTCTCAGTTCCGTGGACAGAAGGAAATCTCTCGCTCAGACGAAAGACGGGATGCCCTGGCTCATCACACGACACTGCGTCTAATCAAACACCCAGAAAAGCAAAAAGCCTCCATGTGACAAGACAGAAATAGCATCAGGATGACATCTGCCACACCTCGCCGTCCCGTCCATACACCAAGTTCCCTGGGCCGATCGCGCAGCCATACCCGGTACGTGGAAATTAGTGCAGGGCCACGGCAAAATGGGCTGCCCAGACAGATCAGCCAAGCTTAGCTGAGATCAAAGATGGGAGATCTGGTTCTGCCATCTGCCGGCCACGCTCATCTTTCAAAACGTGGCTTTGTTTAAGGGACGACACGAGACTGTGAACGCTCCGTCTATTGCTCAATGTCTTTGCCCCACGAGCCGTCGTTCGTCGGCCGACTGCTGACATCGCAGCAGCCCGTGCTCCGTAGTTGTATTGGATACCGAGAAATAGTGCCAGCCGATCTGGTACTCCGTACCCTTGCAACGGATGGACACCTGATCTATTAAATTACGCCACATGTTACACAACCCCCCTGCTTCTCCGGAGCACCTCCTCCCATCCGTAAGAAACAACTTTTAGTAAGGGCAAGAGAGATCACAAGAGAGAAAGAGAGAGAATGGACGAGGAAGAGAAGCCCCAAGATCTTATACTCTAAGTTCTAAAGAGCATCAAAGATGTTTGTGCTGGACACTTGCCATGGCTCTCGGGGAAAGGGGGGGGGACAACCGCCGATACCTGTGAGGGCTCATCTGGCCAGGCCACATCTCCACCCTTCCATCCACCAGCGGGTCAGTTTGTACTCATACAATGCCAGGAGGAGATGAGCGGATCTAGATTGCCCAGCAACCCGCCAATTGAGAGGCCAGAAGCCATCATGGTTGGCACACAAGACAGTGTCTCACGGCACATTGCCACGTTTTGTCGGGACTTGATGCATAAACCTATATAAGTGATTTTCAATGTCGATCTCGCCGGTAACCAATCATCTCGAGAATAGACACGGCTGGATTTCCTTTCTTATCCGCCCAGCAAGACATGGCTTTGAGACATCTATCTCTTACGGACTACTAATTGCCCAAAGCCCCCCCAATTCCCTCTCAAGAGATTCCCAAGCCGATCCTCTCGAAAATGAGGCGAACTGTCTTGGGCTCGTCGGTCCAGGCCCCTACAATGCTCGCAAAGAGTGAACAAGAGGCAACCAGATGCTCCCAAGCCTCCCAACCTCACACACGGAAGCACCCGGCTTCCACACGCAAAGTACCACGCAAAGAGGTGAAAGGCGACTTCAGTCATAAATACAGAGGACAATACTGACCTTTAGGTGACTTCTAGACCATCACCCTCTGAAAGATACCCACGATGCTTGTCCAACAATAGGCAGTGGCATACGAGACCGTGATGCCATCAGGCTCCGACACCCGCCAGGGACAGTCTTTTGCTACATGCCGCCTCCGATTACTACACTCCGGAGCTTCCCCCCCCCCCCCCCCCCCCCTTCATTCTATGGTTGCGGTGGACGTACTACCTCGCGTACAAGAATACCCCAACCCGACCGGGAGGAAGACTGAGGGCACAGGTCAATGGCCGCCAGCGCAAACAATAAGTATTCTCTTCCCATCACTTCTCTGACCCAATATATTTAGCCGCACATCTGCCAGTGCAAGCCTGTAGGAACGAGCGAGGGGGTGTGGCAGACGGGCTACGTCTTAGTCCAAGATGCTGCATGCACGGCCCTTGTCCACACCCCGGGACTGAGGGCTGAAGCCGGCCGCCTCTCTGGGCTCTGCCATAACCGATCTACCACAGGGGTGTCAGTATACTCTTAGGCAAAGTCTCCCCATCTAAGACAGACAGACATTACAAGATAGCCATCTCGGCGTCCAAGCTTGACAAGCAGCTTTGCACCCCCCCTCCTCTACGCCGAGAACCGGGAACTATGCTAGCCCTTTCAGCCTCATCAGGCACAGGTCATCTCTCGAACCGAGTAAGTGTCTGCACCGCAATGGCTCGCGGAGATTTAGCCAACTTTTCAGCTTTTGGGGGACTGGAAGAGGAAATCATGAATACCACTTTGCGACCCCTGGAAGCAAAGCTGGAGAGCAGGGACGAGACCAAACGTGGGGGGAAGAAATAGGTGGACGAACGACCAACCCGAGAGCAAGCTCTGGTGTAAGGGGGTCTGATGGTCGCTTGGAGAAAGATCGTGTGGAGAAGCACAGCCACTACCACCACTACCTTTGACGCCTGTCACTCTCTCATCGGGTGTACTTGACATATCTGCTGACACCTTTCACGATGTGCTTGTCAAGAGCAGCCACTCTCTCTCGCTACATCCGATTCGTTAATCTGGGAGATTAGCGCCTTCCGGGCTCGCAAGCCGACATCCAGATCTACCCTTGTCGTCTTTGACAGAGGCTATCGTACACGGATTGCTTTCACCCAGACCCCGGCCTCAACAAGAACTTTATGTCACTTGTACTCGGGGAAGAGACCCGTGTATTACATGTGTCTGTGAGATGCCCTCATCTTCCTTTTTCCTCACTGCGATGAAGGTTGGGCTTTCTGTCGCCGGCAGAGGCTAGCGCATGCCGTCTCTGAATCAGATTTGTACAAATTGTACAAGCCACTGCGGTGAATGAGATGAACACAAACTGTCTTTCCGTGTCAGTCTACGAATATATAATGAGGCCCTTTTCTCGCTCATCTCGTCGAAAAATTCATCCTCTCCAACAACTGAGATCTACTTCTGCTCACTTCTCGACGATCTTGCTCTTTTTTCCATCCATCTACCAAGTCTTTATCTTATAAACCCTCTCAGCAACAATGTTTAAGGTTGAGATCACCCAGCGCCCTACTGGGGCCGAGGCTGGCGAATACCTGACCCCGGCCATTATAGTCGAGCATCTTGCCCCGAATTCGGGTAACCTCCACTTCGCACAGGCGGCGCTTTTCAACACTAGTGGAGGTGAAGCAAAAGGCATTGCGGGGATATATACTGAGTCGTGTGTTGACAAGGTTGTTGGCGAGGGAGAACCTGCTACCCTGGAATACACCTTTGCCAATCTAAAGATCTCAATCCCCGGCGTTTATTACATTCACATAGATGTATACGAGCACCAGGGAAGTGGTGCAATTCACCAGGGAGGTACCAAGCTGGGCCCAATTATAGTGGTGCCTGAAGTGCCTAAGATGCCTAGATCCTCGTAGGTCCAGTATCAGGTAGGTTCATCTATCACTGCAGACTTTCCTCTATTCATGAGATGTACTAATTATTTCTTCTTAGCACTGCTTCTGTCGGAGGTACTCAGCTGGAAGCCCGACGCTGGAACTGCTTGGGAGGTGCTGTTTAGCACCAAGGGAATGTTTGGTTTACATCCATAGCATAGCGGCTTTAGATAATACCCGAGAGAGCCTTTTGCCTCTATCAGTGGAGTGTGGGCTCTAGAGTAATAACAGCATGGTAATAACAGCATGGTAATAACAGCATGGTAATGCATAGAAGAGTGGTTGGTTATACCTCTTCAGCAGGGGGTCCATCGGAAAATATGGCCTGGATTAGATAGTTTAGATAGATAACTGGGTTTTACACTGCTACAAAGTCCGCTGCCGTGATGCTACTGTAGCAAGCCAGCCATGTGATTGCTACAAGGCAGGGTGTGTCTCCCTTGCTCGGAAACTTACTGTAACAGGCTACAATGGACGCCTCAGCTTTGGCTCTTGATCGATCATATGGATCAGAGCAGAGCCATGACCATGGGCATGGACCTTGTCCACACCATCAGACACGGCTCAGATTGACGAGTTCCCGTGCAACCAAGATGCAGCCACCGGAGGTGAGATCCGTACCGCCTTCCAGGCAACTCTTACTCGTCCACCTAGACCCTGCAAATTGAAACCGGGGAAATAGCCGAGGCCAGGCATGCCGTGAAAATTTTTTGGAAAAAGAAAAACCATGTTTCACTCGTACGCGCCTTGTAAAGTGAGCTAAGCAGATTTTGTAGCAGGATTGGCAGCCTGCAAGCAAAGTCGCCGTGTTTGCTGGCGGGCTGGAGGGGCTGGAGAGGCTTTGTACGCTTGAAAATGTCTCTTGGGAAGATTCGAGAGATACACTGTCAGGATGTTTATTGGACTCGCTTGAAGTGATGAGTTTGGGGGCCAGCAAGACTGAGACAAGCAGAAAAGACTGTCCTCAGTGGGATGTCAAAGGGGGGGAGGGGAGGGTCGAGATCGCAACTGCGAGACAGACAGACAGAGAGAGCGAGGCGGAGACAGAGATAGAGGGGGGACAAGAAAAAAAAGGAGGAAGAGGGTGGTCTTGTCTTAGATGAAGCTGAAAGAGATGTGTGTTTATTCTCGAGATTTGGAGAAAGCCACAAGAGCCAAAGCGTCAGTGACAAGGAGGGGGACGTCCGAAATCTATCGGGATGGGCTGTGGTTGGTTGGAATACAGGATGCGTAAGCGGATTTTGTGCAATTTTGTCTTGTCAAATGGATGGGTTTTATGCAAATATTTGGTCCTGTATGGGTGGCTTTGAATGCTGTGTAACCATCGGTGGAGAGAGGGATGGGAGGGGGGAGGGGGTGTCATTTTATTTGCTGGCCTCTTTTTTTTTGGTTGTTTTTTGTGAGTTGTGAGATGTTCATGGGTGTTCAGGTGCTGGATAAGACGAGATTGCGTTTCCCGCATTGACAGGGTTAGTTTTGTCTTTAGTTTATGCCGTCGGATGAAAAAGTCGTGGAGTTTCACCAAAGAGCTGATGTATAGCAGAGGGAGTGCGTGTAAGAGGCCATCGCGGACGCAACATACAGTGCTAATTCCTCGCAGTATTCGTACTGTATGCCGCAAAGCCCGAGATAAAAGGTGGAGTCACGTGTCTCACAAGTTGGGTGGCCCCCACCGGCAGCCTTTCTTTTGCCTTTTGAGTTGGAAATAAGTAAGGGAAAACAAGCTTTTGGATGAGAGCAGGTTAGCGGCGTCGAAAGAAGGATCAGGATCTGCGGGAGAGACACAAGACACAAGACACAAGACGCAAGATAGATCAGGAGACGCGGGAAAAGAGGGAAAAAAGATGGTGTATTACTTCACGTCCAATGTCGTGGAGCCCGCGGGCTTCATCTACGTGGGCAAGGACAAGTTTGAGAGTGAGTTTCCGCTCTGGGCCTCGCTGAATGGATGAGCTGTGAACCCCTGACGCTTCGGCTCTTTGCTTTCGTTGCTTTTTCTTAGACGAGGATCTCATCAAGTTTGGCTGGGAGGAAGATGTCTGGTAGGAGGCTGTGCCCCCCCCTTCCCTTCTCTCTCACTTATTGGTAGCTGACACTCTCTGCTCTCTCTCTCTCTCTCTCTCCAGGGTATGATGAAATAATCCCATCTTCATTTTCTTACCCAGTTGAAGGAAAAGCAATGAGAAATGCTCACATTACGGCTCCCAGTTTCACGTCGACAAGCTCTCCAGCGCCCACATCTACCTGCGCATGCAGCCGGGCCAGACATGGGACAACCTGCCCGAGGAGCTGGTCATGGACTTGGCACAGCTCACAAAGGCAAACTCAATAGAAGGTTTGTCTTTTCAAATCCCATCTACTTCATCGACAACATCAAGACTATAATGATGATGATGATGATGCTAACCGTCTTCACAAAGGCAATAAAAAGGACAACATCACCGTCATCTACACCCCCTGGTCAAACCTCAAGAAAGACGGCAGCATGGACGTCGGCCAAGTCAGCTTCCACGACCAACGAAAAGCAAGCCCTCTCCCCCCCCAGTTCCACAGACCACTCCTCCCCAAGAATAAGTACACGTCTAACCGCGAGCAATCAAACAACACAGGTCAAGCGCGTCCTCGTCCCCCATCGCGAAAACCCCATCGTCAACCGCCTCAACAAGACAAAAGTCGAAAAGAAGCCCGATCTCAAGGCCGAGAGGGACGACATGCTCAAGGAGCTGCGTAAGAGAGAACAGGCTGCCCAGCAGATCAAGGTACGCTACACACTGCCTCGAACAGGGCAACTGTGTTTACCACCATTGGATTGGATCATGATGTGACTAACTTTCGAACTTGACAGAAAAAAGAAGAGCAGCGACAGGCACAGGAGTGGAAGGAAAAGAAATGGCAAAAGGATCACGCGTATGACGACTTGTTTACCGACGAGAACATGGCTGCGTCGAGTAACCAAGACCGGGCGGAGGACTGGGAAGAAGACTTTATGTAAAATCGATTTCATTGCTACAGCCATCATCTGAAGCGGCCAGTAAAAATAAAGAAGAGAAATACAAAATGAATACCATTTCCATAGCTGATTGCTCCTTCAAAAGTAGGGTATACAAAGACTACAGCATTACCAAAAAATTGTAACGAAATCCAAGCCTAATCTATCCAACGCCTTTCTACACGTTGACATCAACCCTTCGATTGCCAATCTTCATACTGTCCATCTGCCTCGTGATCCCCGGCAGCTCAGAAACCTCCAGTATAATCGGGCTTGATGAGGTAACTGGCGTCGCGATTCTCTTTGGGCTCGATGGCTGGCCCACCAGAGCTGGAGGCATGTCATATTCCTCCTCCTCTTCCTCCTCCTCCCCCAGAGCATCCTCATGGTCCTCTGCTAATCGACGCGTGTGGTCAAGCTCTTCGGGGTCGTGGAGCATTACAACAGGCTCGCCACCCGGTAGTCGCACCTCTGTTGCTTCCAGAGTTTGCGCAATGTCAAGGAGCAAAACATCCATCGGGCAGATATAGGCCACATGCTTACGCTGACTCCAGGCTAGCACGTGTCCGCAGAGCTGCCCGTGATGCCGATCGACAATCCAGGCGCCACTGTCTCCCGGTATGCCCAGAGGAATTGAGGGTTTTGAAGAAGGGCCTGATGCCGGAGACGGCGTGCTGGCAATTTGGTACGTATGACTTGGTGACTGGCGTCCATAAATCTTGACGCTCGTCAGGGCTGGCAGAATCTGTCCGGTTTGCGTGCCACTCGTTCGTGCGACACACTGAACCTCAAGACCTGGAAGAGAAGACCATGGTGCGACCGTTGTCGGCCGGAGCATTTTCTTGCCCAGCGTACGCGATCTTCGGTTTGCATCATCAGAAACCTTGGGAATATAATTGTCGTCTGGCAGGCGCCCGTCGGCAAATTCAAAGAGGGCCCAGTCAACCTCGTGCACCAAACCGTTGGCTTGCTTGCGGCGGATACCACTCGAAGCATACACTTCGCCCAGGCTGTATGTGTCAAGATGATCTTCATCTTCAGTCTCAGCATAAGGGTAAAATCCTTCTTCGACGTCATCCAGGGCAGGCTGAGTGACGATGTAGCCATCGCCACATCCAGGCTCTATGCCGGGTATATCACCAGGCTCATTGTACTCTTCGTCTTCCTCGTCTTCATCATCTTCATAGTCGCTAGTGAGGTCCGTCTCAGAATACGGCTCTGATTCTGTGTCGGATAGCTCGTAGGAGAAGTCTTCGCTGTCAAAGCTTCCAAAGGTCGACTCAGGAAGCCACTCCCGGCCGGGAATGGCGCTGCTGCGCATGGTATCAGGAAGACCAAAGTCTCGATCCGGATCATCGAGCATGTGATGGACAGTCATTCCATATATCTTGTCATCGACGATGACGAGGCCGCCAAAGCTCACAGGCGGCAAGTGGCGATCTCCAATCCAAGCTCCAATACTTGCACCGTTATTTGGCCTCTCTTGATACTCAGGGTTCACAGCTTCGGCATGGTCATCATCACCATCATGATTCCCACCGGACCTGCTTCCCCGTGCCATGGATCTCATGATTGCGCCCGCTTGTCTCCGTGATCGGATGACGCTGCCACGGCAAACCTTGAGGCCAAAGCCTGTAGTGTCGTCAAAGAGTTCACTAAGCTTCTTGTTCAGGATGGCACGGACTTTGCCGACCGATGTGCAGACTACCAAAACTGTAGGTCTGGTCTGGTGAGGGCTTGGGCCAACAGACTCGAGAGATATCTCGACCGACTCCGGGTGTTTGCGATAGAATGACTTTAGAGCAGTATTGATCTGTGGCATGAGAATGGAGTTCCATTTCTCCACCACATCAGGAGGCAAGGGTACATGGGGGTATAGTCGAACTTTGGTCTCAGGCTTGGCTTCCTTTGTTTCGGGCTCTGTTCTTCTGTTAGATGTTTTACCCCCTTGATATAAGGGGAGAGTAATGATAACGTACCATTTGTCTCTATGCTTTGATCTTTGGTATAAGTTGGTGCCGGCTGCGGAAGCGGCTTCTTGGCAGGGGTCACAGGCTCTGCAATTGACTTTTTGTCTTTGACGTCTTTCGATGGTCCGGCAATAGCTAATTGGGGGGCTTCCACGGGAGATGGCTCCTGACCTAACCTTTCCTCGAATCCGCTGACACCATCTAGAATGCAGCAGGCTTCCAGGAATCGAGTGACGCGCATTTGAACGGCCGAAAGCAATGACTCCCCTTTAGCCACGCCGGAGAGCTCCTCATCGACTACCTTCCAACAGGCTTGGACGGCCTTCATGTACAACGTACCGCATCTGATAGCCAACGTGTCTAGAGCAGATTCAGGGACAGTCGTGGGCGCTGCACTGGGCGCAAGATCTTCCAGCTTCGTCCACAATCCAATAGATAGCAGTATCATCGCCAAGGAATAGACTTCCAGGACTCTCTCATCAGTAGATTGTGGAAGAGGTGACGCCCGTGCAGCTCGAGGGTCCAGAGGATGCCGCCATATCGAGGTTTCGGGTGAAAACTCTTCAGTAAAGACGTCAAACGATGATAGCACTGGCCGACGAATATCCACATGGCCTTTCTCATCGCCAGGGCCAGCTGCAGTAGCTCTGCTGAATGAAATGTTGGCATCGGATAGGTTGCCGTGAGTTATTCCTCTAGCATGCAGGTCGAATACCGTATTTGTGAGGTTATACGCAAATCGAAATTTTGCTTCCAGTGGTGGTTCTGAGCCGCCGCGAGCAAGGAGATCACTCAGAGTGGGCAAGCTATACTGAGGGTTTTGACTCACTTTGCTGGAAGCGAGAGTGTTGAACGAAGGGGGAAAGAGATATACCAGGCCAAGCCGAGAGTTTTCTAGGTCTTCAAAGTAGCCGAGTAGACGAGGTAGACCAGTCCAAGAACCAGGGGCCCTCTGAGGATCTTTCTGAAGACCGGCCGATAGCTTTTCGAAGCGAGCCATTGGGGGCATAATACCCGTAGTTGAATAGATGGGGTCAAAGTTGGCATACTCGAGCAGAAGAGGGGCCCATGGTTGTCGGGTAGCACCATGGGTTGTAAGCTCGGAGTAGGCTGTCTTGCTCATGTAGACAACGTTTCGGCAAGACGCAGATATCGTGCTGAGTCCATCTTGCATAGGTTGTAGGTGTGTCAAACTCCTAGGGTCGATTTGCTGGGGAGTCTGCATCCGTGTTGACTCGAATGGTCTAAAGTCGCCCTCAGCGGCGGCCGACTTGAAGGGTGACTTAGTCACCAGGTGATTCGCGGCATCAGAAGAGCGCATTCTCGACAGGTCGTAGAGGGTATCAATGGAAGCAGTGAGGTCCCGAATAAGATCCTCGAATCGACCCTTGTCCCATTGGACCAACGGTGCTTTTCGATCTGGCGATGGGCGAACCCCCTCAACAACTCGCTTATAGCTTAGCCATAGAGGTTCAGCTTCCGCAAGGATATCCTTGATAGTGGACATGATACTACCAACGACCTCACTCAGGCCGGCCTTGGAGAGAGACTCATCGATTTCGGCAGACTGGTTGGGATCGGACCACTCCAGTCCCCAGCTGACAAAGCGATCCTTTTGGATGCGTAGTTTGCGATAGAGCGCTTTGATCTCGGGATCATCTTCATGCTGGGCAGGCTCTTTGACAAAATCGCTAGATTTTTTGGTGTCATTGTAAAGACGGCTCAAGCGACGCTGAAAGGGCAGCTGAAAGCCGCCCATTGGCAGAAGTCGTTCCATCTTTGGCTGAGCGAGAAATGGGGAAAGGCTGGATGCTGCTCCCCCCCTATCGCTGCCTATATATTGGAGATTTGCTGTTGCCTGAAGGGGACCCCGTTTGATAAAGTCGAGCGCTTGCTATCAGGCGCTGGGACGGCACCCGGTTGGATCAGGGATACTCAAAGCGGATCTAAGCCGGAATCTCGCCTGACCTTGACGCTGCAGCTGCAGGGCGGATAAGAGTCTGCGACGTTTGATTCAAGCGCGATGCATCGCAGCGCTAAGCAGCGTCACAAATGTCCAAGAGCGGCTGTGACGAGCAATTCGTCAATCGGGCAACGGGGGTCAGTTGGACCTTATGCAGGCGCCTCTCAATGCACCCTCAAGGATCCTCAAGGGACAAATCCAGTGCTACTGTACGGCAGTGAGCACAAAAAAGTGGCAGCAACTCCTCAGAAAGGAATGCGCCAGTGCGGCCTCGAGGAGTCGGATCAGGCAAGCGAATTCTGCTGTCGTTGGCCTCGAGACAGGTCCAAGTCAAACAAGCCAGACAAGACACCTCAGAACGGATTGGACGGGCTAATGCGCGATCCCCCAAGCAACGTTCGTTATCGACTCGAAACTCGCTGCCTTGCGGTGGCACAGACAGGCACGGACATTGGTTGATTGGCAATCCATCCTATCACGTCGCCCTTGTCGGCTCTCCATGGACTCGCTCACGTCCCCGCAGCGCTGAGAGGTGGGGGTTCCAGGTAACCCGAACGAGAACCGGCGAATCCCATCGAGCAAGAATCCTGCTGCCTGGTGTCGTTGGTGGCGACGCTTGGTGCTGATTGGAGGGCCAAATGAGACTGGGGCTGGTTCTTGGAGTTGGCGTGGGCTGGAGATTTGGAGATGCTGGAATGCTTGGAATGGTGGCGAGCGGGAGCACGTGATGTGCTCACATGATTCTTCACATGACTCTCATCCTGCTACCTTCTATACAGATTGGCAGAGTAGACTACATTCTACGATATTTGATGTTGCAACAGTCACGGATTACTTGATCATTGTGCAGGCCATGTGTAAAATGTCAAGAAAAAAGAATACCATATACTATTTTCGTTTCGCTATTCCTATCCCATAAGTACCTGATCATGCAATCACATCATCCCCCCTCGCTTTATTCACCCACCTACGCATACTTGATGGTAAACGCAGGGGACTCGCTTACATCCCAATCCTCCTTCTTCTTCTCGTTGCCGAAAATGCGCAGAGCATGGAAGACGGCCTTGTAGGTTCCGGGAGGAGCAAACTTGTTGTCAGTCAGCTCGCCGCTCCATGAAAGAGGAGTTGCGCCACGGCTCGCCCAGAGAAGAGGCGATCCAGCGGGCTGGCCAATGGACGTGGTATCAAGGAACTTGGTTGTCTTGACCTTGGTGTTCTTAGGAGGAGCTGACAAGAGCACAAGATCAACGCGAACGAGCCGGGAGCCGAAAGCTGGGCTGACGACAAGGGAGGGGAGCACGTCGGTGGACTGAGCGTTGCCTGGGGCGGGGATAGTGAAAACAGTGCCGTTGTCGACAGGGTTCAGATTCTCATCGGTGGACTTGCTGATCCATGAGTCTGCCGGGTAGAGGACCTTCTGCTTGTGAAGGGAACCGGTGAGACCTTGGTATGGGACAGAGAGGGCGCTGCCGTCTGTACCGTTGACTGTGATGTAGCCAGACCACAGGCCAAGGCGCTTTGCGTCAACGCCTCGAGGAGGGGTAGGAAGGACATCAATGGTGATGGACCTTCCAGCAGGGAGAGTCACTTGCTCCAGACCAAGTCTGACGGTGGCGTGAGCCGCAATGGCGTCGTTGGGGAAGGGAGCTGGGTAGGGGCTGTCGCCTGTCAGAGTGTAGAATGTGTTGGTGGGGACGTGGTTGAGCTTGTAGGTGACCCTCTGCTTGCTGGTGTTCTTGAGAGTGATTTGCCTCTTGCGGACGAAGTGGTCAGTGTCGTTGAACGACAAGCTGGATGGAGACAGAAGAGTGGTAGCAAAGGCGGCATCATAGGCCTGGATGAGACCACCACCCTGCTGAGCGACGGGAGCGAGGAAGTTGTAGAATTGGGCGCCATCGTTGAAAAGCTGGGGGTTGGCAGTCGTGGCCAGCAGATTCTCAAGCAGGACAGGGTCGAATGTCTTGCGAGCTTGACCAACCAGAGCAACAGCAGCAGCAGTCAATGGGCAAGCCATTGATGTGCCGGAAAGGGTGGCATATCCTCCCTTAGCGACGGGGTAGGTGGACAGAATGTTGCCGCCAGGAGAGCTGATTTGAGGCTTGACGTCTACCTCCCAGGTAGGGCCCCAGGAAGTGTACGTGCTGAGAGCACCGCCAGTGACCTTGTTGTCGGCAAATTGGATCTGCTTTGTCGCTTCATCCGAGTTAACCATGGACAAGGTAACCGTCTTTCCATCCTTGAGGGCAGCAATCCAAGCCGCACCAGTCGAGTCTTGAACCATTCCGGCGGCGGTGATTTGCGTCACAGTGCTAACATCAACAGCCAGGGCACCAGCAGCGGTGTTGTAATAGAGGAGATACTTGGCGCCCTTTGCAGCGACGTTCTGAGCCTTCTGGACAAAGGTGCAGGTACCGCGACGGACAAGGACGATATAGTTGGAGAGGTCAGGAGTGCTATCAGGGAGAGGATCGCAGGCATCGTTGGGAATGGTGGTGTCGAGTGTCACGGCGTAGATGGGCTTGTTCACTCCCTTCCAGGCTTTGGCGGAAGAGACATAGCCGAACTGCTGAGCATCGCCGTTGTCAACCTTGTAGCTAGAGAGAGAGAAGACGGTTGGGATGTTCGCGTTGTCAACAGAAGCAACAGCGAGAACCTTCTTTCCGTTGGCCGCCGTGCTGGCGTAGAAAAGACCGTGATCACCATCGTTACCAGCAGAGACAGTGCAAGGAACACCGGCATCAACGATACGGCTGACAGCAACAGCCCAAGGCTCCTCCGCCCAACCAGAGGGACCGCCAATGGAGGCAGTGATGATTTGAGCACCATCTTCAAAGGCCTTGTTGTATGCAGCAATCAAGACATCGTTACCAGCCTGTCCTGCACAGCCAAAGACTCGGTAGGCACCGAGAGTGACATCAGGAGCGCCACCGGTGAAGCCATAGGGGTTCTTCTGGGCCGCAATGATACCAGCGACGTGAGAGCCATGACCGGCGCAGTCCATTGGATCATTGTCAGGCACAGGAGTGTTGAAACCGCTGTAGTTGTCACCGACCAGGTCAGTACCGAAGGATACCAGACAGCCTGCGCCAAAGCAGCCGCCAAGAGCAGGGTGAGTGTAGTCAATCTGACACCTGGTAAGTCAACGTCTTAACGAGGAGGGGCAATTTCCTTCTACTTACGCCTGTGTCGATGACCGCAAGCTTGACGCCCTTGCCTGTGAATCCCTTGGCCCGCAGCTTGTCGATTTGGGTCATTTGCTGGGGGGGAAAGTTGCTCGGATCAGTCGGGCTGACGTCTCTGGCCTGGAGGGCTGGAGAACTGCTGCTCGCAACCCACTCGACCTTTGGATTGGGGGCCTGGATGAGAGTGACGGGCCACATGTTCTTGACCGCAGGCAGTTGGGCCATCTTCTGGGCTTTGTCCTCATGGTTGGAGAGATCCTTGAGTTGGACTGAGACACCCTTGAACAGCTTGTAGTTGAACTTCATGCGGGTCGAACCCTCGCCATTGAGCTGCTTATAGAAATCGGCCGTGTCCTATTGGAGTCCCGTCAGCATTGCCACCGCGGTAGGCAAGATGCCCAGTGCCAACGGCTGAGCGAGACTCACCTGATCATTCTCAAACTCGAAGATGTACGCGCCAGGGACGACTTTTGACGGGTGGCCGGAGCCACGGGCAATGACTCCGGATATGGTCGCCAGCAGCGACACAAACAGAGCTGAGCGCACCATCTTGGGCTTTCCAATTGTTTGACTATGGAAAGGCTTTATAGTGGCGCAATGCTTGCAAAACGAAGAGGAGAGAAAATGGCAGAGTGCGCCAGAACCAGAACGTTGCTCTCTGTCTCTTCAAACCGTTATCCAGGGCGACGGGATGTCTCCCAGTATAAGTACTCCCTCCCTCGAGGCCAGGCCGCGGACCCTGCAGCTCGAGCTGCCAAGCATGGCTTGAATCAGAAACACCCTCTTAGGGCTCTGGGGACGGGGTCTTCGTCGCCACGACGACTTAGAACGCCATCCAGGACGCGCTCTCATGCAGCGCGCAAGACAATGACACCGATCGGGGGACCTGAACGTTCACAGGTCCCCTGCCGCTGTGGCGTCAGGGGTTCACGGCCGCCTTCCCCCATGCTAGCCTCATGATAGCGGTAGTATTTTTGTACGACTTGCAGCCGCCAAGATCACTCTCTTGTCTGGGCAGCTCCGAGGTCAGAAATTGAAGCACGCGATGAGGTTATATGCGGGGTCAACTTCCCACACAGGAACGGCAGACCTTAGATCTCAATCGCCACTACCATTTTCACCTACCTCTTTGGGACAGTCGGCCGTGGCGACCAGCCTCATGTCAAGGCTTGAGCCACAGCGATGGGAGGCGGAACCAAACGGCACCGGCCGATGCGGAACGTCTGCAATGAGATGCCCGACTATCGCGTATTGCCCGTACTAGAACTACACCTCTTTATCAAAGCAGTCTACGAAAGTTCTACATAGCACCAGTAACACTCGGAAGTAGTGCTACGGGTCACAAGCGTACAGCGTTATCAGGAGGCAGCAGACGAGTGCCTTTACTTGTGCGCGATCTACGGAAGCAATGTTCCTTCGCGTGCATCCCGATAGTATAACAAACAGCAACATCGGCTCTCCACCGCGCCCTTGCTCTACACGGCAGAGAATATGTCAAATCAAAAGCCCGGCCGCCTAGGTAGCATCTAGCCGTCGGCAGGCTCCGTGAGGCATATTAACAAGTGGGGGATGGAATCCATGGAGGATTTTCGGCAGGCCTCGGTCGAGTAACACGGCATCAATAGATGGATATGTTTACCTATGTAGGTATGTTTAATGCGGCTACCAGTATCACAAGAGAGCGAGCGATTGATGCAAGAACCCGCAGAGCAGTGTATTGCAGCGGCCTACGGCACAGGGCTCCGCTACTTGGGAGAGGCTGTCGGCTGATATGCAGGTCAAGCTCGAGGTAAGCTTGATTATTAGCTATTATTGCCGACAAGAACGGCTCCGCCCTCGGTACGGAGCATCTATCGTCTTCGTTGCACCACCGCCCCTGTAACCTACGCAAAATCTCGCCAGCGAAGGCAACGCGAGAACAGACCAATATTTCGAACGGTGTGGTACCTGCTTCTGGCAACTGGTTCTCAAATCATCATGGGGAAGGAGTGCCGAAGAATAGTCCAGGCCCTGAGATAGGGGTATCTGCGAATAGACGTCGCGATCATTGAGCCAACAGCCTAATGAGTATCTGGATTACAGCTACGCAGTAGAGACGAATGAAAGCATGCAACAGCTCTTCCAACAGTGCAGCGTCTAACCAGAAAATCCTCCCCCGCCGGCTTGGCGAAGATATGAGTTGGCTTCGCACACAATCCTCAATCCCTGCCAGGACAAAGTTCCCTTATCAAGCCTCTCAGTTGTGGCTAGTCGAGGACTATTGCGGACTTTTGTATCTGCTCTTGGCTCGTTCGGTAAGGTAGGAAAACAGACTTCCCAGTCGGTGCTAATTGTGGCTGGCATCAGCAGGACCTTTTTTAACCTTGCCGCACGCCAAGATAGTGCTGTCTTAATATTATGGGGCGGTCCTGAAATCGGAGCCATGGAAACTAATCGCTTCGTCTACAGTAGAAATTGCATGTGCTAATGAAGCAAGTATAATTCCGACTATGCCCCGAGATGCTCCTTGGTGTACTAGGTGAATTATCATCGCGAGAGTGAATATGAATGGCTTCTCGGAGTACACTGTCGAGCACAGAGACAGAAAGGACGGCATGACGATCGGCAAAGTGCAGCGATCCCATGGACGCCCGCCAATGGCAATCGCATAATCAACTCAGGCCAAGGCTCCCCCGTCTTGAACCATCCTTGCTGAGAAACTTGGCCAAGGCCGCCGGACATCAATCAGATGCTCTCATTGGGAGCCCGAGGATATGCCCAAGATGCACCGGAAGACATAATAAATAGCCTGTGTCCTGGAACCGGAGCAATTTCAGCACAGGCACAGGCATTGACCAATATCTGGACAAGTCCATCGCCGTGACGCTACCCCAGATTCGGCACTCGAAAAAAGTCCCCTGCTAGGCTTGAATCAATCCACCAGGCAATTTCGACGCGGTGGGCCTTTGGCGTGCCAAGAGGAGCGACAAAGATTCCATGCTTCTGCCGTGGATGATGGCGATAGTCGGATGCTTTCTTGGCTCATCAAACGCCATTTCACAGGAACAAAACTTTGCTTTGGTATGGATCAATTATGCCGCCTTATGTTTATGAAAAGCTTGCAATCGTCATAGCGCGTCGTTATTGTATTCGATCCCGGCCGAAAGAAAGTTTTCTGAAAAGCCTCTTTTCAGGAACAAGAGAGATACAAGATAACGCTTCATTCTCCCACATATCGAAGTACATATAACATCATAATTGCAAGATCCATCCGTATACGGCTGTTCTATATACTTCGCCCGTCGAGCTGATTCGACCTGGTGACATGGAAATGGATTCCCAATTCCAGGGTAATGGCAAAGGCCATCAAGCAAGGCCCAAAGTCGCCAGCAGCCACCGAACTTTCAATGAAAGCCAATCTCCTGAGGCTTTCACCCCGTGATTCATTCTGCGCCTTGGCTTCTTTATATCTTTTTTGATACTTTATTTTAAGGGGCGCAATACCTCTTCGCTACAATATCTGTCCTCTAATGGCTCTGGCGGTCTGCTTCTGCTTCTGCTTCTGCTTCTTGATTCATCATGCGACGTTTTTCTCACAGAATCGCCACCATGTCTGACCAAACGCCGACTCCACGCCCATTATGGCTACGCCTGCCACCAGAACTACGAAGAATGATCTTAGAAGAGCTATATCTATTATCTCATGAGCAAGCGGAAGGAGACTCTCAACAGCGAAAACGCAAACGGTCTGGCTATGTCACTGTCTGTCGAGAATGGCAGTTTTTCCTTGAGCCTTTCCAATTCAATATCTTTACATTGCATCAGTCAGATCTCGCAGATTTTGATAAAATCCTGCAAGGCCATCGTAGAAGGAGCGTGAAATTCATCTGGCTTCGCTTGGAGCTCCCTAAATACGATTGCAATAGCTGCGGACAGCAAGAATCCCTCAGGGAAGTGAGAATAAACGAGATTCTCTTCACGAATGCCGTTTGGAGCCTGTTTTCCATATTATCTTCATGGGTAAAGGGAGGCGACAGTGGATCTGATGGAATAACATTGCAGCTCAGCGCCCATTCTCCAAGCGATGCTCTCCACTATTGCCAGGAACTTAAGAAACGAATCGGTTACACTGGATTCTGGGGCCTTGCGCCTATGAAACGAAACCAGATCCTCAGGAATGAGGACTCTCACGGCTGGAGACGAGGGCGGCAGATCTACCCACCCAGAGATGAAGCCAAACTCAGAGTCTTTGGGCATCCGAGGGGCTTACGCTTCGATTTCCGCGCATCTCGGGCACGGAGTCTGGGGAGCTTGCCCAAAGTCAAAGTTGTCAACAAGTTGCACATTGCTCGCCAATTCTACCGCCATTTTTCCATACCAAAGGCCTTGGAACCTATTATTAAGAGTTTGCCCCAGCTTGAGAAGCTTGTGTATGAGCCATGGCGGGGAATCAATACACGGAGATTCTCAGGCCCGGAAATAAGGGACACGCAGCATACTCATCTATTGCAAAACGTCGTACGACGCCATAAATGTTTGAGGTCAATATCTATATTTGAGAGCTTCAGCGGCGTAATCCACGGTCCAGGAATTAAAAAACCAGACGTAACCTTGGGTCGCAGTTTTGCAGATGCAAGCCTGAATCTCAGTGAAATGTTTGCTGCCGTTAACGTGGACGCCAAAGATGTCTTCTACGCATTTTGGCCAGTCAAAAACCCAAGGCTCGCGCCCAGCATGACATGGAGTAAGATGGAACGCATATGTCTTTCTTCCGGGCTACTCAACCCTACGCACTACAATGACTTGATCCAAGTTGCAGCCTCGGCGGCGCTCAACATGCCAAAGCTTCGGTGTATGGAGCTATGGAACTGCGGTATGCACAGTTCGTGCATATTCAGATACTATGAATGTCAAAAGGGGCAGCACATACGAAAGGTGCGGCTGCTGAGCACATGGCATGGAAAACTTAGCAAATCGGTGGTTTCTCGCTGGCGGGAGGTGGCGGATTCCGCGGGCGATGAGCTCAATGTGAAAATGGATTATCTCGATTACAAAGTGTTTGATGACTATACTGCCGTCATTCAATATCTGTTTCTGAGGAGGGAGCTATTGACGGATTTCTCTCTTTGGCAACTGGTCTACCAGCAACATTTAGATAACCCGAGTTAGTCACACTCCGTAGTATCTCAATATATTACAATACAAGTTGTCTCTGTATTTTTCTGATCAAATGCACCATACCAGTGTGTATTTTGCCACTACTGGGACTTTCGACTAGAAGCAATTGATGTGAACGACTCCCCAGAGTATTCGCGTAGCTTGAATATAAGATTGCCAGCTGTAACAAATACACCCTCTTCTAAATACATCTACCCAATTCTACTACCCTAAAACTGTTATTATATATTTACCATTTGCTCCATAAGCTACTTGAAGATAGCCTCTACGGGCATAGAGCTTTTACGTAGGGCGATAGACTGTGTCTCACACTTTTGACGTTGCCTGTTCTTGCACGTCTTGAGTCGCAAAGGAAACTACAATACAACCTGCGCTCGAATGGATGTATCGAGACAGCCTTAACTCTAGTACAAATAAATAGATCCCATGACTATTGCCCTTACCAGTGCTTCTCAGAAATATCCACGGTATTCACATCAACGCCATCCTTGAACCATCTCTCCGCGTCGCTAATCTTCACGTCATTTCCGCTCATCTGACGCTTCCTCATCAACCCATTCTCGGCAAAAGTCCAGTCCTCAAGCCCATAGGTGCGCCACCACTGGCCTGCCTCATCATGCCACTCGTACCAGAACTGCACCGCAATCTTGTTGTCTGTAAAGGCAAAAAGCTCCTTTCGGAGTCGGTAGCCGTCCTCCTTGCTCCATTTATCGGTGAGGAATTCCTTAATTTCGTCGCGGCCTTGTAGAAACGTGCTGCGATTGCGCCAGATTGAATCCGGTGTGTATGCCATTTTCACGGCATCTGGGTTTCTGCAGGTTTCTGGTAAGTAATTGCGATTAGAAGGAGAGGACGATGTGGGATATACGAACCTGGTGTTCCAGGCATCTTGAGCGGCTTTGACTTTGATTTGAGCTGTCTCCAGTGTGAATGGCGGATATGGAGCTCGTCCCTCTTGTGCAGCCATTGTGATGATTGTAAGATTGGAAACGCAGGAAAAGGGTGTGTGGCTTATTGGAAGTTGGTCGTAGAGGTGATTGTCAATGTCAAAGCTATTCCGTTCTTTTCCTCTCTTTATATACAATTCAACTTGTCCCTTTTCATTTTTACAATTCATTTCATCCCGAGTTACATCATAGATAATTACTTTCATCCTTAGCGGGCGGCATCGCAGCGGCAAGACGGTCGGCCTGGCTGTCGGCACTTATGGAGACTGCGCCATTTCCGCGGGATCCGCACAAAAGTCTCAAGCACCGTGGCGTAAGCAGGGAAGCTGAAAGCAATGGAAAGCTTAAACAAGGTGATTGCATACCAGTTTTAGGTTGCGTCATTTTTGCTGTCTTGAAGAAGTTGAGCAACATGTCTTTGCAACTCTGAGAGACGCTTCAAGTTTTTGACAAATGCTTACGAAATGCGCCAGTGGAGATACGAAATGGCAGTTGTCATCTTACCGGGTGCCTGTAGTCTACAAAATAGTCAAGTTAACGTTACTGGATGACTGCTCTACAGGCGTTATGCAGTGGGGCTTGAGCATGTACAATCATTCGCTCGATTCCCGTTCCTGGCAATTGAAGACAGAGCATCGATATCACAGATATGATAGATGAGAGGCATTGTTACTTTGAACCAAAAGTCTCAATTCTCAACTTCCTAAATAACCCCTCGCTAAATCTCATGTATGAACTAATACAATTCTTATGGCGGCACATTCAAGCCATGTGCATCCCAATTCATTCAATGGCCCTTTCCTTTAATGCGCTGCCTCAGAGTCGTCCTCAAGCAGTGAGAGTGCCAGCCTCGATGTTGTTGCCAACGGGGTCGTGGAAGAAAGTAGCGTAGTACTTGGGGTGAATTCCAGCTCGGATTCCGGGAGCTCCATTGTCCTTGGCACCGTTTGCGAGAGCCGCGGTGTGGATGGCATCAACTGCATTAACATCTGCGATATACCGTTAGCAGCTGCATGAATTCAATTCACTCCGTAAGGAGCGACATGTCCAGGGTAGGACACTGTTTTTACTTACCGGCAGCAGCGAAAGCAACGTGGGCGTTGGAGGTCTTTTCTCCAGCAAGAAGAACGAACTCGGGTCCGTTGATTCCAAATCCAACCATTCCCTCAGGGAAACCAGGAAGCTTCTGGAGTCCAAGAGTCTTCAGGACAGTGGTGTAAAACTCAACAGTGGGAGCAAAGTTGGCCTTTGCGACGTGGAGGAGAACGTGTCCGATAGGCATTTTGAAGGTTGGAAAGGTGGAAGATTGCGGTAAAAGTGGTTGTAAGTGTGTTGATTCTGTTGATTGGTCTTGAGTGCTTGTTGTGTGAATTGAGTTTCGATTCCAGAGAGGAGAGCATCATGGACTTATATACATGATTGCGAGATGGCTCATTGCTCTGAAAGTCAATCCAATCGAGCCACATCAACACACCCGACGTCAATATCCGGCTAATTACAAATCCAATAAGTTGTCTGTCCCGCAAATAGCATCAAAGATTACACATCTTCTCGACGCCAGTTTCCTCTCAGCTGAAATGCGAGTTGCCGGCTGCTTCACTCCCGCTGGGCGGAAAGGATCAAGCTATCCGGAGTAGCTTAAACAGCAACGCTAAGCCCTGCCTGGAAAAACGTACCCTTGTCAGCTCTTCGGAGCTCTTCGGGAGTTACGAGCGGTTCACTTTGCGGCATCGAGGGCGGGCGCTAAGCTTTTTCAAGGGACCAGTACCCTGGCAGGTTTGACATCAGGTTGCAATAGAGTTATTCTGCTAGTTTGGAATCAATCGACGAACCTCTCGCGTCTACCGATCGTTTTGGCCTAATACGAAATAGCAAAGTCGTGGGGAATAGCCTATCTGTTCCGATTATGATGAAGTGGTTCGTATATAACATGGAAATGTAATCCGCGTGGATCTCAGATACTAGCATGTTATTACAAACGAGATCCTTCTCGACTAGATACATACTGTCCCCTCTTTTATTTTCTTTATCTAGTTTAGCAAAGCGTCTTCCAGTTCATTCTCTGAAACCAATCGACAAATATTTCCTTTGGCATTATATGTCGTCCGGATGGAGGTTCGGATTGAGTACACACACTTGTATACCAATCTTTCCATCTTTCTGCTGTAGCAAGGGTAACCTTGGCGACGGCAATCTTGATTGCCATAAACAGCTCAGCTTGAGATACTGTCGACAACCCCTCCGCTTTAATCATAAGGATTTTCGAAGCAATTGCCTGCGCTGTCTCTTCACAGGAGGCATTCGCCACAGGATCTAAGCAGAAGAGCATACGGTTTAGTATAATAGACACGGCAAAGCTGAACCCCAGAGCTTCATGCTGCCTATCTTTGTCTATCATTTCATTGGGGCAGTCATCTATGGTTGCCTCAAAGAATTTTTCATACCAAAGTGAAATTTTGAGACGAAGCTGATGCAAATTGTTCACCACATCATCAATCACGTCGGTCGGAGTGTCATGGCGCGTAACGCACACAATTTGCGACGCCTGGTGGAAATATTGCGGCACGCGGCATACCTTTGTCAAAAGTGATACAATGGGTTTGCTCCTATCGGAGAATAAATTGTCATTTGTGGGGAGGGAGCGCAATGCAGCCTGCCAGGGGCCATCGCTTAAGAAACAGTTCTGGTTGACGTTGAGCGCTTCGTGGAACTGGATGTGGTTTTAGTAATCACATCACTTCTCTCCAATATTTCGGGAAATGTCAAATTAAAGAGAGGGGCTTACGATCTGTCCAACATGAGATAGCAGCAGTGCTTTCTCGAAATCGGTCTCGCAGCGTCCTGGGCCACGAAGCTGGATCAACGCAGTCGCCCCCGTAGAATGATATCTCCAAGCGTGTTCGGTCGACATTTTCAACAGCTGGGGGATTCATAAGTAACCAATAGCAGTGAAAACCTCTTCTCTATATGTATCAAAACTCACTTCGTATAATCCAAGTAATTGAGTAGCACAGAGCACGTCTGGTCGAAGGCATGCGTTGGGACACTGTAACTCGGCTTGAAGAGCTGCCAATGCACTCGCGTACAGCTTCAAGATGCTATTGGATACCGGTTCGGAAGGGGAAGAAAGCCATTGTTGAGCTCTAGCGGCCACACACGCGGCAGCCTTGTCTAAAGCGCCGTTATGCCCGATCCGGCTCGGCAAGTAGTTCAGGTACGACCAATTCCGATGGCCGAGGATATCAATCAACATCGTGGGCTTGCTGGCCAGGGAGCTTGCCGTCGAATAGCCAACGTGGAACGACGTCAACTGAGATAGGTCTAGAAGATCGAAGTTGTATCGTCTCCTCATTTTCTCGTATGGGGAGCTAGCGAGATGAGCAGGAATGACAGCTTTCACTGAAACTCGATGATCAGCTTTGCCATCACTGACAGGCAGTATCTCAACTGGATACTGTATTAAATTGTGCTTTCCATAGCCGCCTCGTTTCCGCCTTGCTTGGGCGACCTTGCTCATGGCCTGTTTCCGTATCTGTTTCCTCGCCTGCTTGTCGTCAGGCTGCAGCCCATTGGTTGCTGTTATGAAGACATGAGTAAAAGTCTGCGACATGGTGTCCATGTCTGTGCTTGCGATGAGAAATCAATATTCCCGTGTATACCGAGTGTATGTTCAGGAATGATCAGAAATACGGGGACCATCCGAAGATTTGAAGGAGCAGTTGGTGAGCCTTCATTTGAGAGCTTGCCACCGAGACGGTTGTCGGCAGCTAGCGTAGAAGAGCAACTTCGTGCAGAAGCTTGGAGAAAGAAGCGGGTTTGGTGGCGCTGATTGTGGGGTGATAGCGACAAGGATATGACAAGGGTACTGTTTTCCATAACGGGAATGGTTTGTGATATCGTGTTTGATACGGTGGGAGGAGTTGTATTAATAAAAGAGCATGATGGACGGACGCTCATCGTGTCGTTTTGTAACAATCCCGAGATAATGCCATGAGGAGCACACGGCAATTTTGGTATAATCAGGTCCGATTCCTTACAAATACATTTCATCAGCATTAAATCTTTGACAGGATTTACTCCTCATACAGTTCCATGAAGCACCCACCACTCTGCACGATAATACTTGTGTAAGCGACTTTTACGCCAACTATGACATGGAGTTCAAAGCATCAGCAGATACGCCTGTTTCTCAGAGTAATATCACAATGGGACTAAGAAGTCTAAACACTTCGACTTGAACCCGCCGAACACGATCTACCAAGGTGTAAGTGGTAGGTGCAATATTCCCGTTGGCAATCCTCAAGACAGCAGCCACATCACATTTGCAATATTAATTATTAAATATATAGGACGAAGCCTTTACAACAGCAATCTCCTAATCCTTAACCTTGATGCAGTATATCCCACCTCTCCCTTTCTCATAACTCACTTTAACCGTGTCCCCAAGCCTCTCAAATATCCTCTTTTCACTCTCCATCCTCGCGCCTCCGGAAGAGTCAAGCTTCCACAACAACGGCTGCAATGCCGTCGCCAAACCAACGCAGCTATGATCCCTCACCGTCACCTTGCTCGCCACTGCGGCTGCAATCACCGCCAGCAGCAGTTGCAGTCCCACAGTCAGGCCCAAGATCAAATGCACATAGTACCACTTGTTAATGTCGAGCTGAATCCCCTTCAACGGTAGCAATCCCGGGGCATTAACATTGCTATTGACCTGGGCAGTGATGGCAACAACACCAACAGCAAAGGAAGCCATCAACTGGCCCATGCCGGTCACATTGCCTCCCTGAGTTGCTCCGTAAAAGGACTCTGCCGGATAACTCTGGAACTGAAAATGTCTGGTGCTGTTTGAGTTGACTCCAAAGGTCGACGCGCCATAGCCCTGGAGCGCAATAGCCGAGGCAGCGAGCGATGTGACATTGACTCCGACTTCCTGCACCGGGTTCTGGACGTTTGTGACTGCTCCAACGGTGACATTGCAGTTGTAGAACCACGGATCCGTCGAGGATGCCTCAAATGCCAAGATGTGCCCCCAGTTTGGCCCGGAGCCGCGATCGGGGTCAACCATGAAAGTCGTCTGAGCTGCTCCATTCAAGGCGGGAATCGCAATCACGGTCCGGTTCGCATCGTCAATGACAATCGTTCGTTGGGTTCCATCTCCTCCCTTGAGAACCTTCCACGACCGGCACGTTGCCTGGGTCGAAATCGATCGATTCGTCGCCACCATCTGAAAGTATGATAGGTTATCCGGCGTTGCCTCGTAGAAGATGTACTGGCACGAGTTCCCGCTACAGTACATCAGATTGGCGTCTGTATCAAAGAGCATGCCAGGCTTGGGGATCTCATCAACTCCGCCAAATCCCCAGGCAAGGGCAATGAGGCCATAGCTGTACCATGAGTTAGCTGATGCATTCCTTCATACTTGTTCTCGCCCTTTCTTGTTTCCTCCAGAGACGCACTTGTTTGCTGTATATCGCAGGGCACTAACAGCCTGTGAATTAGACGACAGTACTTTATTTGTCTGGATATTGGTCATATCCGGCACCGCGACGGTTCCAGGCTTCGTCACGTCTATCGTGTCCGCTTGATTGATGTTGTAAGTCAGGCCAAGAGTTGCGACGGCTATTTGCGAAGCCTACGTATTCCATTCGCAATTAGTTAAATCGCTCGCGATACACCTCGTCAACGGCAAAGAAGATGATGAATGTCACTCACCACATTGATCAAGACCCAGAACAAAACATAGACCCTCACCCAGTTGCGGTGTGTTACGTAGCCCAACGTGAAGAGACTGCTAAAGTTTTCGCTCTGTAGAATGCAATCGGTCTGTACCATCGCAAGTACATTAGCCATTACGAATTGCCTCGCGTGCATCGAGTCTTGTTTACCTCTTTTGGTGTCCACTCGTACCAGCTCAAAACCCACCATCTCAATTCCCTCACCATATGCTTCATCGAGCTCGCAATATTGAGACCTAGCGCAATCGAAATCGCTATAATCAACGTGTTGAACTCGTTCTTCTTTTTGCTCAACATGACCTCCTGTATTGAATACCGCCACAGCACAAGATACACTCCCACAACCAGCAGCATCGTCATCGCCCATCGCAAGAAGCACGCGAGAAGCAGCCGCTTGAACTGGTTCTTCCGCTTGAAATGCTCAATGGAGAAGGCATCGCCGCGGCCTTCGCTGCGCCAGCTGTCGCTCCGCAAGCTCATCAGCGTCGGCGAATGTTTAATCGCCGTGACAGCCGCACGCATCTTGATTCTGTGTTTTCCCTCGACCGGAGCGCCCGCACTCGTTGGTGAGAATTGATTACATGTTCGTCTCGGCTTGGCTCGAGGATTCTTGGAGGCAGCCAATTTATGAGAGGTTTCCTCGCCTCCGCGAGATATGTCTCGAAAGGGAAAGTCACTCGTGGAGCAAAGAGAGGAAATGAAAACAAAATTGAAACGACGGAAGCCCTGACAGAAGTGGTCCGGCAGAGCTGAAGCGTTAGAGTTCAGGTGGCACTTTTACAAACTCATACTAGTTACTAGGCGGCAGTTGTCGAAACTACCAAGAAGAAGAAACACTAGAAGCAAAAGACCGCACGTTCCCGCTGTTCCAGACCATACGCCCTTGCTAGACGGCAATGCCAATCTGAGACATGTTGTCTGTTTTCATCTCAATTTTGGCTCTTACTCATATGAAAAAAAAAAATCGTGGCAGTGCTGGTTTGGAGCCATACTGGATAGGGCTCGAGCCGAATCGCGATAGCCGTAAGGCTAGCCTTTCCAAGTCGCCGAAAGGGGTAGATTCGGCTGATCGGCTGACTTCCTTGTTCATTTTCTTACGATAATCTCAATTCTCTTAATAATAGCTGTCAGAACTGTTGTTAGAATATAACAACGTTGGCAGCTCTCACTGCAGTCTTGGTAACTCTGAGCGAGCTGTCTTGGCTGTCTCAGTCAAGGCACGGTGGCAAATAACCAATCATGCCTCAATCTCTAATTAGTCACAGCTACAGATAGAAAAGAGCTTAGGTAACTTACAGCAGTTATCTTAGCTGGAATGGAACAGCTATCGCACGGGCCAGCAACCAATACAGTCCGTTGAGCAATCCGGCAGCGCCGCCATCGCCAGTGCGTACGCGGCGCCCGTTCCTTCATCTCCATTGGCACGATTTGTGTAGCAAACTTGGTCCGTGAGCATAATCACTAATTTAGACGTAGTTACGAAATTACTCGTACATACAAGTACAACTATGATTTTGTTAATTCGTATACAGTGGCTCTTCCTTCAACTACCCTGCATACAAGCAGCGTTCTGGCGCCTCAACAAAGCGGATGTGGCATGACATGCAAAGGTAGAGTTGCAAAAAGAAACTTGGCCACGTCAACCTTGCGATTTTCCTCTTCTAACCAGAGCTAGTTGCATCTCATATAGCAACAGAAGCAGCTCAAAACCCTTGTTTGGTGAAGCCATTCACGTGTACGAGCTACCAGTTAGTAATGTAACCACGGCTCAGAGCCCAACGGCACTTACAAGCCAATCGGTGCTATAACATCGTCCCGCACCGAAAAAAAGAGGAGAAGAGAAAAAAAACGAGAAAAAGAGCCCTGCAGTGGGAAAACTTGCCGCTCTAGCGGAGAAAATACAGGTAGCATCTCCCAACATCTCCAGAGCCCTGTTAGTCCAGCATCATAATGACACTGACATACGAGAACGCGCTCGCGGAGAAACTAGGAGGTATTTCTCCCCTTTTTTGCATCCTTCATGATGCATTGCTCTCTTACTCGACATTAGGACGGGCGTCTGGCATATGCATTAGCACCCAGATATGCAGAATCTCGAGTACAAACAAGGAACAAGATAAACAAAGGTCTCTCGCAGTTCCACCATCCCGCAGCTGGAGACAATATGCGATGTGACTAAGCTAAGGCAAGCCTGGATATGCTAACATGTACTCCGTACTGCTACGACAGATGTAGACGGCTACACAATGCATCGAATCCATGTTTGCGATGCACGACCCTCTCAATCAACAACGTCGTCTCCACAAGCCATGGGCCTCCCTCTCGCTCTCCACAATAGATGCGTTTTCCTTCTCCATCTCTATACAGATGCGAGAAGCACGGAGCAAGGGGAGTTCAGAAACGGCCTCTCGCTCCGCCAAACAAGAGGAAAAACAAACCCCCAGGCCGCATCGCCAACCCAAAAACCCTCATCGCCTAGTTGGTTCCATCTACTCCATAAATCCTCATTCACGATCCTCCCCGTTATCATTTCTCCATCCGCACACGCCCTCTCTTTTCACTCCCCCCGTCTGCCCGCCTAGACTGACTTGGGGGCCTCATGTACGAGTACGAGTACTCGCACGGAGTCGCGCCGTTCTCCATCCATTCGCATCCCATCATGCATCTTACACGTACCCCTATCAAAAAAGATACAAAATAAAAATAACATAATATATAAAGGCCCCCCTCCCCCCTCCCCATCATCAGGCACCAAGACATAAGCAACTTATAAAAACAGCCACTCCTCTCTCAACACATGTTCCCTCTTTCCCCCTTCTCATGCACATCCGCCCAAGATGCACGACGAATGCATGTCGCTTGTTTTTTTGGCCTCGCCTTACCATGCTCCTCTCATACGAGGAAAAAAACAAAAACACTCTCCCCCCTAGTCTAGAAACTCGCTCATGCACAGAAAGTAAAAGAAAAAAAAAATCCCTCTTCTTGCTAGGCTAGTCTTACGGCCGGCAGAGGAGTTATACGCCCTGAGATGCATTGCCCAGATGCATCTCGCGGCCGCACAGAACAACAACAGAGCACAGCACAGCCCAATGGCTTGTTGCTTCTATGCACGCACTTCGCCCCCCGCAAAGTTGCCGAGCTCATCGCCGTCGATGCCTGCTGACTCTGGCTCTTGTCTGGACAACAATGACGAGGGTGATGCCGAATACCTAGCAAATGCCCTCTGTGCAAGTAGATCGAACAAGTATGAGAAGTTGTGTGTTCTGTTCCCAACCTGCGCGAGTATCTGTACTCTGTATCTGTCTGTTCTGTGCCATACCAGTACTCCGTAGTAAACCTGGTATAAACAAACCTGGTGAACCGAATGCCCAAATCCAGCACTGCAATTGGCTCCCCTGTATCTCTTTGCCTACCTTGCTCTCACGCCATGTCCTTTCCAAGCGAATGCCGCCGCCAAGTGGGCCGTCGACGATGTCAAAGAAAAAGCCAAGTCTGCCATGTAGCATAGACAGGTAATCACATGCAGTCACATGCAATCACAACGTAGCACAAAGGGGCAGTCAAGCATAACATCTGTAATCTAGGCAATTTCATTTATGTCTGATCTCTTTGTGTGTAGTAGTACCAGAATGCCTGCAGAACCAATCGAATCAATACCATTAGCAACCGACTTTTTCCTTTCCTATTCCCCGCCTGCTCGTAGTAGCCCAATGCACCCTGGACCAAAGAACCAACCCGTCGGCCGCCTTTCAGTCCATTCCCTAAAAACACAAATGAGAGCGTTGACAAGTCATTATCAATTCGCCTGGTCCGCTTTGTTCATAACGGTCTGGAGCCGTGAAAGACGTATAACAAAAGCGGGAGAAAAACAAACCTCCCGTAGGAAATGAAACACAAAGTAGAGGAGAAAACCGTAGTGGTGATGTTACTCCAACGCAAGACCTGTCATGAACCGAACCCAGTGCGCAATAAAAAAAAAGAGAGCAGCCAAAGAAAAACAGTACCAGAAATTCCCAGATGCCCTTGTCAGCGCCAAACAGTAAGAAAAGACAAATCCGTATCGTATGTGACCAAACTCCCAGAAGCTAAAACAAAGCCAAAATACAAGTAAGAAAAAAAAGAGAAAAGGAAAATACAACAACTCTCGCTCTTTAATTGTTGCTGGAACAAAAAGAAAAGCAAAGACTGCAACGCGGCCCCTCAGGTTTTTTTGGCGGAGAGGCCGTGAAAAAAAAATGGACGAGGCCATGTTAAAGCCTCGCAGTGTTAAAAACATAGGACATCCATTGCTTTTGTCAGCTGTCCAAACCCAAACCAAGTTTTGTTAAAAAATGTTCTCAGTTTGTAAAAATAAAAATAAAATAAAAAACCGTCAACCGAGAAAGATCCGGCATATAGCAGCTGTTCTCATCCGATAGCCGCTTCCATAGGTAATCTAGCCTCGGATGGCGGTAGCAGTATGAGGCTCTGCACTCCAGCGGAATCGCTGCTGAATCATCTGCTGCGCGAAGAATGGAGCATCAGTTGGGGATGTGGAAAAGGACGGTGATGGTGACCTCATGTGAGTCATCGACTTGGGAGTCGACGACTGGTCCCTGCTGATGAGGACCGAGGATATAGAGTCGAGAGGAGATGAGTGCGATGCCGCGAGGTAATCGGCGGTCAGGGGCCGGGTGAGCTTCATATCAATGGGGTGGTGGAGGCTATGGTGAGCTGCAGGGCCGGTGTGGTGAAGAGGGTGAGCCATCGTCGCCTCCGACACCGTAGTTGGGCTAACGCCTTCGCTCTCTTCGCTCTTGGTCGTTCCATTAGTCGCCGCCGTCGTAGTCGATTGCTTCGAACCAAACTGTAAAAACAGAAAAAAGCCAAATGTCAGCTACACAATACCATCCCATTTTTTTTCAATATTTTTTTCAGACAGTCTTGCCCATCGCTCCACGAGCCTCCCTCCATTTCTGTTGCATGACGGCGGGAATTTCCTTATACCAACAACTAGACGGCGGCAGGCGGCTGGGGCGGCTGGGGGACGCTGAAGTGATCTCCAGGAGTACGTACAAAGCAGTATTTACTGACGAGCTCTTCGTAGGAAGAGCTGGCGAGGCCGAGGCCAAGGCCTACATTAGGCGAGGAGGGAGTCGCAGCAGTGGCAGCGGCAGCAGCAGCGGCGGCAGCAGGTGAAGCGGCGGCCTGGCTGGGCTGAGGAGCATGCGGTGCGCTCAGAGGAGGGCCAAAGGTCATTGGCGTAGGGCTGTCGCGGACGTTTCTCTTCATATAGAGAGCGTCCTTGTCCTTGGCCGCAGAGTCCTTGGCCGCCTGGACGGCAGCGCTCAATGAGGCGCCAAAATCATAACGGTTGGCGAAGGCCAGTCCACTGGGAGCGGTTAGGCCCAGGCCCTTGGTAATGTTATCACTAGCCAAGTTGCTGGTCGACTTGGTCTTGAGGCGGAGGCCAGGAGTGTTGGATTCGCCCAAGTAGTCGTGGATTTGGTCATCAGCAGGAAACTTAAACTTTGGTGTTTTATCATTAAAATTCTCAAACGAATGATGTTGCGCGGGCCGACCGGGAGCAGAAGGAGTCTGCTTGCGGTTGCTCCGCGGTAGGCTGTTGGTCGACCGAGACACAGCACCTTGGAAGCCGTTCTTACCGTTCTGCGGCTTGAACTGCTTCCGGAAATCAACCTGGAAGTTGGCAGAGTTGTTGCTGTCCCAATACTCCTGGCCGTTGACGTTGTAGCGGATGCAGAAATACAGAGTCTTCATCTCCAGGTTGGCAGTGTCCGACAACTTGATGGAGAAGCTGAAGCGGTCTTGGCCATCGCGGGTGACCTTGGGCCGGATCTCGTGGCTAAACTCGGCAACGACCTCTGAAGTTGTTTTCCAATAGTCCATGGTGAAGCGGCATACAACCGACTTCTGGTAGGACAGGTTGGAAACAACGACGGAACCCAGCATCGACTTCTGATCTGCGGATAGCCAAACCTTTTCTAGGCGAACAGGTTGCTCTCGACGCAGAGGAGAGTCGTGGGGGAAGTTGTTGGTGATGAGCTGCCAGTCAAATGGCGGTGATCGCGCAACGGTCCTCTTCTCGCCTCCCGGGAAGGGGTACTCCGCATCACTGTCGTAGTTCTCGACTGGTGACGAACCCGCACTGACGGCCAGTGGCCGGTCAACCTGAAGGAAGTGGCGGATATGTTCCAAGTGAGAGTCGAAGTGAACGGCCTTGGCGAATACGGGAGTGCCAGGCATGCTTGAGGGCCGCTTGTTACCCCGCAGAGCCGGTCGGACCAGCTCGCCAGACTTCTTGCGCACCATCGGCGGCTTAGGCCTCAGGTCGTCTTCCGAGTCCTCCGAGACAGTCTGGGAGTTCTCGGCAGATGTCATGATAGCCGACACATTGGGATCAGTTGCAGACCGGACATGGCCTCGGCGTCCCGACTTGGGAAGATCACTCAGAGACATGGCGCTGAAACTAGTGTGCATGATGCTCCGAGGAGTAACATCGCCAGGGCTTAGCCTTGATTCCTTGCTCGGGGGTGATGGTGTCCGGGGTTGGGGGATCTGGCTGACGGCATCCCTGAGCTTCCCCAGCTTCCTCCCTCGAATTTCCGGACGGCTCTCATCCTCGCTATCCGACGACGCCGAATCAGGCGGAGAGATGATGGCAGCATTGGGAATTCCCCTGTCGTCAGTCACCGGCGGGGGTGACTTGCGCAGGCTGGCGCTCACAGGAGGTGTACCGGCGTTCTTGACTTCATCGGAAGAGCCATAAGGAGGGGATGGTGTAGAGTGAGCCTCTACGGACGGGGGTGCGGACGGTGTTCGACGGTTCTTGCTGAGGTACGAGGCTGAGCGAGGTAGCGAGGGCTTCTGGCCTGAGGTGATTGATGAGCGCCGGCTCACATCTGGTGAAGCAGTCGCTGAGGAGGCGGGAGATCGGTGAGAGGGCGGCGTGTAAGGCATTCCCAGAACGTTTGCTGGGGTATTACTGGAAGAGTAAAAAGCCTGTCTGGTAATGATAACGTAATCCGGCTTGTAAGAGCAGTTGCAAATGATTCTTCAACGGCTTAAATCGACCGTCGTTTAAAAGCTAATGATTTGCACACTCGTTCCAATTATATCATAGGATACAAAACACTAGGGATTGTTGTCGGACTTGCGGGCGGGCAAGAGAGAAAGAGTAGCGATAGGGAAGCTAGTATCTAGGTGGGATGATCTGGATGCATGGGAAAGTACGTTGTCAGCACGTGGCGGTCGATATCAAACAATAAGAGACGATTTGAGGTTCAGGACAGGGGGTGTAGGTGGAGAGGGAACAACACATGGTTTAAATGACCCAAGTCTGGCCCACGAGCACGGCACGGCGATTTGCCCATGAGTAATTCTTTTGAGGGCGTTGGGACAGTATGGAGATTGTTCAAACGGAACTTTCGAGATGAAAAGGGAAAAAGACAAGGGTTGTCGGAAGTTTCCGTGCTTGGTAATGAAACTCTTTGAGAAAAGCTAAAACTCAATGGGGACTTACAGTGGAAGGCAGAAGGGAATATCAGGGCCAATTCTCCGGAGTGCACAGGAAGCAACGACACGGTCTCAAGCTCGGGCAATATTCCAGCAACCGAGCAAAAGACTGTGAGGTGCAGCCGTGGAAGCACAAAACTTGGTGCGGAGGTTGATGCTGGAGGTCGCCAAACGAGTTGTCTGGCGGATAATGTGGCCGGCCCGGTGAACGTTGTCGAGTCGGACAGAGGAGAGAATAGAGAGAAATCCTTGCACGATGACGAAGCAAAGACCCAGCTGAAGCTTGATGCGGGATGTGGAGGTGCTCAGGATGAAGGGAGCTGAGAATTGATGATGGATGCAAAGCACGGCGAAGATGGCGGATGACTCTCGAAGATGCACGGAAACGACGGGGAGGAGACTGCAGTCTGGCTGTGTCCTTTGTGCTCTGATTCCACTGACTGGAGGCGGGCAGGACGTCGTGGACTGGGCTGTAGGGGGATGAATTAACCCTTGAAGAGAAGAAGAGGAGGAGAGAGGAGACGGCGGTGGTGATGCCGATGAGGTTGAAGATGAGGATGAGGAAAATGGGAAAGATAGGGAAGTCTGTCGACGGACGGAGGTGGGGAGAGGCTGTTTTTGGCTGCGTGAGACGGCCGATACGTACCCAGGTGTTGTACCAAGGAAAGGCAAGCCTGCAAGTACCGGCGCCCAAATGGAGCAGAGGCGAAAAAAAAGAAAAAAACCAAACACTAGAGCAGCGCCATCGTACAGGTACCTGCTAGTGGAAGGCTCGGGCCCGGATCCAGGTTGCTATGCGCCGCAGCGACTTGTACTGCACTGAGACCTTGAACTTGCCCTGCTCTAGTCTGCATGGGGGATTTGAAAACTTGGCTGGCACTAGCGGCAGAGACAGGGGTGAGGGTGAGGTTGAGTCCATCTCGAAATCTTGTCATCGACGAGTACGCCGGCCTTGCCTATGAGCAACCCTGGCCCAGCAGCCAGCACTGCCTTACTAGCAGCACCACTCCCCTCCTAGCCAAGTCTCCAGAGGGCTGCCACACTGGTTCGATGGCTTGAGATGGTGGGCCGCCGTCGATCGGCTTGGAGGGTGGCCTGGCCATGGGCCCAGCAACCTCATCCCTGAGAGAGGGGCCTTGAGATAGGCGGCCAACAGGGGGGCGAGACAACAAATTGGCGAGCCGAGCAACAGCTCAACCGGCTACCTGAACCCAGCAACCACCAACAACTTCAGCAGCCCCATCGCCGTGCCTAGTGTTAGTGCAGTGTTGTATCGGCGGCCCAAGCACTGGTCCTCCATCAAGCTTGCCATGCGTCGACTTGAATGTGCGAATCCTCGTACTCCATACTCGCCGTTGGGTTGGAGATGCTTGGACCTTTGATCTTCAATTTACGGGGGCCCGGCTTAGCTCCATCTCAACGGAGCACTCGCACTTGTGCTCTGGTCCTTGTCGTGATATGAAGACGCCCCCCCCCTTTGCCCCCTCCTCAGCGCATCCGATATCAACATGTACCAAATATACTCGTCTGGAACAGGCACAGTAGCGCAGCGGCAAAGGACGAGAGACACTGAGAAATCCACTCGGAGAGGCGAAAACGGCCCAGAATGCACGCACTCACACATTCACACACACTCAAGCGCCGTTATACACAGCAGAGGAAAGCAAAAGGGCGGCAAAGGTGTGCCAGTCCTTTCCCCTCCCACAGCCGGGAGCCGGAGGGATTTGCCAGCGGTCGTCAGCCAACGAATACCTCACCAGTAATGCAACCTAATGTAATAGAGCTGCAGTGTCGAGGTCGCATCTGGATGCCCATTTTTGCGGAGTAGGCCGGCAGCTGCGTGCAAAGCCGCCTACTGCTAGCCACCTCAATGGGCATTTTGCCCTGCCGTTCGTTTTTCCTCCGTGTCTCGTCTCGTCTCGCCTGTCGAATGCATACATATGTACAAGCATGTACTCCATACAAGGCCATGTACGAGCATGTATCTGGATACATGTACGAGTACATACCGTACATGACAGCAACAACTCAACCATGCTAATGCACACATCCTGTGCACCCCGTGCCATCGCCATCCTCAGACGGTAAGAAGCTAGTAATCGATGGACGGAGCCCAGGTATGTGTTGGGAAGCTTCTCCAAGCCTTGATTACTCCAGGGCAGCCCCCAGATACCTAGTAGACAAGCAGCGAAAGCAAATGGCGATGATAACAAATGCCGTGATACCATCCAGCGCCAGAGAGCACATCTCGTCGACACTAATTCGCTGAGTTCCCGCGGAGACCCAGCTGGCGGCCCCCTACGGGCGTTGCGAGTTCCCGGCCGGAGTGGGCAGCATTTCTGCTTCTTCTAAGCAAAGACGGGGCTTGTCTGTCATCATCCTGTCTTAAAAAGACGCCGTCGCCTTTTTTAGAACGGTTTCTGATCTCTCCCTCCGCCCAGATAAGCGTGCACCGTGGAAAATTTTGCGTCAGTCCCAAAACGGACGTGCGCTGGGTGGCGTCGCCTGATAACAATGCACTTACGAATATAATGTGGCCTTCTATCAGCTTCGCAAAGTGCCGATTGCACAATAACGCGTGGAATGCCATGGGCTGATATCGATGTCACATGGCTTGAGATGTGCCCATGATGTGCACAATCCCCACGATGTGAACAAGCAATAGCGCACCTGTATCATGCCGGACCAAACCTTTTCATCTGAGATCAGTTGGCAGTAATATTTGGTCGGGCCCATCCCCGCGCGCCCTCTCCTGTTAGCTTTGCCTTTTCTTTTTGCCTTTTTCCTGTCCGCGTACGAGTGCGCTTCGCTCTTGGCCAGGTCGGATAACCGGTGAAGCCGGATATGGAGATAGCTACGACGACTAACACTGCCCTTTCACGTTAGTGCCAGCTGGTCATCGCCCTGGCAATGAGAGTGTCCGGGTACTTGTGTCGCTAACATCATTCGTTCTGGGTACTTTCCGTCCCGTATGACAGTACGGTAACGTCAAATTATGTTGTGCGTACGAGTACGGTACGTGTAGTGCGCCAGTGCGGATTGCATGGGCTTCGTACTCGCAATGGAGCTTGCCCGACAGATAAAATTTGCAAATTTTGTGCCAAACGCGAGCCCTTGTTGGCTCACGGCCTGTCGAATCGCATTGAAGGGGGCGACTGGGGGACAGAGGCGTTTTCCAGGTATTTTTCTTGCTTGCAGCCTTGCACCGCAGGCTCCGTGCATGTACAGACAAGTACAGTAGTCTCGCACTCCGTCCAAGGCCCTCTTTTCCATTCCTCCTGCATCAAGATGGGGAAGGGGTAAAGGGGAGGATGGGAAAAGGCTGCGGCTTTCTTCAAGTACGACAGCCTGCAATGCTTCGCTGCGAGTCTGCCCATCTGGCTCCCAAAACCCCATCTCAACAGATACATGTAACATGCTCGTACACACCGGTAGGCTTTCCAAAGGAGAATTTTTGTTTCTGGCGCCAGGGGGGTTGGTTGGATGGCATGGCGCTGGGAATAGCAATGGGGTGGGCTCTCCGGCATCAGACCCGGTCCTGGTGTGGCGCCCGACGCTGTGGTCCGTTGAATATCTGACCCCTGTCCTCGCCAGTGCAAGTCCATGCCGACCGTTCTCAGCCGCTCATTGGCAGTGCCCAGGCCCTGGGTTAGCTGTTTGATGTCGAGATAATGACGTTGCCCGCGGTTTGGTGAGGCTCGCTCAGAAGGCGCCCTCCAATCAGGCCATGGCAGAACACGCCGCAATGCATTCCTCAGCGTGGCCTTCCTGTTTCACATTGGCCTCTTTGTTTGCTCTCCCTGCGGCGCCTGTTCGTCTGGTGTCTCTTAATCGACTGAGGAAAAGTGGGAGCATCGGAGCGGGCGTCGTGCGGAGTAGCCACAGACAGTACTTTGCTACTCCGAAAGTGCTCAGCCCGTCCCTTCGGGTGTCCGCCCCGGATCCGGGATCATCTCGAGGGAGCCTGCATCGCCGTCCTCCATCTCACGAGAAGACTCCCAGAAAGATGCAGAGGATCCAAGCCTCCCCCCCCTTCCCTTCCCCTCCCCGGAGCCCAACGACATCTGGCACATATGCTTTTCCCCACGACGGACCGAAAGCTTCCCCAGGTTGTCAAATTCGGCCTCGTCATGCTTCCTAATGCAGAGAATGCAGCTCTTAGCTACTGCATGTCTGCGCTGCACTGCGCTGCAATGCCTGCGAGCCCAACATGGAGCTGGTTCGGGCTCAATTGGCTCCAATTGCTCTGTCGAAGCATCGCTAGCTTAGGCGCCTGGACGGCCGGAGCTGCATATGAGCTGTCTCTGGTCTACCCTATCCGATTAGAGGCAGCTGTCCGTATCTGCAGGAGGAGGACGGCACGTCTGTGTGATGACCGAGTCAGGCAGCGAGCCACCGACCGTTTTCCGAGTCGGCAAGGCATTGGACGCCGTATGTCGGATGGGGCAGGAATTGGATGTACGAGTACGGGTACATGGCGAAAACCCAATAGTGGTAAGTAAATCCTGTAATAGTAAATAATAATAATTAAAAATGAATCCATCACGGCTCGAAGCGTCAGTACGTAAGGCCATGGAATAACAGCTGAAGGGCGTGCATCGTGAACCCCTCCATCTCCATCTTTTTCCTGCAAAGTGGCGGGCCACAAGGCGGTGCTTCCAAGGCACAAACTTCTCCATCGTCAGCCACAATGTCTTTGTCAGCGCGCCAAGAGATAAGGACGGGTCCAGCACGGGCCAATGTCGAGCTTCCAGTTCCACGCAGTGGAGACAGGGCAAGCCACACGCACGGGCCACTGATACCAGGGGTGGCTTGCTCCTCCTGTCCAGCGCTAGGCAACGCCAACATCAATACTATCACAACGACAGGAAACCTTCTTCATCCTTGCTATCGACCATCTCCATTCGCACACGCTCCCGTGCCGTGCCATTCGCTACCCGCTCTGAGCTTGTACCTGTGCTGCCATCTGAGTAGGGAGTGGTACTTGCGTGTCTTCAAGTGATTACCTACAGGAAATTGCCTGCTCGGCTACAAGGTTCCCTTCGCATTGGGATTTCTCGCTTCTCGTACGAGCATGGGGGAAAAACGACTCGCTGAAAGACGCTTGGCATGCACGCCATTTGCAAGCCCATCGGATGATTGGATAGTCGCCGTTGAAGAGAATGGGAAAAGAAAGATGCCGGCTTGGAGCTGAGTTCCCAAGCCGTCGAGTGCGACTGCGCCTGCGTCTGCCTGCCTGCCCAGCACATCATCTCGCATCTCGAAACTCGTCTACGAGAACTTACATGACGCCGGTGCTCCGTACATGATGCTAATTCCATGTCGATGCGCCTGACCATCAGCAAATGCACCTCTCTGCATGCTTAAAAAACCGCACCTACATAACGCACAGGGTGATGGCGTTCGAGCCTGAAGGGTCATGGCCGGCATCCTGGCATCCAAGTACATGTAAGTAATGTACTGAGCTTACTCGGGCTGATACACACTGTATACTCTGTACATGGGCAAATGCTGATTGTGTCGAGATAGATTACGGGAGCTTGTCTTAGCCAATCTGATGGGTTAGTGGCCCAAGCACAAAGCGCTCGAGTTTGCCGCCCGCCACAGCCTCCTCAGATCGCGGAGACGGATTCACTCATGGCCATTCGCCTTTAGGCGCCAAGGGGCCTGCTCGCACATCCCAAGATGTACTCGTATCTCGACTCCTACTGTACCAACAAGTCTCAGCATCTGCGTGGCGTCCCGGGTGCAAGGATGGCATGGCAATATCCCCAACAAGCAGCGAATCCTCCATCCTCGTTCGTCAGCCATGGAATCACTGGCGGCCAAACGTACCACTATCACGGCATAGCGTTGCAATGCGTTGCAGCTCCCGCTCGCCAGCGAGTCAAGCCCAGCATTGGTTCCAGTTAGAAACCGCGCAGCTCAGATCAACTGGCCACTGCAAGTCATCCTATGGCACCACGGCACCAACTCCCAGTGCTACTATGTACACAATTGTGTGTAGTCCTTACAAAGCGACGCAAGTCTCGTCCGTGCTGCTCGGAACGGACAAGACGACGACTAGTTTCACGCCTTGCAGCCGCAGCTCCACCAGCCAACAGTAAGCGAAGAAAAATTAGAACAGGTCCACTTTATGCACGCATGGGGGGGAGCACAACAGCCTCTGATACGTAGGGACAATGCAGAAGTTGGCAACACCACTGGCGCCCTCGTATCTCCCTAACACTCTCTCCACCAAGGGAACCGCTTTCACATGGTAAGCAAACAGGGCACAGACGTGCTACTGACACCTGCCTGCGAAGCAGTAATCTGGAAGACGACAGGGAAAATGTCGTGATAGCTGTTCGCAATGGGCAAGCGTCTGACTCACGAGGGTGTAGAGAATGCTCGGAGCAGCTCAGCCAGAGCTTTGAGCGGTTAGATCCAAAGCATGTTGACGAGCTTCTTTTTACCTTTTCAGAAGGACGAGAAGAAACCCAGTTCAGGCACAACACTGCGAAACTACTTCCAGATCGAGTCTCGAAGGGAAATCCTCAACGCCGCCGGATGGAATGGGCCACCGAGCCGGTGGCAAAGCTCCGCGGCGACGCTATCATCGGCCTTCTTATTAGCGCTGGCCGTACCGCAAACCTTGCAGCCACATCCCTTCAGCACTGGCCATCGAGAGGGCGAGGGCCGTCTTGCTCACCGACACCAAAACCGTTGAGAGAAAATTTCCCTCCTGAAATGATAAGCGTAAGAAAGCTTATGTTGTGTCCTTGCCTCCCCTATGTTGCCTATCAACGCCTAGGAATACTCAGCCGTGTCGATGCACGCCACCTGAAACCGGACGCAAAGGCTGATTCTTTCTTCTTCCTCTTCTTTCCTCTCCTTCTTCCTTGTTTGTCTTGCAATTTCCCGTTTTGTGATACCTCACGTCGCATTGCAGTTCCCGGTCCCCAGCAGCTACATGGACGTGCAAGTTCGCGGCGTTGCCAAAGCTGGAAACATTTGCAGCTGGAATTCGCAATTTCGTCGTCTTGAGAAAAAAAAAGCATCCCCTCCCATCTCGACAAAGCAAGCCGGGGGCGCTGGCTTAGCGAGTTTCATACTCATCGTTCGATCGAAATCTTGCCCCTTGTGAGGCTGCCATTGACGCTAGGCAGGGGTGGTAGCTCTTTTGTCGATTCCAGAGATGGAATACTAACGCACAACCAGCTTCGGCGGACAGGCCCTAAAAAGGAGAGGCTGCCTGGGCTGAACTTCAGAATTGTTGAATGGAACGCCAAGCAAGCGATGAATTTTTTTCTTCTACCCTTTGCAAGTGACCCATGGCAAAACGTATTCGCGAGGGCTGGTGATCAGTCTTCGCATCATGCTCCCGTAAAACCTGAATCATCTGTTCGCTCATCTCCGCGCGGCATACTCACTTCCGACAATAAGAGCGATGCCGCACAAAATCTCCGATACACGGACAGCTTATCTATGGCCCGGCTGTCGCTCCGTATACTACATGCCGTGTTCGTACAATTGAGACATTATTTTCCACCAAGCGCGAGATGAAGATGGGGCATCCATCTGGCATGAGTGCCCAAAGGCAAATCACTTGCGTTCACACGGCCGTACAGTCATGCTCCTAGCCGATGCTGAAGACATCCGACAGAAGCCCAGAGCCGTGAGCATGCAAGTCGGAGCGATCCGTACCCACAAACTCCCGTGTCCGGCTGCCCCACCTCACGATGTTTCTGCCGCCGGCCTTGTAGTAGTCGTGGTAGTACGAGTACAAGGCTGGCACCAGACGGGGCCCATGTCTCGATGGGGTACAAAAGATGGATGCTTTTGCAATAGTACGAGTACTACACAACAGGTACACGTCGACGCTACTGTAGACGCGAGCACTTACAAGCAGTTTGCGATGTGTATCATGCTCGTCAACCCGAGACGCACAGTCGGAGCTGTGCAAACGCGCGTCGGCGCTTCCAGCATGCACATCATGGCCACTCATGTGCCCACAACCCGATAAGAGCGAGCAGGTTGGGAGTCGGAGGAGTGCCTTGGCGAGGGCTTACTCGTACTGTACATACAGGGACGCAAGGATCCGAGCTCGGACGGCATCCGCTCTGCCATGCCATGCCATGCCATGTCATGTAGCATGTACGGAGCAGCATGGAGCATGTATCATGTATCATGTAGTAGCATGTATGGCGAGCATCAGCAGAGCATCAATAGTCGCCGGTCCATGCATGCAAACGGTAGGGACGGAAATTATTCATCCTGAACGGACACCTTCAGGCAGCATCTGCTCGCACTCTAACCATCTAGGCTGCGGGGGAATGGAGGCAGCTGACTTTGGTAGAAGCGAAGCAAGCGTGAAATCATGTTCTGCATGCTCTGTGATGGATGGCACAGCACACAGAACTCGCATCGGTAAGCCCACCTCTTCCGTATTCTCGACTGGGGAGGAGGAAGCGGAGGAGGAGGAGCAACAGTAGCAGTCTTTTTTTTTCGTCCTCCTCCTTTTCGCCTCCGATATGCATCCAATGGACCCTGTGGCGAGAGAGAAATGCAGTTAGAGAAAACGCCTCCCGTCTGGACGTTCCTTTTCGCATTACACCGGTCTTCTGGGCCTTTCGCCATGCCGCAAATCAATGTAAGGGAGATGGTAGCGGCACACGAGTACCTTGGTGGTGTGGCACTTACTTTCTTAGGTTCTACAAGCCGCAGATTCCAAGGCAACGATGCAGGAAGCTAGTAGCATTAGTATTACCATATCCACACCGAGTCGTAGTCGGGGGGAGTGGGAAAGGCTGAGAGGACCACCAGCAAGCCCACTCTCTTCGCCTTCGTGCCGTGTCGAAGGGGCTATGGCATGGTTTTTGGTGGATACACTACCGTCCAAAAGGATCTCCCCAATCAAATGAAGTGCCAGCCATCCAACAGCCTCTGGCCCAACGATTGGTGAGAGATGTTGTGGGAGCTTCCCCTCTCTTTTGCACCCCCCCTAGGAGCCTCCAACGTTTCCTGCCCAGCTATGGACTGGGACCCGGATGGCCAGTGAACGGAGTCCAAGATGGAGAGAAAAATAGTCTTCCCCGTGGAGATAATTTCTCCTCGTTTACAGTTCGATCCACTGGCCAAAGGTCTAGGGAAATTGCTAATGCAAAGCCCGTCACTTACATCACAAACAGTGTCCGGGTACGGAGGCTTGTTGTTGATGATCAAAACATTGTGAACGAGTACAGTACGAGTACTCATATTCACCGCCTTGCATTATCAAAAACTGTTTGAACCTGAATCATCTCATCACGCCCTCGAGTAATGGATGGTTTGATATGCAGTCGACCAAGTCGGCAATATCAGCCCAGACGGTCTCGTGGTTCGACAAGCTGCAACCCGTCAAGCCACCTGCAGCCGCCAGGTGCTTGTCGTGCATTTCATCTCGCTCCAGCAACTTTGAGGCGTTCCCCCGTACCTCGTACCTCGTACATGGCGCACAACTTACTCCAAGCAGAGCCCATTGGCGCCAGGGGTCAAAACTTCCCACCCTTTCTCCGTGGGGATGTGGTTTTTGTTTTAGGCGTGGCCGCCCTGCATCTTGCTCCGCAGTGTGGCGCCAAAGGAGAGCTCGTTTACTGCAAATTGCCCAACCTCCAGGATGGCTGATAACAGTGAATCACATGCTTCGAGTCCGTCTCATCCGTGGCGCCAATGTATCAGTTCTCGAACCTCGAGACTTTTACCTTTTATTGACTTGCATATCGCAAAGGGCGGGGTAAAAGGAGGGTGGTATTTCTCCCTCTCCCTCTAATATTGCGGCCGCCTTCCCCGGAAACCATCAACAATCAACGTTTATGCCGGCGGCGCAAAAGCTGACTGACAATGGCACTTGATCATTTCAGCCTGCATCATCACCGCGGGTTCATGCTAGGGAGGAATAGCTACACCAGCTAAGGCATGTCGAGATGCAACCACGCTGAGCAACCCGTCCCGGCTAACGTTGGGCGGCGCAATTTAACGACGCACACAATCTGCGGACGAGACCCGGTCTGCTGCACGAGTGGCCCACCGAGATTGAACCCAGCAAAACAGCTCGCCAGCTCCGAACCACACGAACGCCTCAGTCACTGACTTGTGTTGCGCTTCTGCGTTTCAAGTTGCGTGCTGCAAAAAGGCGACATGGGTATGAGGCGGGGCCGTTTCGTTGCTCTGCCTTGGCCGGCGGCTCGATGACGACATGCTGATGTTTGCGCTCCATTTTGCGAAGCCCTCTCCCTCGTGTCGAGCTCGCGGATATGGGCGACAGGCAGCTGAGACGACGCGATGTCAGATGTTGGGCCTCAAAGTCGCTGCAAGGTGAAAGATGAAGAATGGCCCGAATGGATGGCAAGATGGGCATTCATCCCAGAACTCGCCACTGGTACCGGTACATCTAGATCGAGAATCGCTAGCCCAACAATCTAGAAGCTCTGATCGGCAGAGTGAGCAGCGACAATGCCACCTTGGAAGCTACGAATTTAGACCGCGCAGCGAACATCAGGGTCCTATTGGCAGCATCCAGATGTGCCACGGCGTAATCTAGGAAATTCCAGGAATTTCGCAAAATGCTATGGCGAAAAAAGCCATCGGACGTGTCGCCGCGTCGCCGCTCAATTGCGGTTATCAAAGTCGGGTCTGCCCACCATCCCGCGCCACAAAGGGCCATGATGCGCGCGCCGCATTCTTGGTGAGCTCGAGTCGTCGTGTGAGCTCGTGCAGCATGAATAGATTGCTGTTCGTATATTGAGCAAGAAAACACACAAGGCAGAATGAAATTGTATGGCGTACACCCCCAAGAAGAGAGGCCACGTCGAATTCCGCCGCAGCCGGCCGTTTGCTACTCGTGCCGTTACTCATGCATTGTGACATCGTTTGCCTCTCCACAGGCTCCGGAGGTAGATTGTCTGCTCCCCCCCGAGCTGAAGACGTCTCTTCTCTTTTGCGGTGAGATAGGTTCTGAGATTGCACTGGGTCCGAGTTTTGTGAAACACGGAGCCCTTTTTTGTTTTTTTTTTCTTACTGCCCCTCTAGATCGTGATGAGGTGCATGGTATAACCAGCCCTGATCATGGATCAGTATGAGGATCGAAAATACGTACCCTGTCACCGCGGTGGATGCGTGACGATCGCAGCGTTATTTACGAGTATTCAGTGGCTCCCGTGTGTCAACGCACGACTAACGATGCCCGCTATTCCGGGCTGCATAGGAGGAGTCAATGGCAACTGGCCAAATAGGGCAATTAGCTCTTTGACGAAGCTCCTCGTTTGCAGCGATGCTTTCGACTCCAATTCCAATTCGCATGCAGCCGACAGACAAGCTCTGACCTGGCCCTCTTACGAAGCGTCCTCCCACTCAGGCTCCCACACCCCCCTTTAAGCTTTCTCCTCACCCCGGCCGTCACACCGACTTGAATTGGCGCCGTCGGTTGGGTTGGGGGCTGATGGAATCCCAAGCGCGGCTGGTACGTGTACATTCACACTGCTGCCAATACTTGTACATGCTTTTCTTGGAAGCCGACGAGGGAAGCAAGGACAAAAGGCGGAAGACGGAGCTAAGGCCCGTTGTAAGCTCTCGTCCCGTCCAGCTATCTATCATGGCATGCTCAATTCTGCACCCCCTTCAGGAATCACGACTGCTTCGTTGCGGTATGTTACAACGCCAGCCCAATTGTGCATGTAGTCATCGCTTGGCCTCCTTCTTCCCCGCAATCCAAGAAAGCAAGACTGCAAAAGTAAATTAAAAACCAAAGCTATTGCCCATCGTCTGCAGCTCTGGGCTCGAGGGAGCAGCCAAAACGGCTGCATACGCGCTCGAGACGGTTTGGCGACGGCGCCACGCCCATGCGGCCGGCCGCCTGAACGCTGCAGTTGCAGCAGCTACGCCGTATCTGGCTGCTTGACGAAGTTTGAATCATACATTGTGTCTATTCTTATGCCTGCCTACATTGCCTAGCACCTGCACCCTTACCGGTACTCGTACAAACGTACTTGGTACGAGTGCTGTACTTGGACTAATCCAATCCCAAGGCATGGGTGAGCAAACGGAGTGTGCATATGGCCTCGCATCCGGCCCCACTGGATGCTGGTGACGGATGAATGATCATTTATTTGATATTACTATATTGGCAGCAAGACGAACAAACGGGCGTCTACGAGTGCTAGACATGGGGAAGGTCCGCGAAACGAAAAGGGCAAGCAAATGCAAAAGAGGGGGGAGGGTACATGCGTATTGCAGAAGCGTCTCTCGTCAGGCATCGTTTTTTTTTCTTCGGTTGTTTTTTCGAATAGCTTCATGGGGTCGCCGGACTCCAAGTTCCTTTTTCTTCGACGGAGCAACATGGAAGGCCCTTAATTACTGTTGCTTATGGAACCGGGGCGCTCTGCTGACAATGACTGGGCTTCCTTTTTGATGACAGATGGACGACGTCATGACATGCTGGGGGCCCTAGCTGAGAGCGGCAGGTCGTGATAGAGCAGCTTTTGTATCGTCGGAAGGGGGGAGCGAGCAGTTGAGACCTTCGTTTGCAGTGAATCCTACTGTATTGCGACGGCGAGATGGTTCAAAGATCGAGGCGGCAATCGGGGAAGCTTCTTCTGGGCTGTTCAGCCGACTCATCCTCTCTCATGCTTTGCTTAGTCCGCTTGACCGCTAGTCCAAAGGGCTCTGCATCTGCATTTCTTACCCTGGAGTGGCTTGCACCTTTTGGGGGGGCTACGGAGTAGAGAGCAACGGCTTGCTGCAACTCTGAACTATGGCGGGAAATCCCCCGTAAGACGCATCTGTTTTTCGCTCCGAGCCGGTGTATTACCACTTACTGCTTGGCCGGCCGTGTGGTATCTGCTGCAGTTCACCCTGCATCTGTGTTGTCGTTTCTTCTCCAGGTTGCTGCTGCTGCTTGCTTGGATCATGCTCCTTCGAATCTGCCGGGGAAGGGGGGGGAAGGGGGGGGATGATTGCATACCATAGTCTGGGGTGCCGCACTGGCGGCCTTTTGTTGTCTTTACGAACTGCGGGAGTGGCATGCGTGACGTTTGGCGTGTGCATTTTTTGGCTGACGAGTTGGTTGTTGGATTGGCTGCTGGACGAAGATTATTCATGTTGTTTCCTGGGGTGCCATGTCCGTCTTAGGCATTCCTTTGGGGTTGGTTTATGGAGTAGGTCGTGGCGAGAATAAGCACATATCCCCCATACCTGCGCTCGTACATACGAGTATGTATGCGACAGCTAGGTAGGGTTGGTGTGGCAGAGGAGGATCTTTGGCAGGGCTTCCCCAGGGTTCCCTTCACCGACATGACAGCTGCCGGAGCCGTGAGGGAGAAGCAGACGCTGCATGAAGGCGTGTGTGTTCTCGCTAGCAAGACAGAAACCGCAGGAAGCAGAGGCATGTCTAGCTGCTGTGCGCGTATGCATGTTCAAGTCAGCAGCGTCAAGTGACCAGACCCCCAGGTCTTAGTCCTTGGGAGAGACATTAGCTCGGTGAGGCGATGCAGAGGAGAGCTGCTCCCCCAGGGCTGGCATTTCAGTTCAAATCCCATCGTCACGCGGTGGTTTCGGGCACAGCTAACGAAGAATTTTACTTTTGCTCTCTGTCGATCCCCCCATCATCTGTTTCTAGAATGAAGCTTCCATTCTCTTTTCGTCGTCGGTTCGCCGAATTCGAAAGGCTTCCGCTGCTGCTTCGAGTTAGAAGACGTGATCTGAACAGCTGTTGAGGTGTACGGTAAAGTTGGAGCTTGCATATCGGGAACAATTTGGTATGTGACAGCTCAGAACTCACATCAACGTCTCCTCCCCGTTTTTTGCTTCGTATCTTATGGAAATGCCGGAGCCCGGGGAGGGGACCCCCATCTTAATATGCAAAAGACTGCATCATGAGATCTGTGACGACGTGGAGATACAACACGACGACGACGTGGCATGGAAACTGTGCATGTGAACGTATATATCGAGGCATATGAGCGTGTATCCTGGCTATACTACTTCGCCGTGTGACTTGAAAAGAAAAAAGTTTGTCGCCTCTTTTTTTCAACAATTTTTTTCCCTCCCCATCCTTCTTCTTCCTGTTGTTGGCGAGTACGAGCTTTGTTCCATTCGTTGCAAACGGGAGAGTGACGGAGAGCTCTCGCTGCTCGGCTTGTCTCGCACAGGGACCAGCTTCACAAATCTAGTTCATAATTCAGTGTGCCGTTTTGAATTGATGGGAGAAAAAGAGACCGATTCGTACCCTTTGTGCAGTGCTCGCGAGAAAAACCTCTCCCCCTTTCGTGAACCTTTGATAGCGATAGCCTTGCCACGTCACCAGAGTCCGTTTGAATAGAAAAAGACGCGAGATAGACGATGGGACCAAAAATTGAGAGGACAAAGGGCGATAAATAACGGTAGGAGCCCGTTTCAAGAATAATACTTTCTTTACACAACTATGTAAATCCTGTTCCCATCATCACACGTATCAAACACCCACCACAAAACGCCACTCTTTGGGTATCCAAAATCCTTTTTATTTGCCCATTCTCCAAAACAAAAAACACTTGGAAAAGTGAAAAACTCGCTTAATCTTCATGCACGGGGGGGCCGGCATAGTTCTTGTTGCCCCAAGCCCAGTACCAGACGCCGGAAATCGCCGTCGCGGCAACGAACACAACGGGGGCATAGTTGACTGTCTGGGCGGTGACGGGAATGACAGTTGGCATGCAGAACAGCGGCAGGGCAAGCAGGGACCAGGCTATTAAAACGGGTAAGCATAGGTATAACAGCTACTTTTTTTCGAGATGGGAAGATTACATACCAACAGTGACGACGTTGCAGAAAGCACCAAAAGCACCAAGGTAGAACTTGCCCCTTCGGATCTGCTTTCGTCCGCTAAACAGGCTGATGGCGACGGGAGTAGCATAGGCAGCCGTCAAGCAGATGACACCAACACCCGAGAAGGCGTTGAAAGCGGCGGGAGATCCAAAGTAGATGACTCCGAGGATAATCTGCACAGCCATGCTGAGCATCATGGCGTTGAGAGGCACGTCGAGCTGCTTGTTGACCTTGACCCACCACTTGGAGCCAGGAATGGCGCCGTCACGGGCAAAGGCCCAGGTGCAGCGAGAGGCGGCAGTGGTGCAGCCGATACCGCAAATGATGGCGAGGACCATGATGGGAATGAGCAGGCCAATGGCACCACCGGAAGATCCAACGGCCGACTTGATGATCGGGGGCACGGGCTGGGCGGACACAAGCTCGGCGAGCTCCTGCAGGTCGGGAATGACGAAGACGAGAGGAATGAGGAAGAGGAGGCCAGCAAAGGTGTTGATGAAGATGGTGGCAACCATGGCCTTGGGGACCTGGGTGGCCGGATCCTTGACTTCCTCGCACATACTGGCAATTGTCTGTTAGTTCAAGATGACGACTTGAAGGGGGGGCTGCCAATTGCTAACGGCATGACTCACGAGATAATCATTCCTGTGGAAGAGGTGGCATAGGCGGCGTGAAGCAGACCAACGCAGAAAGACCAGCCACTGGGCCAACCAGAGAAGGACTCGAAATGGCCAAACACCCACTTGGCATCGTGACGACCGTGCTTGGCGAGGACAAGAATGGTAATGAGGATGGCGATAACACCGGCAAAGGTCCAGAAAACAGCGGCAGTCTAGTCAGCAAAGTTAGCACGCCGTCAGAATCGGCATTGAGGAAGATGGAAGCTATTTCCCCTGGTTCCACAAGGAATTGAGGGAGAGGGGAAGAGTATGACAAGAAGGACAAGGACAAGACTCACATCCAACCAAGGAAGCCATTTGTTGCCGAGAGCAGACACAGCGTTGCACAGCAGCGTCAGGGCCAGGAAGATGAGGAATACCTGCCAGGTTTCACCCGCAAAAACACCAACGCCAGGCTCCTTTTCAAACACATTGATGCAAGAGACGAAGAACAGCGTGGTGCCAAAGTTTACGGCCAGGGTGATGGTGATGTTGCCAACGACGAAGAGCCAGCCGGTGATCCAGGATGCAATGCGCCTCCACTTGGGAGAGGCCAGCATGAAGGCTTGGTAGTAGACACCTGAGGAAGCAGCAAGATATGAATTAGCACGCGCGCATTACGATTACGATTATACGAGCTGTCCAAGGACGAGATGGGCTAGATGTTACCTCCGGCAGTAGGATAAACACTGGTGATTTCGCCCAGAGACACGGCGACGCAGACAATGATGAGCGACACAAGAACCCAGCCCCAGATGATGTCAACCGGACCGCCTCCCACCAGAGGGTAGTATAGCGTCGTGGCGAGACCGTACGGGATAGAGGCGAGGACGAAGGACATGAAGGCGACCTGGGCGGTGGATCGATTGCGCGACAGCTCGGGCGTGTATCCAAGCGTCTCGAGGAGGTGATCGGCCGAGTCTTCGACGCTGGAAAGCTGCTGGGCAGTTTCGAGCTTGGAGTCGACGAGGGCGGGCTTCCCCGCCGGCTTGTTAGCCGAGGAGGAGGAAGACATGGTGGGCGAGGAGAAAAGAGAGGGTCGCCCAAGGATGTCACGAAGAGGGAAGAGGAGAGGAGGAGAGAAACGAAGTCGAGAAGAGAGGGGGAGGAGAGGTGAGAGGAGAGAAGAGAAGAGAGAAGAGGGGAACAAGAGGTCGAGGGGAGAGGACAAGGAACGAGGTTAAGTATGAGGAGCGAAAAAAACGAGGCCGGAGTGGTCTAGACTTTGCGACTGCGAAATCCGATAATCGATTGTTGAGAGATTGTGGCGCCGCGCTCATGCAAGTAAGCAGTGCAACCAGGATGCTGTCATGGCCATAAACGAGTTTGGAGCTGAGGTTCGGGTTGGTCCAGAGGCGAGGCTAGGCCGCATCCGAAGATTGTCGCGTGCTTCGTTTCGGGGGTTTGAGCCAAAAGAGCTGAAGGCGGCGGAGACTAGAGGGGAGAAGAAGAGAGAGAGGGAAAAAATAAGATTGGCTGCAGATTTTAGTGGTAGCAGTAGTGCCAGTATGGAGAGAGGAAGAGGGAGGAAAGAAAGGTTGAAGAGCTAAGAGAGAGAGAGATGGAGAGAATTTACGAGTCGAGCAAGCCGTAAAGTACCTGAAAAAAAAAAGTAGAACCTTGGAAGTTGCACGTTTTATTTTTCTCATGTCATTTTGGCGGCGGGGCGGCGGCCAGTTTCAGCAGCGACAACTTTGGCGTTGATCGACGTGCGGGCGGGTTGGCGCTAGAAAGAAAGAAGAAGATGGAGGGAAGCAGGAGGATTATGCTGTTTCAATTGATTGTTGTTTTTTTCTGGATCATCAGCTGGAAATGCAGGTACTTTGGATCAGCATTGGGGAGAGAGATAGCGTTGCATGTACTGTGGTTGGTTCTCTACTGGAGGCGCTATAGATAAGCAGTGAAGCTGGAGTTGTTGTTGATATCAGCGCATTCGTTCTGTGACCATTCTTTCCCCCAGACAGCTGCAGTAATAGTTCCCACTCCGCCCGTGGGGACTCGCAGTCCGAATGAATTTCCCATCAAAAGCCCATCAAGGGATTTACTCCAACTCCAACTCGTATGGGCGCCGCTCGCTGCATCCATTTGATATCATGGCGCCGCCCATTGGAGCACTTCCCCAGGCTAGCACCCGCCCTAGGCTGGATTCATCAGGGGGAGGCAACCTAGGGGGCCCTTGTGGTGGCTGTTTAGTGGCTCGTTAGTGGTTGGCCAGCGCTGGGCCCGATAGGCTAGCGGACGTTGGAACCTTGAACACCTACGTCAGAAGAGCGAACCTTGGTGGCACCGAGGCGGCCTTGGCCGAAGGGAAGTTGCGTCAAGGATGACGGGCGTTTTGCCATTTTTTAATTTTTATTTCACTGGTACCCTTTTTATGCTTTTTCTAGAAGGCCGGAGGTTGGTCCAATCCAGGGCGCTACGTAAGATGGGTGTAATGGAGGCGGCGCCTTTATTCGCAGATTTGCAGATTGACTTTTTTGGCTGCAGCGCTGCAGATGGACCCTTATTCGATGGTGTTTCCGGGTTCTCATTCCATCGATGCAAAAAGACGAAAAAGACATCAATCCAAGCTAACGATTCACGTACAAGGAATATCCATATGTATCTATCCCATATGAATAAAGACCGGGAGACGGCATCCAACGAAATGGAACTGCCAGAAAATCACCAGCCAAACGAGCAAACAAAGACCCGCAAGCACATGCAAATCCCGTTTGGAAAAAGAAAGAAAAAGCCCACAATCCCATGAGATGAGACCCCAAAGTCAGGCGCTAAGCCGCAATAGAGCGTTGCTCGGTGGGCCATTGAGGAAAGACTGCACGAGCGCGCTAAGCCTAAAGGGCATGGGCTGGCCGCTGAAATTCAACAATTCGGGGGGCCCTGGCAGAGGAACTTTGTGTGATTGATATGATCAATGCTGTTATCTGTCTTTGCCCATGGCCCAACTAATACGGTAAGCTAATGCTAATAGTACGAGTATGCTCACTGTCTCTTCTGTGGACTGGAGGGATGGATATCATCGGTTACAGAAATGCACATGGCAGGTATAGCAAGCATGCTACTGTACTAGAGGTAAAACATATACACGATGGAGTCGTCTACCAGCCTCTCATCCTCCTCCTCCGTATGTACGAGTACAGTACACTGCATGCTTCTTCGGATAATATCCTCTCTCTACTACTGTACACACCGCATGTCTCGGATCGCTTGCTTGTAACCATCGCAGCTATCCTACTTACAGCCTGGCCAATCGCCCACTGTCCGTCACAAGCCGTGGTCCATCAGGGTCTGGACGTTTTGTTGTCATCTCGACCCATCTGTCTGTCCACATCAGAGCACAGCTGCAGCTTCGGTCTCGCTTGCTCGTCATCTGTTCTAGTCTTATTTCTTTCTGTCTCTTCTTGTCTTCTTGTCTTCTTGTTTCTTTCTTCCTTTTTTTGCCATTCTCTTTTAGTCGGCTCTCGTCTCGTCTCTCACTCCGTTCCATCTGCTTTGCATGTGCTCACTCCATCATTCTCATATATCATGTCATCGTCATGCCATCAACTAAGTACTAGTCACGTATATGTAGTTCTATATCGATATGTCCAGATTTTTGTTTTCTTTTGGGCTCCCCTCATTCTATCCATCTATCCACTCTGTCCTGTGCTCTTTCGTCCTTGACTCCATTCCGTCGTCTTCCCCCCCTTCTCCCCCCCCCCCTTTTCACCTCCATATTAGGTCCAAATCAACCCCGTCCACCGTTGTAGTCTGCGCCTCCGGACTTCCGCAATAGCTTCACAAGGTCGTCCTCCTTCAGCTCCGACCGCTCCTCGGCCGTAATGGCCAAGTGGTGGTGCTGCAGCGCCTTCTTGACGTCGCCGCTCTCGACGCTGACTCGCGCTTTTCGCATCACCTTTGTGTTCTTGCCGATCCAGACAATCAGCACAAACTTGACGCGCGTGCTCTCCTTGTCGTTGGCGTACTCGATCCGCACGTAGCCGTACTGCACCTGTTCGTCGTCCAGGGCGCCCACGAGCTCGCCGAGCCCGCCTGTTCCCGTCTGGGTCAGCGTCAGCTTGTTGCCCACGGCCGCGGCATACGAGAGGAGCATCCAGTTGGTGTCCTTCTTGTCGTTGCGGACGTCGTCGTACGCGGCCAGGATATCGGGGGTGTCGAGGCCAGACATGGTGTCGTTTCGTTTCGTGTGTAATGCCGTACAAGAGCAGTGACCGGTGAAATGAGTGACACAGCAGACAGAATCGCCGATCCGGATTTCAAGATCGGCTTCGGAGCTTCGGGTAGGATCGAGGGCACGTGCGGGACCTGCGACGAGACGGCCAGTTAGCATTGCCTTGTTTCTGTCGATGCGGCACAGCCCGCGCCTTGGTTCTCCCTGCCCAATGTTTCGCTTACCTTGCAGACGGGCCAGATGGCGTATTCCAAAGGTTGGGAGAGCAAAAGGGCGGGGAAGAAATCTGGCTTAGTATGTACGAATCGTCGGTCACGGCCTCCACCGACAGCCCCTTTCGCCAGCTATCGATTACATCCGCCTACCCTAGACGTGGCAAAACCCATGGGGGAAAGCAGACATGATCCTGGCTACCAGGTGGTAAAAGAAGAGTATTGATGTAGTATCATGTACAATTCACTCTGTTGGGTTTATTTTTTGAAATAATTTTCTAATGGAACGGGAGTAATCAGTTCGCATAGTTGTCTCGCTGATACTTCCCGTATCGCATCTCCGATATTGCATATAGAGATGCCCCTCCACACCAAACAGATCGACGTCTAATACTAGGTAGAGATGCACAATATAGTACTTGAAAAGGAATATAAGTGTGGCTACAACAATGAAGTCATCCTCGAAATCGTCAAGTTTCTTTGTGTATCTAAACACTTTAACTTTGCCTAATCTAGTTAATTCCCTGGCCGGCAATATGCATCTCCAATCTCACATCCAAACGCCCATATCCCATTTCATCGTCTACCTGTACCAATTTTCCAACTGACAATCCCTGAAATTAAACGTAGTCTTGTTAAAAAAAAGTATCCCGTCTCCTCCTTTCATCCATCATTCTATAGCCCCCCCACTGATTCCTTCACCATCTCCCAGCATTTCTTCATTCCCGTTCCCATCGATTCACCGTCGACGTCAACACCAGCCACCCACCGTCTCGGCTGCTCTTCATCTTCTGCCACCACGGCATCATCTCCCACCTCAAACAGGTAAACATGCATTGTCAACTTGATGTGCGAAAAAAGCCACGGCACACTCCCCAACTCGCCCTCGCACGATATCGTTGGCTTTGTCTTTTTACTACCCTTTCCACCATTCAACAAGTCCGACACGTAATCAAGGGCCATTCGCTCGCGCTTCTTCTTATCCGGCTTCGTCGACGGCTCGAGCAATTTGCTGGGAAACTCCCATAGCCCCGCAAGAAGGCCCTTAAGGGGTCGGCGGTGGATGAGAAACTGACCGTCGCTTCGGCGGATGGCGCAGACGAGCGTTTCTTCTTCGCGGACGGCCTTCTTGACGGCCTTGACGGGGAATCGGCGGGCGTAGCTGGTGATTGTATCCATGCTTGCCTTGGAAGCGGCCGAGGTTGTCGTTGACGGAGATGGTGAAGGGGATGATGAGCTGCTGACAGTTTTCCTCGTAAACGCAAATGCCGCCAGTGTAGGCTGCTTGCTTTGCTTTGCTTCCGTCTTCTTGACGTTGCCGCGTTTCTTGTCTTGAGTCGAGTCCTCGTCGCTGTCGCCCTCGTTGTCGTCAAACTCTTCACATAGGATGCATAAATCTTCAATGTCGACCATCCTCGGGGACTTCTCCTTTGCCTTGGTGGCCTTGAGCTCCCCTTCTTTATAGACGCGACAAGTTGACGTAATAGGACACTGAGAGCAGTTCGGGTTTGGAGTGCAGATTGTGCTGCCCAGCTCCATCAGCGCCTGGCCCCATCGTCCCGGTCTGTCGTTGGGCTCTGAGCTTGTCTTGCCATCGTCACTGTCTAGTTCGGCCGTGGCTTTGACGATGGCATCTGCCGCAGCCCAAATGGCGTCAATGACGGCTTTGCCCGTCTTGATGTTGCCGTGAATGCCCAGCTGTCTGCTCAATACTCGCAGCACGTTGCCGTCGACCATTGGCTCTGCGCGACCGAAAACGATGCATGAAATGGCGCCGGCAGTATATCGTCCGACGCCGGGCATCTTTGCTTCAAGATCCTTTGCTGAAGACGGCAAAAGGCCTTTCATGTCAGAATCACCAACTGCCAGCTTCGCCGCTTCATGAATCCTCGTCGCACGGCTGTAATACCCGAGTCCGCTCCACGCAGCAAGCACATCTTCCGACTTGGCCGCCGCCAGGTCGTGGATCGTTGGCCACTTGTCCATCCAGCGACTCCAGTAATCGATGACAACGGCCACGCGAGTCTGCTGCAGCATGATTTCGCTGATCCATACCTCATAGGCCCGCTTTTCGAGTGTCTTTCGGAGCTCAGTTGGGTCTGATATCGTCTTGGGGTCTACCCAATCTTTCCGCCACGGCATGGACCGCGATTGGCTGACTGAGTCGAACCACGAGAGCAAAGCCTTGCGACCTTGAGATCCAACTTGTTCATCCAAGAGGAGGGGCCTGTGGTATAAGACGGAATGCTGGCGTAAAGATGGGAAGCATGTCTCCTCCTTTGCCGCTTTTCTGGCTTCTTGGCCAAAGAGTCTCTTTGAGAGAATGCCATCGAATTTGACTGAGCGTGAGGCAGAAGCTATTTTTCGCTTTTTGGTGCCATTCTCAGGGGCGCTTTCTTCCATGTCGCCTTCAGCCTCAAAGTCGGAATCGCTGCTTGGTGGCGTCGCATCTTGCGGCTTTGCTGGTTGAGAGACGGAACGAGATGAACTTCTTTTGCTTGCTACTGAAGATGCCCTCGCTGGCGGTCTTTGGCGCTTTGTTGCAGGCATGATTAAATTATATTTTCGCTATCGATTGGTAGCTTAGAAGCCTGATTGCCTCTCTGCTAATCCATGAGAGAACCTTTTGAAAGCTGATGGACCGCGTCTTTGGCTTATCCGAGTCGCGACGCGCACGGACCACCCATTTATTTGCTTTTTGGAAAACACCATGAAATTTTGCATCGTGTTAATTACGTGTATGTTTTGGGGCTTCACTATCTATTGCCGAAATGCTTGGCTATGGTTTCAATGTGATTGACAGAAAATGCGTCCTTGCAACAGCCAGAGGTGAATATAGTTGGCGATCACTCCCTCTCTTATCTTACTTGTGCAAATACTTGGCGCGGCAATATGCGAGTTGCTTAATCTTGAGATAAATGCCATTGTAGAGATACATACGATACACATACATGCACACACCCGCAACCGTGCTTCTAGTAATTCCTCATAAACTCTCACCATCCAAGCATCGTGGCCACAATGGACACTGCCGCCGGCAAGGCTTGCACATACAAAATCCTCTTGCTCGCCGTTGCCGCGCCGTACACGCCGGCCACTCCCACGCACCCCAGGAAGAAGAGTCTGATCTGCGCCGCAAACTCCTCCACCGGATGGGTGAGCCCCCAGATCAGCCCTGCGGCAAGGAAGCCGTTGTACAGGCCCTGGTTGGCCGCCAGCACCTTTGTCTTTGTGGCAAAGTCCGGCGCCAGCTTGAAGGCCTTGTGGCCGCGGGGGGTGTCCCAGAGGAACATTTCGAGCGTGAGGATGTAGATGTGGATGGCACCCACGGCGCCGGTGGCAATCTTGGAGATGAGAGGCATTGTTGCTGGTTCGCGGCGTCTTCTGATTACTTTGTTGTTGTCCTTGGTCCTTGAGTCTTTTGTGCTGGAGTCTACACTTGGTAGCCGCGGCTGAAGATAGTAACTGGTGCTAGGACGGACCCCCAATGACTCGGTTGGCCGAGTATTAAAGTCGGGCTCAGCTGGGACACTGTGGCTATCGGGGAACCAAGTCTCGTAGGCGATTGGATGGCCCTAGTTTCGTGGCGTCGTACTTCGTATTGGCCGCGGAAAAGAAAACCGCAAAACCAGATGATTTGAGAGAGTGGAATTGGTGCGAATACAATAGGTTGGGATTCAATCTCACAACTGTTGGATCAATGCCATGTATATACTGCAATAGAAGCTCTTTTAAAGTGGCAGTCAACTATTTTTTTCTCACGGGGAAAATTTAACATTGCATCGGACAGAGCGACAGCTTACTCTATGAGGAAGCTTGAAAGTCCCGTACTACGCTGGTTCAAACAAGATGGCGGGTCTCGTCTCACTTCCCGCGTTAGATTGGCTAGTCTCTATGTTTAAAAATGAACGCAGTTGCTTCGTGCACCGGTAGTGAGGGAGAGATGCCGAGGCATATCTCCTTACGGAAATTGTACCTAGGTACGCCTTACTTTGAGAGTTGTGAATCTTTTACACTACAAGTATGTGAAGGGTACGAGACACAAAAACAGCAACTAAAGATCTCTGTGCATTGACTTCAACGCCAGCTTCTTTATGCTCGGCAGTCATAGCCAAGGACTTGGCGAGGGGGATTCTGCTAGTCGTTATCTGGGAAATGCATCATGCCATAACTGGCGCCTGGATGCCAGAGTCCTAAATGCTGGAAACGCAGGGAGCCAGCAATTGAGCATTGCTTAGGCCTGCTGGCAAATGGTCTTGGTCAAGTTCAAGACTCTTCTTTCGGTTTGCAGAGTAATGATCGGAGGCTCGAGGTGTGAAAGGCTACAGGTAATTGCCAAGGCTACCGGCATATAACAGGACGTCGAGGATTTAGCCGGTTCTCGTGACTAACGCGCTGACAACGAACTCGGCAGTTTGTGCCATATTCTTGCAAGCCTTGTTTATATTCGGCTGGTGTGTTGGCGCGTCGTTTGCAGCTATAGATGGTAGGGCAATGTGATAACTTTCGAATACACGTACAGATGGACTCACCGCCGCCCGTGTAAATTTGATGACATTCCACTAGAGTACCTAGGTGCCCATCTTGCTTTTGACTGAGTGTGCTTGGGCGTGTATTATTTCGTAGTACGTCTCGGGGTATTTTCATATCACCGGGAAGCGTATCGGTTGACGCACATTGATAGTCGCATATCATATCAAAGATGAAGTCGATAAGTCCTCGACGGGAGAGAGATAACAGACCGAGGCCGAGTTTGTTGTCCGATAATACTGCATGGATTGCTGCTAAGCCTTATCAGTATGCGTCAAACCAACATCTCACCACTTGACCCCCTCGCAACTCCAGCTGGACCAAGCTCACGTTGCAACAAGTCTATCCGCAGTTGAGCTATTCAATCGGGACGATGCTTCCATCAGGCGCCACCGCGAAAAAAAAAAAAGTCAAGCCACCTCCATGTTTCCGATGTTGTCTAACGGCGGTCATCTGGCTCAAAGCTCCATGCTGATATTGGGGGTCCAAGGCGAAATAGAAAGAAAGGGGCGCACGAGGCAATACAGAATATTGAAGCTTTCAATAGCGTATTTTCCTAGACCCACGATGGAAAAAATGGAAAAAAGGAAAAGGGAGAAAGGAGAAATGAAAACCAAGTAAAGCCAACTGTGTGTCATTCTCTCGTATTTGTCAATGTCCAGAATACTCATAATTCTCTTTTCAGTGTTCTTGATGAGCTTGTCTCGTGTAAGAGTTGCAACCCCATTCTGTGGGGGACCAACCGCAGGGCGCGGCCAGGTTAAATTCAAGCTGGGGGCTTCAACAAGCGTCGGCCGTGTGCGGGGAACCCGCAGGAAGACTCAAAATAGCAGTCATAGTAATACAAGTCTTTCATAAGAGACGAAGCTTCGTGCAGGGCATCATGAGCTTCTAGCATCTCGTCCCGGGTCCTCCATAGCTCTATGTGGAGCATCAAGGTAACATCTGCTGCGGCTAGGACCATATTAATGATTTTCTCCAAGATTATTTTCCATCATTTGACCTTGACAGCTCTGTAGATATGGATGAGGATCTCGCTTGGCTGGCCCGAAGCGGGACCTCGAGCTCTTGCAGACCCATACAGGCTTCCGTGGGGGTCGAGCCCAGGGCGTGGCCTCGCCGTGATGAAACGTTCTGATCAGGGCTACTCTGTCACCGCTGACGATGAAATACTGTAGATAGGCAAGACTGTGCCAAGAGGCGCCTCGCAACGTTGGGGTGGTACACGGGGGGTTGGGTTGGTGGGGTTTATCGTCGAGCATCGATGCTGAGCTGACGTTGAGATATGGCTGCTGAAGGATAGCGATTCGGCAGACAAGTCTACCCGGCGGTGTTAGGTGTTTGGACACAGACTCACTCGGTATCTGGAAAGAAAGATATGCACGCAGATAGCGGATGGTGGGCGCGTGAGCAATACGATCAGGGTGCAGCGAGCAAATGGATAAAAGGGATCTACAAGGAGGAGGTCGGAGCTACTCAAGAGGGAAAACTGACCAACGGCAGTGCGCGGATTGAGCAAGAATGTTCTTATCCCTTGTTCATGCAGTAAGCCACACCTCGTTTGCTCATTCTTGTTGCCGTCTGAGGTATGGGCGCCGCTGGATTTGGGAGTGCGAAAAGACACACTGCTTATGCACGAACCCTGGAATATTATGTGATAGCCTACAGTGTCTGTTTGTGAATAACCATACGCTCAGTCATGTCTGTGTATACTATGTACTGTACGGAAGAGGGCAGTGGCTTTTGCTAGTACAATGTAGGCTTTTGCACAATGAGAGAAACAGAGAGGACTCCAATCTCTGTGTGGCTAGGACATGTTCGGTGAATTACCATCTCGTTGGGGGTCAGCCGCCAGTCTGCATCTAGATAAGCCCCAAAATTGTACATGCTCTGTACAGGATATACATGTATTACTCGGTACGGCTGCCGTGCCTCAACGATCGTGGCTGAGCAGTTCAGCTCGATTTCCGGTGAGGTGAGTAACGGAACGCCTTTTGAGCCTCATTCAAGATGCCATGCACCCATGCACATGTCGACTGCATCGTCTCATTGTAAAGCTTCCCCCCCTGAGTGGCGGACGAAAATCTGGTGGAATAGCCGACCAAAGTCTCACAGTTGAGCGGCAAATCCACCGGTGAGCTGCCCATTCACCACAGCTAAACCGTATACGGCACTTTGTACGCATGCATTTACAACACTGTTACCCCATCTCTCCGCGTCTCCAAAGTCTTGCCGCCGCTAGCCCTAGACCCAGCTCAATGGTTCGAGTGCTTATTGATCCCTGGTGCTCGGTGGGGGAACAAAAGATGGGGGAAAACTGCGGAGGCCCACGAGTTGTGGCGCTTTTTCTTCGTTTTCTCTTCCGAGCACTGAGACATTGCGGACGGAGGAGATAGGGCTTTTGTTGCCGCTTCTGAGCCAAGTGGGTGACGGATTGCAACCTACATCTCGTGCTTGGTTACATACCCTTGTCAGAATTGGGCCTTGCCTCGTGGCTCTCCGTGGAGAATGGGGAAGTGATAGCCGTAGCCTTTTCGTTACCTACGTCTCGTTGGACTGCGCGAAACCCATAAAGAGATCTCGGCCCGCTGTCAATCTTGCGTACATCCCTTCCTTTCATCAGCCTTTCCACCTCTCCCTTCCCTTGCCGGCATCCGAACGCTGCTGCTCACTCTCAGTAGCGTGCAGAATTCTCCCAAGCAAAAGATTCAAGGAGAAACGACAAACGCGATATCAGAGCAATGGCGGAGAAGGACGATTCCCGGCCTGAGCCGGTCGTCGACCATGGATCGATCAATGGCGACCACATTGACAAGGCCGCCATTGGTAGCGTCACCGAGGTTCAGGGCAACACACACTTCCATGAGACGGTTACTGGGGCGCCGCTGGATCCCTGGTCGTGGACGAGCATTCAGCTGTACCTGATCCTCCTCGTGGCCGCTTTGAACGCGACGTCATCTGGTTTCGATGGTGTAAGTAAAGAGACTCTTGCATTGTATAGTGTGATTTCGAGCGAGGCACGATGTCTGACAATTCAAACAGTCCATTTTCAGCTCCATCAATGCCATGACGCAGTACCAGACCTACTTCCATCACACGGAGCTCGGCTCTGCCACAGGAATGTAAGTTGTGTTAATGCTAGCATCTACCGTTTGTCTGCAGTATCTCACACGCTCCTCTTTACAGCATCTTCATGATTTACACCATTGGTAATATGGTCGGCTCTCTCTTCACTGGTCCCATTTGCGATTACTTTGGCCGTCGCGCGGGTATGATGACCGGTTCCCTCTTCATCATGGTCGGTGCCATCGTCCAGACGGCCTCCAAGTCCGATGCCTACCTCCTCGGAGGTCGTTTTGCCCTCGGATTCGGTGTCTCCATCGGAACTTCGTCTGCGCCCACATACGCCCTCGAGTTGGCCCCTCCCCAATGGCGAGCCCGTGTGGTTGGTTACTACAACACCTGTGAGTAGAGAGCTTCCTTGGTCAAAAAAGGGGCCTCCATTGTAGATTGCTAACTAGGAAATGATACTAAACAGTCTTCTACACCGGTGCTATTCTCGCCACGGGAGTCACATATGCCTCTGCCAAGAACAATAGCGAACTGGCCTTCCGTCTGCCCATGGGTCTCCAGCTCATCCCCCCGTTTTTCATCTTCATCGGCGCCATCTTCATCCCCGAATCTCCTCGATGGCTCACTATGTGGGGAAAGAAGGACAAGGCTGCTGCAATCCTGGCCAAGTACCACGGAGGTGGTGACAGCAACCACCCCATGGTCCAGCTTGAGCTGCGCGAATTCGAGGCCTCGATCGAACTGCAGAAGTCGTCGAGCATTTTCGACTTCTGGGCTCTGGTCAAGGACCACAACTCCCGCTGGCGATTCACCATGATGGCTTTCATGTCCTTCTTCGCCCAGCTGTCTGGAAACTCTGTCTTGACGTATTACCTCCCTTCCATGTACAAGCTCCTCGGTATCGTCTCTGTTGAGCGCCGACTGCTCCTCTCTTTTGCCAACTCTATTGTTTCTTGCACCGGCGCTGTTGCTGGATCTGCAACCAACGACAAGATTGGTCGTCGTACCAAGCTCTGGGTCGGAAGTCTTGTCCTTGCCAGCTTATTCGCTGCTGTCACAGGATTCTCCGCCAAGTTTGAGCATGGCTCGGAGGGCATTAGCTCCGCCTTCTCCAACGGTGGTGTTGCCATGGTAAGTGATGCACTCAGTCTAATGATGCTCCATATTATTGTTGCGACCTGCTCTGACATTCTCCTTCTAGATCTTCCTCTTCGGCTGCGCCTACTCTTTCGTGTACACTCCCCTGACTGCCACTTATTGTGCCGAAGTTTTGGCCAATCCTACCCGTGCCAAGGGTATGGGAGTCGTAAGTTTATCCCTATTTTACACGGCCTTTCTCAGCATCTGTCACAGTTGCTAACCAACCTTTCTCATAGCACGTCATCATGTCAAACTGCGCCAACCTCTACAACACCTATGTGACTGCCGTTGCTCTTGAAGCTATCAACTGGCGCTACTACCTCATTTTTGTCGGTCTTAACCTCATCTACGGCTTCTGCTGGTTCGTCTTCGGTGTTGAGACCCGTGGTCGCACTCTTGAGGAGTTGGACGAGGTTTTCAACGCCAAGTGGCCGCCGCGTGCTGCTCTTCAAAAGCACGTCATGGTCAAGGCGCAGGATGGCCATCTCGCTGGCCTGGATGACAGCAGCGGTAACGCTGAGCGGGTTTAAATGGATATTGCCGCAGGCGGTATTTAGGCTTTGTAATACCTAGAGGTGAAACTGTTGGTGGAGAGTTATTGACAGTTGAAGCGAGGGGCTTTCTTTTTAAGACACTATACGTACGATTAATGATAAGAGGTAGAGAGCGTTTGCTTGACTACATATATTTACCGATTTGATTGACTATTATGCTTCCCCTATATTGCAACCTAAATGCTAATTTGACTCCTGTAGAATGCTGTACATATTTCCGTGGCCTGAGAGATAACTCACGAGCCCATTGCTATGCTCATGGCCTTCCTGCAACCCATCCAGCTTAATTATATCTTCAATGGCCCACGCCACTCTCTCTGCAGCAACTTTAGCCCCGCCAATATTCGGGGCTGCTGGCCCAAGCTGTAGAGCACCCAGCCGTCCGGCTAAGAATAGGGGAACACCATCTTTCCACATAAGGTCCTCATTTATGCAAGGGAATCCGCCATGCCCATGAATGGGATACTTTTGTAACATGGTTTGCAGATATGGCAGGCTAGTAAAGTCCGTTTGGATTCCTGTAGCGAAGTATATGTAGTCAAAGAGGGGCAATCCCGCAATAGGCGGCTCCGTCTTGATGGACCAGAAACTAGATCCGTCTATATCCTTCATCTCAGCGTCCACTAGTGTTGTGTGAGTGCGAAGTTCGATATTGCCGGATGCAATGTATTTTTTCACTTTCTTGTAATAAAGAGGCGTGAGACTACCACCACCTCGGGCCTCCTTTATAATTTCGAGGCGTTCAAGATCTGAATCTGCGGTCCAAAACCGTGCTTGCTCCGCGTTTTTGTATTTGCCCATCCATGAAAGATCGACGTCGAAATGTTTGATGCGAAGAGGGCCGCGCATGAGGTGCCATATTTTGGTGACACCCCTTTTCAGGGCAAGCACGGCGAGCTGTGCGGAAGTAAGGCCGCCGCCAATGATGAGAACATTGGTAGGGATACCGGCGGCGATGCGTGATTTGACAAGGGGGTCGGGAAATTCTTTGATTTGCATACTGTGGCATGCTTGAGGAGGCAAGCCGCTCGCTGTGAGAGGAGCAGACGGGAGAGGTGGGATCTTAGGGGTATTGGCTGGCCCGACGGCGAGGACAACGGTTTTGGCATAGTAGTGTCGAGTTGCATCTGTAGTGACAGTAAAGAGCTTTGTGCCGTCTACGGAAACACCCCTAACTTCACCGTAGTCGATGTCTTGCAGTGTCTCCTTGCGGATGAGCTGCTCTCCAAGGTTGTATCGTCCTGCCACATGCTCACAATGGTCGCGAAAGAGGGATTGAGATGGTGTATAGTAATCATTTCGTTCTCTGAGGTTGATGGAAATCCTTGCTTCTTGTCTTTTGTTCTTCCGTTAGCATACTCTATATAGAAAGGTCAGGGAGCCGAAGTTGACATACTTGCCACCACATACGCGGCCCTTGGCCATCTTTTTGCTCCCGTGTTTGCTAATCTCCTTGCCGACACAGTTGCGGATCTCGACCAGCTCATCCTCTCGCTGATGAGCGTATGCGTGTGCTAGAAGCGCATCTCTATCAAGGGGATCCACATGCCATAGCATCGGGCTGCGCAAATGCGAAATATCATACATCTTGAAGAGATGATTCCATCGGCCTAACCACTTGTTATCCGTAGCGTCCAAGACGAGCATCTTGTACTCGGGTCGAGAGGAACTGGTTTGCGATATTTTCCCACTTTTCACATGCTTGAGATTGACATGCTTGCCGTATTTTCCGATCCAATGGAAACGGCGGTGCTCTTCGTCGGTGAAGAGGGCAGCCGGAGTGTGCTCGCGGAGTCGGGAAGCCGTGGAGAGACCACAGGGTCCAGCACCAACGATGATGACATCGTATACTTCATCATATCCTTCAGACATGGTTCTTCAATTATGTCAGTTTAGATCGCCGTCGTTTTGCTCTTGGTAAAGTATGGTTGATGGCCGTTTGTTGTGATGTCGATAGATGACGGATGAAGCCTTGAATGTCCATCGTTGTTTGCTATTATCCTATTTACCAATGAGAACCTTGATGGTAACCTGATTCGCCTTTATTTGTGGCAGTCTACTTGTACAAGCTCACATTATTTTTTTGGTAGTTTTAGATTGGGTGAGAAGATGCGTGGACCTTGATGGACTTGTGTGGGGGAAGACATCAAGGTTCCTTCAGGTATGATAGCCTGTTATTCATCAGTCCGACTTAATAACAAACAATTTCGACATTCAGAATTTATTTCGCGCGGCATTTGATGAAAAACCTCGTTGATACTTTATCTCGGAATGGATACCAAGATATTTTAAGACTGACACATATGGTCCTGGCTGCATTCCCCAGAACCCTAAGCTATCCATCAGTAAAGCACAAACCCACGAAAATAGTGGCTCTTTTAACAAGACTAGATGTATACAGTCCTCTACTGTAATTGGATAGAAGTTCTAATGGGTGCACCTTGCACTGATATGGGGTCTGTCGGTACTGCTACACTTGCCGCGGCCGCAATAAGTACCGCAGCCACGTACCAATCATATTCTTGTTCTGACCTCTCTAGTATATTTCGGGACTTGGAAATAGGCCGAGTTTCGTAGTTATATGAGCACGACCAGGGCAATGCGCTTGAATGGGTATAATACGTTCTCATGACATGTTTCATGCGAGGATATGGCCCTCAAGCAACATCTTATATACTCGTGACTCGTGAATAAAGTATAGACGCTTCCCCTATTAACTTTTCTTGTATAGTTGATATATGGGTTCTCTTTCCGAATGGTAAATTTCCCTTAGATCATCTATTACTCTGCATTGCCTACAGCTTGATTCCACGTTAGCAAACAGGACCATCTTTTGGCTCATGAAGCTTTGCAGCAGGAGCTCGAGCTATGTAATGTGCATAACTCATGACTAAGCAGTTACACGTTTCGAATATAGGTGGAAATACACAGTCCAGTCTATGCCTCTCTTCTGTTATACTGAAGCCAGCTAGATCATCTCTAGAAAGGATACGTTGGTGGTGCCTTTTGTACAGCATTCGCACATTACCTGGTTCCCATGTGTTGAGCTCTGTCACCAGCGCCATTCATTTTATTTTAACTGTATAGGTACTGAACAGCACTCTATAGACACATGGCTATTGCCTAATAGCAATATGCCGTTGAATAGTTGATGGATGAATCAGTTTATTGGATACAGTGTCGCCTTGCCTATAGTTAATACTTTATAAACTTATAAACCTGTACGTCCCACGATAAACCTTTGTAATGTGCACTATCGCATCTAATTACGCGCTCTGTCATATTGTATCTCGTATTTTTCTCTTTGTTATCATGATATCCGGCTCCACACTAATTCTTGGTAGCAATCCTGATGATCCATTTCCATTCTGACTCACAACTCCATCTTGGACGCTATTCCCCACTCCACCTGCGGATTCAAATTTTCACATCCACAAATCCATCCATCTATACCTAGCAATTTATGACAGTCGTCATTCAACAAGCGAATCGAAAGCAATTTGGCGCAGTGGAAGCGCGCCGGGCTCATAACCCGGAGGTCGCACGATCGAAACGTGCAATTGCTATTTCGCCTTGTTTTTTTTTTCTCTTTTTGTTCATTCTTCGCCTCTTATCTTCCCCTTTCTTACCATATCATCAATGCGAGACTGGGCAAAGATATCTTTGTATCATTAAGTCATATATCATGAATCGTCAAGTTGGCCGCTGCATCAACGTATACTGAAAGCGTGAAAGAACTTGCAATTTACCGCCACTTTTTCCATGTAAAGGAACAATAGATGCTTGTAACCACGCACAAGACCCCCAAGAAACAGCACAAATGCAGCCACTCCTGGTTTGTGCTAAAGTGGAAAATACTTCCACAAGCAGGACCAAGGAAAAGGCCCAAGGCCCAGGCCGAGCTCAGGCCGCTGAGCATCATACCAGGAGTCAGCATTCTTAACCCCCAACTTAGTTCCCTACCGCTGGCTCGAATCCGGCTCCTTAAAGCCTCGACTCTCTGAGCGGCTGCGGAGATGGCGGTTGTCTGAGTCGTTGTACCGAGCGAGATGCAGAGTCCAATGAACCCAACATTCACAACAAAGAGAATTTGAGTAGTGGGATCATCCCCTGTGAGAAAGCCCAGAGTGACTATGAAGACACCGCATGCGAGAGATGCTATGGTGCTAAACCAGCGAGGGCCGTGCAAAGTTGTATACTTGCCAACCCATGGACCGCCCACCATGGGTAAAAGTAATGCGAACATGACACCGCCGCCGGCAGATGAAGTCCAGCCAAAATGGCGAAGAACGTAGATTGGGATGGTCTGTTGGAGGTTGTTAGCTGTATTCCAAATAGGAGATTTGATACACGTCGTGAGCTTACGGCTTCCAAGGCTGACCGGACGACGCATGCTATCGCCGCGCCGATGACACTGGAGAGCCAGTTCCAGCCCAGCGTCCTCAATGCAGATACATCCTCGTCATCACCTCCACAGTCGGTAGTACCAGAGAGTGCCGATCGATCGTCCTCCCCTCCACGTTCTAGATCCGTCGACGCAGCGTGATCTAGCGTTCCATGAGATACCACGACTGAGTTACCCAACAGAGCGTCTGTGTCAGAAACCCCCTTTACTGCATCCGCCAGGGTTTGCTGTGGTGATTCTGTTTCTTTTTCTTTGACTAGGAGCCGAAGAACAATGTCTGCTGCAATCACCACTTCTACTACACCAAACACAGCCCAGTGTCCCAACTTTTCATATAAGTAGCCACCGAGTAGAGGTCCGATGAGCTCACCGACTGTAGCACCTAGCGTTGTGTAACCCATACACACTCCTAAATTAGCTTCGTCCACCTGCGAGACTAGAAAAGCGATGCCTGACACCCATACGAGGGCCTCAGAGGCTCCTTGCAGAGCACGGGCGAAGATGATGAGGTACGGATCTGTGCTCAGAAAGAAGAGCAGGGTGGCGATAAGCATAACACCGATGCCAACAAGAAACGGACGACTTTTTGAAACGCTTCCATCGGCGAGGTATCCAGCAATCCCTAGACGCGGATCAGTTTATGTAGCTTGGGAGGGCTGCTGAGTGAAAAATTGGTTAACATACAGTTGGTGATAAGCAGTGCCATTCCGAAAGACTCGAGAGATAGTGCAGCCCAATAGTCGACTTTGATCGGCCACTAACGTCAGCAAGATTGAAATATTGCCGTTAATGAAACGCGGCTGGTTCTAACCATCTTCTGGAGGTGTCTTCAGCCGACCCGTGAAGAGCTCTGGTAGAAATGGTATAACCAGATCATACACCAACCCGTCCTGTGAACCGACATCAATTAGCCCTCTCTTCAAATTTGGCACTCACTCACACGCTCTATTACTTACTGTAAACACTGCAAATGCGACCGCAAAGGTCACCAGCCCCTCTGACGAGCGCCACGGCCATGTTCCTCTTCCTGATAGGCGGCCCATTGCAGGCACCTCGGGATGGCTATTTGGATAGCAATGGTAGGTGTGAGAAGAGTAGAGTAGACGGCTGGTATCCCATGAAAATGAGCACCTGGAGGAAATACTTTATGGAAGCTAAACGGGACCTGCGATTTTAATACTCCAAAGCTTCACCGCAAAAAGAGAGGTAGGATCAAGTTCTGCAAGAAGGTTAGGTGGGCGGGACGGCATATGCTCCAAAGGGAGGGTACAAGATGCCGAAGTCCATGTCCACATAATGGCGGGCCATCGTTATTCACTCTAGAGACTGAATACTTGTACTTGATTGTCAATACAGAATGAGCCTGTATACTCCGTAATGCATGGAGTAATTTGTAGACCTGTGCAGCAATAGACTGACGTGACAGGTCATGCGAAGTGGTGGCGGAATGAATAGCGAGAATACTAGCAAATTGGAGAGCCTGCTGTACCCCCATGAATATGTCTCACAGTAATAAAAAGAGCAAACACCAACTGACGATGATGGGCGTCTAGTAATCAGCCACTATTGCAAGGAGGCGATAACAACCCGCCTGTTCCATTCGCCCCGGTCAGGTTCCACTACCACCACAAGACGAAGAGAACGGGCTTTGGACATGTAGTGATTTGCTCCGGATTCTGTACTACACAGACTTGATGCGAGGTCGGTTACCAACATCGATAGCTGATGCGATGATGGCCAATTACATCAATTTGCCCAGAGCTGAGCACGAGAAGGCGAGAGATGATAGGAGGCCCTTATCGTTGAAAATCCGGTACTGATGTTCCGACTGCAAGAAACACGCTGCCCTCTGCATATCTCCACTCCTAAATCGAGGGATGCAAGATGTGTTAACCTATCTGGAACAAGAAAGATGCACGCGCTCATGATCAAGGGTCCACTGCGGGCTGCATATGATCCTTGACAAAGAGAGATGTCGCCTACATGCACTCCATAGATGTAGATTTAACTGGACAGTGGGTATATAGAGTCGGTGAATCACCGACCTGCAGCTGCAAGCCCATTTTGCTTTTCAGAAACAATCCCACAGGAGGATTACATGATTCATTGATTGAGTGGGTGAATGAATAGTGTGCATGTATGGTGGTACTCGTTGGTGGCGCCAACTACGTGCATGTCTCAGTAAACCTCCACTATCACCGTCGCCCTCACTACAGGGATCCTCTTCCTACTATCGAAAGAGGCTTTGCGAATCTCTAGACCCTCTTGCTACGAGATGATGTCCTGATAGTATGAGAAGATGTTTGCCTCTCTTGCAAAGCAAAGACAATATCCATGCTTGGCATTTCCATTGCCATTAGAATGGTTGTCATACACTCCGTTTCTGCCAAAAGGACATGGAATCTTGTGTGCCCCTCCTCCAAGTCTTTGATGTGACATGCTTTATACGCACAAGCACAAAGGAGATTAAAAATTATTCATCTGCAAGATGCGATTTTTTGGCCCCGAAACGGGCATCGTGTTCCGTGTCTAAATGGCACCTTAACTGCCTTATACAGGCGCCAAAGCGATTCGAGGGGTTCAGCCTGCCCCTCTCTGCCAACCCCGCGCCTAGATAATGGGATTCTTCCGATGTATTAGCTTGGTTGCTACGCTTCTGGAGCTGGGGAAATGGTGGCCGTGGGGGCAAAATTCCCTCAAATCACGAGACGCAATGGAAGAACGGCATCGTGACTTTCGGAAAGCTGGCGAATGGGCTGCCTCCAAGGCTTCACGTTACAGCGCGTAAGAGGAACTAGGGAATCTGACCGAGCTATTGCTAACGGCGACTTTGGACATGGACCAGGAATAGGCATCTGTGCGCATGTGCGGCCTCAGGCATCGCGTGGATTTGACTATATGATTGGTGTTCCATGACGAATACCTCGTAGAGCGTTCAATGCCGTTGCATGATCTGTGATTTGTGCTCTGAAACTGTCTGACCTCTCGAGACACACTTAAAAAATGACTGTAATCATGAGCTGAATGATGATCATAACTTGTTCCTATATATCGGACAGACGATGAGATAAAATGTAATGGTGATGGAAATATCTGATCCGCCATTAAGCTAATATTATCGACCGCCTAATGTGAATTGAGTATAAATTGAAGAATAGCGAAGATGGTAAAATTACAAATGATTTTCTATACGACACATAAGCTGCATGGTCAAAGTCGCTGCTTAGATCTAGATATGCACTGAAACGCTGTTGAGGCGCGTACCTATATTTATGCCATTGATCTTTATTCGGAGAGTGTACCTATTTTTTGGAACTTGATGTAATAGCAAGTGGAATGCGTTCATCAGTGGTGTGTCTATACCCAGACTCTTATGACGGCAATGCTATGTGCTAGCGCTTCCGATGTTGATTGACATGGCTTTCGTGAGAATCACCACTTCCATCTTCATCTTCGGCATCTGCTATTACTGTGATGTTGCCGCTGGATCTGAGAAGGCATAAACGAGGAGACTGTTGTGTTGTATTTCCACTACATGCTGAACGGCCCCCAATTGAGATATTCTGATTATTCGACTGGGACGCAAATAGTAGCACTAGCCTGACGATCAGTGATCTGCAACATACATAGTATATTTTGGTAAGTTCTTTCTCAAAGCTTGTGCTGCGATGGTCCACCCAATATTGGCTGTACTAGTCCCTCGGATCAAGTGGCTCCATCTGGAAGGATGAGAAAAAGGATGCCAGCGCCAGATGCTATAAAAAAGACTCATCAGAGTTTAGCTAAGTAGTACTGTTCCTGATACACGGAAGATGGAGGAATGGCGTAGAGCAAGCTCATAGGTAAGGTTGTAGGCCCGATTCATAAGGTTGGAGATACCTCGACGACCGGTAGAAAGGCCTGAGTAACGGGTTATACATAACGAAGTCTAGGTTTTCAATATACGCCAGGAAGTTTACATGATGATTGAGGTATAAATAAGACAATTGAAGAGATTGTGGGACGGAAATGTGGTTGATCGGATTCTCTAAATCTGCATCGGCATTAATACGATCCCTTGATAATGCGTACCAACGAGAGCAAAAAAGTCTTCATTGGAAATGAAATGCAATTACGGCATTTGGGCATGCTGATAAGGAATTTTCCTCTCTTATAAGTTTGGGTTTTAAGCGGCGGATGCGGCGCCAATGAGCTAGAAATCGCGTTGGATATGAGGGTCCTCAGAAGCCACTAGCTAATACGGTGTTCATGGGCCCTAGAACCACGAAGGATCCATCATAAATGCATGGGAACCACTTATTGACATAATCAATATAGTTGCTAGTTATTTCTTGAGATGCATTACATTAGTGTTAGAAGAAGCATGATATACAATTAAAATTCGGAAGAAGAGGCGAATCATTTGGATAAAAAAGTCGTGATCGAAGATGAGAGAGAGAGTATGTGTGTGTGTAAGATCTCAGAGAACTTGCGGTACTAGCAAATTTTCACATGCAAAACTCCGCTGTACCTGCGCACTAATGGCATTAGGCTATGAGTTAAAATAGTCATTTGACCTGGTTAAAGAGAATACGACACATTGACATGCTTGGCTCAGCACTTAAATGCAACAAAGGTGGTCTTGAACAAGGTTCTCCGCCTTGTGCTCCGTACAAGCGCCGGCAAATAGCCCAGAGGAGAAGCCGCAATTTCGGAGCTTGCCCGTCAAAAACCGATTCACACAAAATGACCAATAGCTGTACACGCTTCTTAGTTCATTACAGAGTCCTCCTCACAGGCCCCAAATTTCAGCCACTGCCGTGAGACTTGTGCCTGTTTCTGTTCTTCACCAAATAGAGAGTTTAACCTTTCAACCCAAATAGCAAAATTATTCGCGCATCTGTATTATGCTTTGTTCCCTCCGATCGCCCGCAAACTCATCCTAAAATGTAGACAAGCCGGCGCCTTGCCGTTCTTGTTACCGGGCCCTAACCGGCACCGCCCAACCAGGAAGGGCAGAGCCGTCCGTGGGCGATCAGCGACCATTCGGGATGCGGAAGGCTTCTGGAGAAGGTTCTTGGCATCATATAAAAAATATCCTCCTTCGGGCAGGTCCATGATATGGGCGGAAACTTCATCAAGCTTTGGCCTCTTCGGCATATGTTCTACGCCGATTCCAACCTAGTGCATAGCTTCCCTTACGTGGACGATGGATATCCAGGTGGTATTGGCATTACAAATGACCGTAAAGATAGATTAGAGTCGTGTATATAAGAAAGAATCATTCGCTCTTGAATCTGAAAGAGAGCTGGCTACACAGTTCCCTAAAGTTGCCATTAAAGCAAAAGGCTCTATCCTCTCATCATGAAGTTCGCAACTGTTCTGGCCACTCTTGCTCCGGCAGTTTTGGCGCTGCCGGCCTCTGACGCGGCAGTGAACCGGCGCCAGACCAGCATCACAGCCATCACAGACCAATATCTCTTCAGCCTCACTCTCCCCGACTTCATTTCTCGCCGCAACGCTAAGAACCCGGCTACTCTTGACTGGACCTCTGACGGCTGCACCAGCTCACCTGATAACCCTTTTGGATTCCCCTTTGTGCCTGCCTGCTACCGCCACGATTTTGGTTACCAGAACTACCGTATCCAAAACCGATTCACGGAGAGCGGCAAGCTCAGCATCGATAACAACTTCAAGGCCGAGTAAGTCAAAGCAATTTTACTCATCGTGAAAACTTAAGATGTAATGCTGAACACGACATGCTGCAGTCTCTACTTCCAGTGTCAAACATCGAGCGTTCAGGGAGTTTGCAATGCTCTTGCTGATGTTTACTACGCTGCCGTGAGGGCATTCGGAGGTGGTGATGCTTCTCCTGGCAAGCGTGAGGAATCGCAAGAGGACTTGGTTAAGGTGTATGAAGAGAAATTGGAGGTTTACAACAAGGCTGTGAAGGAGGCCCAGGATAAGGGACTGCTGCCCATCCTGGAGTAAAACGATAAAAATGTTTTGTACGCTTTGATATGACTGATGATTCCAATAATGAAAAAAAATTTCTTCTACATAGGTAACTGGTGATTGATGGAAACATTAATGTTGAAAGAGAACCAGATCCGTCCATATGCATGCAGTTCCTCTCTCGTTCAACAGCTGGAGGATGTTTTATACACCAATCCGATGCAATTGATCGGGATACACGAAGATACATCGATACTTGTTCAATGTCTGCCATTGGACAATAAGTTCCCTCAATTGTATCAGCAAGCTTCAGAATAAGCTGTGCTCAGAAATCTCCAATAATCGGCCTCCTAGGAATCAAGCTTAATTCCGTCTTGTGTGTTCTGCATTTGTACCCCGCACTTGGTCTTTCTGCTACCCCGCACTGCCCTAATAATCAGATCAGATCAGACGTCTCGGTTTCGGCTCGGCGAACGGAGAATAACGATTATGGACGAGAAGCTGAATTGATGCATGGCAGCCATAACTCCTAGGGCGTCAAATGGCACTTATAGTGGGCCGTTTCTTGGGATCGTATTACATGAGCAGGAGGGCGCCACGAGAGGAGCGCCGATCAAGGCCGATTAGTCTTACTATATAAACTGTATGAGAGGGCCAACGTCCAAAGGGCATGTGAGAGGAGCGGTTATACTTGCGTTTTAACAGCATCCCAAGCAGACAGGAGGTATATCAGTTGTATATCTTGAAGAATTGCATCATCTTTCAGACATGTCAACTCCGGCTCCAAACCCAGTTGTGGCGCCTGACCACATCCATGCGCTGCTCAACCGTCTTCACCAAGAGTCCCTTACCCAGGAAGCGGCTCTCCCATCTACATATTTGAGCTCTCCCGAGGGATTTGATGACTTAATGAGAGACAAGTTCATTGCGCTGGATCAGGATAAGTGTCAATTCGTCTACCAGCTTGCCAGAGCGATCGGAGCTCGCAATATTGTTGAGATTGGTACCAGCTTCGGCGTGAGTACCATCTATCTCGCATTGGCTGTGGGAAGCAATCTCGACCACCTGGGTGGTGAGGGTAAGGTTATTGCCACGGAAAAAGAGCATACAAAAGCAGAGAGGGCTCGTCAACACTGGAAGGAAGCTGGTGACTCCTTGGTGACCCGTCATATCGATCTCAGAGAGGGGGATCTCCTCGAGACGTTGAAGAATAACATCCCACAGATTGACCTGATCCTTCTAGATAGTAAGTTGGATATTATACTGACCAAAGTCGTCTCATCTAACTGTTTTCCAGTTTGGGCTCCTGTCGCTCTGCCCGCCCTGAAACTGCTGGAACCAAGGCTCAGGTCTGGAGCTGTTGTCATCATCGACAATTCAATTAGTTCTGCCACTAGATACAAAGAGCTATTAGATCACCTGAGGTCTCCGACAAGCGGTTATACAAATCTGACGCTCCCCTACTCCAATGGTTTGGAGATGTGCGTCAAGGTCTAATAAGACAGCCCTGGATTTAATATAGCCGCAAGACTACTAAATTTAAAACTTTGCTCACACAAGTTTCATTAAATCCTTCTGGTGTGAAAGGTAACGTCTCAGGGCTAAGGGTCCCCCGTCAATCCATCCTCAATCCTGATGGTTCCAAGGCTCGTCAAGGAAAACTCTTGACTCATTTGCATAAGTTCTGCCAAGCATTCATGACTTTGGCACCACCATGGAAGATTAGACTCAACGTCATCGCATAATAGACTCGCCGTTAGCTTTGGTCTCGATTTATTCTCTGCAGTTCCACATGAAAGGGCAGAATTGTTTGTGTTTGATCCTACTGGCGTTGCTGTCTTAGGAGTTGCAGCTGGCTGGGAAGGTTTATCTTCCAATGAGTGCTCCAACTGCTGCTGACCAGATTCAGATGCCAATCCATGGCCGATTTTAAATAGTGTTAGCCACTGCTCATTATCTGCAGGGGTTTGATTTAATGGATCATCATCTCCGTACAAAATAAATCGCGCCTGTCGACGAAGTATATCGCAATTGATGGTATCGCCATTTTCGCGTGCAGAAGTGACGAAATTGCCGAGACGGGCTGTAAGCACTTCAAATACATTTGGAGGGTTCTGCGTCTCTGGCGACAAGAGAGTTTTCTTCAAAATACCCCTTGAAGCACTAAAAGGCTCAAAGTCCAGAGACTCATTACCTATGAGATAAGGTGGCATTGCACTCTGGACAAGCATCGCAACAGAAGGTTCGAGTCCTCTATCCCCTTTCCAGTCTTTCATAGATTTGCCGTTTCTAAAATGGTCGACTAGATGATCGTTGCGATCTGACCAAAGAGAAAAGGTTTCTTCGCAAAACCCGCATCGCGATTTTATTTCGGAGATTTTCGACCGCCAGGAGTTCATAGACGGTATCATTTTGTCAATGCCGTGTGCAAGACGTAAATGCTGATGTAGATGGTCTTTTCTATGGAAGGTCCTCAATGAATGAGGTTTCATGACGCAGTCGGAAATGTGATGAGACTCGAGATGAGCGTCGGTAGGATCACATGAGTCACACAGAGAACATTTTGGAACAGCATCTCCAAGGTCCCATCTCTTAGGTCCTGCGGGAAGGCATATCCACCGCTCAAGAGCTAGATGGAGTGTCCCCTCGTGTCTCGTCCAGTCGTATCTTGATTTGAAGGTGTCTGCAGAAGGTACACTGATAAATCCGCGAATCGTTCTCTTCTGCTGGCTCGTCTCTCGCCGTATGGCGCAAAGCTACACATCGCGTCTTACGATGATGACGGCTTGTACGATCGGAGCCATGGGAGTAAGAAGAAGAACAAGAACTTGAGAGAGCTGAAGCATTAACTGGCACATCATCCCGGGAGACAAGCCCAGCCAAGTCACCTTGAACTGTAACCTGGGAGATGGCACCTGATGAAGAGGAGCGGTGCCGGCGATCAATTGCCTTTACGTTGTCCTGTTGTTCTTCATTCAGATCCAAAGAGGTAGGTACCGATGAAGACACAGGATTGATGCTACTGTCAAGTATTTCGTTTCCTTGCCGCTCAGCATCTCTTCGTCTCGTGTTTACGAACCATTGTGATATTTGGCGAACGCTCAAGCCTGTTTGATGACTGAGCTCCTTTTTTTGCTCTGCACTTGGGTAAGGCCAAGCAGAATTGGAAGTGTACCACTGCTTCAATAATTGTGTAGAGCGCCATGAATGTCTGGTGATAGGTCGAGTTGAATCGTCTACCGGCGCATCCTGCATTTTTAAGACTTGGTCCAGAGTGGATTTGCTCTTCTGTGCAGCTTTCAATAGCTTGGCTCTTTCTCTCTGGCACGCAGGTATCGCTGAAACTGCGAGGCGATCTCACGCAATGCTAATTATCGCGGAACCTTTTTCGTCTTTAAACAAAGGGCGAATAGAAATGTCAGCACAATGTCGTTAGTTGAGAAGAAGGAAGTTGGCTAGTGAGATGGCGGCAACTAGACGACGAGTTATGAGTAGTCGGACTATCTCCGGATTTCCACCCTCTGGATGACGTCTAAATCCCTATTTGGGCGCGTATTTTCGCGTCTTTCTGAATAATATCCAATTGCAGAAGATGACTAACCACATGGTATATACATAGTTCCATCAAATTGGGGAGATGCATCGAGATATTCCCCTTACTACTCTAGTATGCTCAAGTAAACATTGGCATTTCCCGGTCAACGCTTACACCACTTCTCACAGTTGAACAAGACTTTGAGCTTTGTTTCTTAGAGATCATAGAGTTGCTGCCTAACTAAACGGAGAGAATTTTGCGCCGCTATGACTTTTGTTTCTCGCTATACTGGCTAAAAACAGAATAATGAAAGAGAAATGTTTTGCTTATCTAGTCGACGAACCAAAGCTGCTCACTTGGCGTCTCCTCCACCACAACATCGTGAGAAAAGGCCTTGGGAATAAAAGCCCACATGTACTCTTCCAGGTCAGGACCAATATTGTTTTGAACCGCTTGTCTTAACTCCGGACTGGATTTCCATGCCTCCGCCATGACTTCTTTCATCTTGTCCTTAACCTTGGCCATGCAGTTCTTCCAGTCCTCGCTCTCACGATCTTCGATTGTCTGTAGATTGGACGTTTCTTGATCTATTGCTACAAGTGTAGCCAGGTCCCTGAAAATTGTCATCATCAGTACTTCTTCATCGCTCAACGGCGACATAACCACCGCCCTTGTTCGATGAACTCGTAGACCAGTTTGCAGTTCTATGGGCGTAATTGAGGCATGTCCGAAATCTCCACCAACCTCTTCGATTTGAGCCATGCATGCGATGATTGTCCCGTCGGCCCGAGACTTTTCATCATATATCAAGATGCATCTCCCGGAATCTATCTCTCTGCAGAGAGGATTATTTTGCTTTCTGTCAAAGGCTGATCTCTCCTCGTCTGTCCAAGACGCAATTTTCTTGCTGCGATACCAATCTATTACTCGGCACCATTTGCCACTTTCAGCATTGCGAACAATGATTTGATCTTCTGTGGCATTAATAGATCCAGGCCAGGGATGCAATGGAAGCCCGGCTACCAGAGGACGTGGAATAAGGCGGCATCCAGGCAGAGCCACTTTCAAGCCTAGAGGTGTTGGTACGGCCAGGCCATCTCCAGCCAAGCGTAGCACGCGCTCATCAATACTCAAGACAGGATCTTTGACAGATGAACCTAATAGACTCCTGGGAGCCCATCGCCATCCAGGTATGCTTAGTACTTCATCTGCATAAAATATAACTCGCGTGGGAAGGCTACCGAGCGACTTGTTCATTAGTTCCCAGGCGCGAGCCATCCGAGTTTCTGCATCAGGGGCCGCAGCAATGTACTTTGTATCGAGGCCCATCAAAGTTGAGATACAGAGCGGTTCATCAGATGGAACAGACACTGTCCGGAACTGCAGTGCTCGTTGAAGGTTAAGGAGCGGTGATTGCTTTATAGTTAGGCCCTCTATTCCGTTGAGAAGACCTTGGAGTTCATTGTACTATATGAATCACTATTAGGTTTGGTCTTCTCACGCATTTAATCATGGATAGGAGGATAACTACTTACTGCACTCATGACGTCTTGCCATATCCTCATATAGCGCGCATCGACGTTACCAGCAGCATAGAGCTTGACGAGTAATGCGTAGCTGTTAACCGCCTTATCCGCGAATTGTATATATAGGCTTTTCGTCAGTGCACCCTCTATACACATACATTAGTTTCTGAGATATTAGCGAATGCGGTTTAGGTAAACTGTTCCAATATACCTTGAAGGGTCCATAATCGTCTCATCCAGGGAGATGCTCCGTATATACGCAACATCAACTCCGCAGGATGAGTGTCTTGAGAATCAAATCCGGTCAAGGATGCGTCTAGAACAAGAACATGAGCTGCATTCTTGTAAACACTAGCAATCCGCTCAAGCGCGATCAGTTTACCCCCAAGCTCTATAGGGCAACAAAGAGTGTCAATCCAGATACGGTATTCGGTTCTGTATTCTGCATCTCCTGTCTCTATTTCGGCCTGCATTGAAGCTATTAACTTGGCCACATGTTTTATTTGGCATCTTGGAAGAGAGTTGGCTTTTGGATTTCCCAAACCGTTGGCCCAAACCTATTGGATCTTAGCGGGTCATCATATTCACGTAGATTTAGGAGAGTACTCACATGAGAGAGGGCGACATACGGAACACCCGGCTCGTACGGTTCCACTACAAGCTCAAAGTCATCTACTCCATCTCCTATCTGCTCAAAACGTATGATAGGATAAGTATCGGTACTACGGAGAATTAAAGACGTTGCTCTCTCGTCAATACCAATGAGATCACAGTTGCAGCCATCAGAGACGTGTGAAGGCTTATAGGTCTCTATATCCATCTGAAAGGCTGTGCATAGATGGCGGGTACAGTTCGAATGATCCTGATTAGCATTAGGTCTCTGCAACTGTGCTATATGATGCATCGTATGCAGTCCCTGAAACTGAGATCGGATCTTTTCAGTTTCGCTCGGGCACCATCCTCGTTGAAGCATTTGCTTGTCCATCGTGCCACCAGCCTGCATATAATTTTGATGCCAACTGAATCCTACAATGGGAACATCTAATTTGGGGTTCGACTGCGCAACAATTCGAAATAACCCTGTGGTGAAGTACTCTCCAAGGGCACATATCGAGTATCGCACCGTTTCATCCAAATTCGAGACAGAGAACATCATCAAACAAGCATAATGAAGGCAATCACGCATGTATATGAACCTCTGTTGCTTGTCAGGCACAAGCTGCATCCTCTCGGCAAAGGTTTGAGAAGCTTCCAGCACGGCACTGGCACTAAGGTATCGACTACCGTCTTCCTCAGCAACAGATACACAAGTCTCGTGCAATTTCCGAATCTCTTCGGTGGCGAGGGAATCTTCAATGATGCGATGGCCAGGGCTGGTCTCGTTTAGGCCAAGTATTTCGGCAAACAGTCCGAACCAAAGCCATGTCTGCACAAACGGTTGGATATCCTCTTTTGGTGTGGGGTAAAGAACCTCCAGGTACGGCTCGTTGGATACATCTATGCCAAGAAGGCTTCGGAGACGTGGAGGAACTACTCGGACCATGCCCTTCCTCACCGGATAGGTAAGAAACGGTCCGCCGTCCCAATACTCAGTACAGACATACGGTGTCTTTCGGGGTGGAGTAGCTGGGGAGCCTGGTTCGCATAGTAAATCCATCGGGGACACTATTTCGTATTCGAGAAAGATAAGGTTAAGTTCCAGATAACTTTAAACCCTATGTATACCAGTATGCTGGTTGAGAGGCGGGCACAGGCAGCGTAACAACAGCCCAAGAAGTTGCACGAAGGCATCCATCGCTATTAATTCCTCAGGGCCTGCGGGGGTTTTCGAGTGAGCCCATGCGCTTTATGTAATACAGCAATATTTTTGACCAAGCGGCTGGGCTCTTTTTGCTCTATCTTCACGTATCCTTACTAGAATACTTGTTCCTAATTTGTCGTCTAATACAAACAATTCACAGATCGCAATAGACTCAATGTATGTGAAGCCACAATCTGATAACCCGCCTTGTTGCAGATGAAGGAAAGCTGTACAAGTTGAAGCCCCGGCGGAAATACGGAAATATCGAAGCATTTCAACCTGCCTTGCCTCTATTAGGCCCCGCTCATAGGGAGGGGAGGTTAGCCAAGTACCCCGTATTTTAAACGGAATACGCAGGAATACGAAGTACTCTTTTTCTTGAAACAATTTTGCCTCCTGCAGAAACTACGCTCCCATTGCTCCGAAGGATTCTTCCGAGAATTTCTTCCTTATCAAAGCAGAGTGTAATATCGGGTATGCACCGGCTCTTTGGTTATTAATGCATAGATGCCCTCCCTGACTAAGAATCCCCTAAGCAAAACGAGGACAATCAATAAGGGACATCGAATTGAATGAATGCATTTCATCTCAGCCAGCGTCATTGCTCGCATTAAATACATTTTTTCCTCTTCTCATTCTTGCATCTTAGTATTGAAACAATGACGAACATCAACAAGGCTTGTGAGGAATGTCGAGTTCGAAAGATTCGCTGCGAAGGTGGAAACCCATGTTGTCGATGCTCGAAGCGTAACATGCAATGCGTATATCGCTTCAAAGTTCGAAATCGCTTGAAGAAGACTCGAGTGAAATCCAAACCATTGCCAAAAAAGCATAACCAGGAAACGTCTTTGGAACGACAAGTCAATCGCAGTCATGAGTCCGAGACTGAGGGTAATCAGGGGTTTCACATCCATAGCATCGCGGCACTCCCTATGCCCTCTTACAACTTTCAACTACACTATGGACCATCCTCCAATTTTTCAATCATGCATCTGGTATCTAGTCAAATCTCCGGCGTTCCGCAACCTCTAGGGCGAAGTGAGGAGGTCGCACAGGTTGGCCCTGGATTGGATCTGTTTGAGTACAGATTCCTATTTTTTGGCGACTTGGCAGACTCAAATAAATCCGTGCCCACCGCAGGGGTTCAATTCACCACTCTTCCATCGCAAGAGCTGTCCAATCAGCTGCTTGAGCGGTATCTTTCAACCTATTGGCATTTGCTACCCATCGTCACCAAAGAAATCTTTCGGCACCGGCTTGCTCAAATGTACTCTTCGCCTGGAGTATGCGCATTTGACTCATTAGATGGCATGGTAGTGCTTGCTGCCATGGCTGTTGGTGCATCTATGATGGGAGAAGAGAAAGTTGCACAGATGCTTTTCCAAGGGGTTAGAACCAATGCAAGACGTGCCAGCGAATATGTGAATATTCAGTCTATTCATTTGGAGCTCCTGTTGGCACAGTTTCGGATGGAAAGATCAAAACCGCATTCCGGATTTATGCACGTTGGAAATGCAACTAGGAAGGCCATTGCGGCCGGACTCCACAGAGGTGTTAATATCCGAGGCAAGCCAGAAGATGCCTCGCAGCGCCGACTTGCATTCTGGTGCACGTACGTTTGGGAAGTGTGAGTAGTTCTTGATCCTACTATATCTTTACTATATGACTGACTTCCCGCGCCTCAAGATGGGTGTGCTTCATTCTCGGGCGCCAGACATCTATTTCTGAGCTCGGCTTGGATGTACCTGTTCCCACAGACAACAAGATAATTGCGGCCTTGGTGAAGTTGACAAAGATTGTTTCTCATTGCGCTGATCGTATCTACAATCAAACTTACGAATCACTGGTGCATATGTGGGATGTGGTAAATGAGATTCGAGGCGAGCTCCGTGAGTTTGCTAATGAGCAGCGTAAGGAAATTGGGCTTGAACCTGACAGGGTATCTTGTACCGGAGAATTGGGGTTCTGTTTGACGACAATATCAGCGAGTAAGTGCAATGACAGAGATATCCTAGGTGACTATCGCTAACAACATCCGGTTTGTCTCAGTGTATCATCATACTCATCTACTGCTATTTCGACCTTTCCTGATACTCAGAGCAAAGCTAGACCTCATACCACCCACGATAAGAACTCCGGCATTGAATAAGCTCGACAAGCTCGCATGGCTGAATGGCGCGTGTGAGAACTGTTTAGACACCGCTCAGAAATGTATACGGCTGGTTACTAAGTCTTGTGAATTAGACGAGGCCTGTAGAGTATGTTTAAGGTGCCCATTCACGTAAGCGCCAATGCAACTGACGTTTAAAGCAGAGAACAGTATACATGGCATTTTTCCTCGAGGGGGCGTGCTTCGTTCTTGGTTTTGATATGCTCAGCAATAAATCACGGCGCACCATCCATCTCCCATATATGCAGAATGCCGTTGCTTGCCTATCAACGATGATACCTAAACAGGACAAAGCCCTTCCGCAAGTCCCTATTCTTGTGAAAGGGATACAACACATAATCAATGCCTCTATGGCTTTAGATGTCCAAAGCATCGAAGAAGGCTCACAAATGGAATCCTTGTGTAACAGCAGCCCCTCCATGGCGACATCTTCTAACATGGACGCGAACCAAGGAGATTCTGAACCTCATCCTTTTCTCCTTCAACAACATACAAATACCCACACCATCGACTCCACAACATACGATGAATTAAATAGCCGAGTCTCCTCAACAATTGCTGGCATAGAATATGGCTGGCAAAATATGAGCGTCGAAATGCTCTGGCCAGAATACCCACACCAATTACTTCTAAACATGCAGCACGCTGGAAGATCTCCTGTTCCAAATCATGACGCTGCTTTTGGCAAGCCGCTTTAAATGCGACAGTAGGGTTTATTTCACAACCACAAACTTAATAGTCGAATTTAATCGCTAGGCATAACGCAAGTGCTGCTCAAGGTCTCACAGCATACTAATTGCCTTTGTTCAAATGATCTTTTATAATATTTTCACTCCTCTATCACCCAGACAGCAACGGTTGCCAAAAATGTCTGAATGGAACCATTAATAGAATTCCTCTTTTTATAGTTGTACTTGAAAGCGCCCACGACTTGGCGCGCTCAACTCCATATCGGAGGAATATAAAACCTATCAGCTAATACAGTGCGAGGAGAAATTTGTCATGTATTTTATACCTCTACAGTGGTGATATATTATGTCTCTATGCCGCATTAGGCATTTGATCATATGGGCATCACACTGTTCTATACAATTTGTGGTTTGGAATTACTATATAATAACACTCAGGTACATATCGAGCAACAAGGAATTAACGTCATGTCTAATCTGACGACCCAAGTTGCCATGATGGGCTGATTTAAACTATCTTAATAACCTCGGAGCTGGCTCAAAGCTGGTAAAGAGATAAATTGTAAAAGCTAGCTTCAATTGATCCATTAGCTGATGGATGGTTTGAGTGGCCTTGATTAGTGGGGTATAAGATAAAGGCGAAATGCTTTGTGGCTGACGAACTTGGGGGCAGCTGATATAAACTTTAGCCATCGTCCGAGACATAACGTATGACGAGAGACGAGGCGTCCTATCATTTACTTGACGGAATGCTATCTGCCGTTTGGCATATTTGAGGTGAAAACTAAATACGGAATGAATCATACGTCACTTAGAGACGTATTGTGGTCTAAAAGGGAGACTCTTCATCCAATCCTAGCATGCAAACACGCACAATTCATTTTCATCAACGGCCAAGATGTCTGGGTCACGAATTGCGATTGTCGGAGTCGGTCAAGTTGGTGCCGCCGCTGCTTACGCACTTATTCGCAGCTCAATAGCTACTGAGTTGCTCTTGGTTGACATTAATGTGAGTTTGAGAGATGGCCAAGTTCGCGATCTCTCAGATGTAGCATATAGCTGCAACAGTCGAACAAGGGTACGGGCGGCAAACTACCACGAGGCGGGCCAATGTGACATTGTAGTAATTACTGCAGGATCAAGGCACAATCTAGGTAAGAATGGTAGCCAAAAGTACTCTGTTAGAGGTTTTGCTTCTTGGGCTTATACAGAATCCTAGGCGAAACTAGTCTCGAACAAGTATATCGAAACATCTCCATTGTCAAGACCGCTGTCGACGCAATGACGCCTTTCAAATCAGATACTATCCTACTCGTCGTGTCAAGCCCTGTCGACCTGCTCACATCCCTTGCTCTGAAACTCTCCCAGCTTCCAACCTCCCAAGTCTTGGGCTCTGGCACGTACCTAGACTCTGTGCGACTTCGAGGGATATTGGCGGACAAGACTGAAGTATGTCATGGGCTACACGCAAAGCCCCAAGTCCAGTTATGCTAACAAAGTCATTAGGTTGCGGCAAAGTCGATTGATGTGTTCGTATTGGGAGTACAGGGGGAATCACAGGTGACGGCGTGGTCTGCCGCAACAATTGGTGGTGTCCCTATCGACAAATGTCTCTCAAATGAGAAAACTATCAATCGCGCCGAACTTTCCAACGAGTGTAAAAATCGATCACAAACCATAGTTCGAGCCAAAGGAGCAACCCCCTTCGGCATGGGTTCCATCGTATCCAGTATCTGCTCTTCTATCGTCTTAGACAAACACACCGTCCATCCTCTTAGCCACTTTCAGCCGTCATTTGAATGTTGTTTCAGCTTACCCGTGGTGCTCGGCAAGAAGGGAATCGTACACACAGTAAAGGTACCGCTAGATAAGGACGAGGACATTCAGATAGCCGACTCTGCAATTGCGCTCAAGGTGATGATTGACCAAGTAAGTAAAAACTGGTGATTACAAGGGATTGTATAGGAAAAAAAAAGGAAAAATATTAGGGGATATGAGAGCCTCGTACATTATGAGTTAGCTAGTTACTCGATGAAGTGTGTGTGGAAGGAAAAATTGGAAATCTGAGACAGGTAATACTAGTAAAACTGCGTTCCGCCGCCTGATTTACCGCTTCGTATTTGCAGTTCTCTCTAATTAATTCCTTGCCTTAATTATGTATATAATTTAAAAAGATTCGGGCTCTTGCGCGATTTCGATACAAATCATCATTTGTTGCTTCCCGTTTTGGTGCTCACTCCACTGTGTTGCAATGGAACAATCTACTCGCAATACTTGGTCATCTGAACAATGGTACCTCAGCAAAAGACTACTTGATGCACAGTGCACTCACTATCCGGAATGAGTGAGTTTTAGGCTGGCCTAATTGCGGGTGCCGCCGCTTGAATGCTGTGCCACCAAGCCATTTCAGCTGCGCAACGTAATAATGCTTGAGTTGGAGCCCTCAAACTCTAAAGTGGTATGATACGGCTCAATATTACATACGAGGCTCTCATTCATGGTGGCATCATAAAAAGTTTCTCGTAAATTTGAACATGCTATGGTATCAGACAGCAAAGCGGCATCTCAGAATGACGCGGTATCTAATCTTCTTGGTGTTCCCTTGCGACAGGTCGGGATAGTTCGGATTTAGTCCCAAGTTTCTCTATATATGCTTGGAATAGTTATATGCTGTCCATATAAACTTGTGTCGAATTGTCACAGTAATTGGCAGTTTGACTGAAACAGAATTTCTTGATAGAGCCCTTGTGTTGAGTGAACGTCGACACAATGAACGGCACTTCCATCTCGGGACCCATGGTCCTTAATTTCGAGCACTTGAAACGCAACGATGTCAACTTGGTTGGCGGGAAGAATTCTTCTCTTGGCGAGATGATTGGTGCCCTGAGCGCTAAGGGAATACCGGTGCCTCCAGGTTTCGCCACGACTTCCAACATGTATTGGTACTATGTTGATGCCAATGGAATTCGTGACAAGCTGGCCTTGTTGGTGAAGGAATGGGAAGCAGGCAGGCTGAGCCTTGCTGAAGCAGGCCAAATGACCCGTAACTTGTTCCTTCACGGTAAGTGGCCGGCCGATGCGGCAGCTGCAATTATAGCTGCATACAAAGCTCTGTCAGACAAGAGAGGAGTGAAGGGTCTCAGTGTGGCCGTAAGATCCAGTGCGACTGCTGAAGATCTGCCTGATGCGAGCTTCGCTGGCCAGCAGGAGACTTATTTGAACATCTATGGGGATGAAGCTCTCTTGGACGCCTGTCGTCGGTGCTATGCTTCGCTATTCACGGACAGGGCCATGAGCTATCGTCGGGTTAAGGGTTTTGAGCAAATGGGCGTTGCACTATCTATCGGCGTGCAGTGCATGGTTCGCTCTGACATTGGCGGCTCTGGTGTCATGTTCTCCATTGACACTGAGAGTGGCTTCGACAAGATCGTGCTCATCAATGCAGCATGGGGTCTTGGGGAGAACATCGTGCAGGGAACTGTCAACCCCGACGAGTACCAGGTCTTCAAGCCACTCCTATCCAACCCCAATCTAAGTCCCATCCTGGAGAAGAAGCGAGGTGATAAGGCAATCAAGTTGGTCTACGGTGATCAGCAGACGCCAACACGCAATGTACCCACTTCAAAGGCAGAGCGACACGCCTTCGTGCTCAGTGACGCCGAGATCTTGCAGCTGGGGCGATGGGCATGCACTATTGAAGAACACTACGGATGCCCTATGGATATGGAGTGGGCCAAGGATGGCATTACTGGTAAACTATTTATTGTACAAGCTCGACCAGAAACCGTACATTCGCACCATGATGCCGGAATCTTCAAGACATACAAAGTCAGTAACAAAGGACGTGTTCTGGTCACCGGACTTTCAGTCGGCGAAGCGGCTTTGTCGGGACGCGTTTGTCTTATTTCATCGCCAGCCGATATTGACCAATTTGTTGATAACTCTATTCTCGTGACGGGGGCAACAGATCCCGACTGGGTACCTGTAATGAAACGAGCCGCAGCCATCGTCACGGATCACGGGGGCCGTACTTCGCATGCTGCCATCGTCAGCCGTGAGCTTGGTCTTCCGGCCGTGGTTGGGACAGGCAATGCAACCTATCTCCTGCATAGTGGCCAAGATGTCACTGTGTCTTGCGCAGAAGGAGACTGTGGTTTTGTTTACGAGGGAATCTCGGATGTAGCGAGCGAGACTGTCAGTGTCTCTGGACTGCCCGAGGTCAAGACAAAAATCATGCTCAATCTTGCTAATCCAGCGGCCGCCTATCGCTGGTGGCGACTCCCGGCCGATGGCATCGGCCTCGCTCGCATGGAGTTTGTCGTCAGTAACGCCATTCAGGTGCACCCCATGGCTCTTGTCCATTTCGATCAACTGAAGGACGCAGACGCCAAGCGACGTATCGCCGAACTCACAGCCGGATATCAACATAAGCCTGACTATTTTGTGGACAAGCTATCCCGCGGCTTTGCGGCCCTGTGCGCTGCCGTTTATCCCAAGCCCGCCATTATTCGCTTGAGTGACTTTAAGACGAATGAGTATGCCGGCCTCATTGGTGGTGCAGAGTTCGAACCGGATGAGGAAAATCCCATGCTTGGCTTCCGCGGCGCCTCACGGTATTATTCGCCGAGATATCAGGAGGGCTTCGCGCTCGAGTGCCGGGCTATCAAGCGCTTGCGCGAGGAGATTGGCCTCAGTAATGCGATAGTCATGATTCCCTTCTGTCGTACAGTAAAAGAAGCCAGAAAGGTTTTGGATGTCATGGCTCGCCACGGGCTCAGACGTGGAGAACACGGCCTGCAGGTCTATGTCATGTGCGAGATTCCGTCTAATGTAATTTTAGCGGCGAATTTCACCGAGTATTTTGACGGCTTTTCCATCGGCTCCAATGACCTGACACAGCTGACGCTGGGCGTGGACCGCGACTCTGGCGAGTTGGGTGACCTCTTTGATGAACAAGACGAGGCAGTCAAGTGGATGATTTCTAGAGTCATTTCTGTGGCGCGTGAGAGAGGTTGCAAGATTGGTATTTGTGGACAGGCTCCCAGTGATCATCCGGAGTTTGCTAAATTTCTTGTTGATGCGGGCATTGATTCCATCTCCGTCAGCCCCGACAGCTTCTTAGCTGCCAAGAAGCAAGTTGTGGCCGCTGAAGGAGTATCGGGAAGGGCGCAAGGCTAATACGTTGGAATATTCTTTGAGCTAGCTCTTGATGAATACTAGGAATAGCCTTGTGAATCGGGGCCTATTTCTACCGTTATTCGGGAGTAGGGGAGACTTGGGGTGAATTACGTTTAAAAATGTAATGTTTTCCTATGCAGAGTTCGAGTAAACAAATCTGAAAGCTACGCTATATTTCCTCTTTTTTTTGAACGTAAACCATTATATTAGTAAGTAGTTATATTATATTGAATGCGAAAATATTTAAAGATTGTACCCTAAGTGAATAGTACATCCGCTGCCTAAAAGAGAGAGAGAGAACACACAATTGCAACAGGCCGCACAACTGGTCTTGGATGGTACACATATACTAAAGGCTGTGTACAATGCGCAAGTTGTAATTTTGGGATGTTACAGGCATAAGTGAATACTCTACACTCAAGTGTAATGAGTATAGATAAGTGTCCAAACTAACAATAGCGAAAGATCGCGGGAGAATAGCAAGTTCAAACGGGGACCTTATGAAGAGCCAGATAAAGCTACATTCTGAAGAGTTCCGAAGTAACCAACAGTGAGAGTGGCTTTATCGTTGAGCACCGATAGATTGACCGAGGGTGGCTGGGTAGATTCCTCGGAGAAGAATTTGTGCACCCGTCTAGCAACCCAGGCAGGATTCTCATCAGCTGGTTTTTGCAAAGGTTAGCTAAGCAACAATGACAAGTATGGGAGATATCCGGCGACTTACCAATCCAGTGTCCAGCCTTCGGAATAACATCCGTCTCAAGATTGCCCGCCGCATCGCCCCAGGCTTGATTGGCGAAGGGTCCCAAGCTAGCTTCACCTCCCATTGCCAGGGTTGTTACTTGTAGTGGGCTCTTTCCAAGTGTGCCTTGAAAAAAACTGGCCGCTGAAGCAATAGCTCTATTCTCAAATGGACCAAGCATGGCTCTTAGAAATCCTGGTTTCGAAATTGAACTCGTATATCGATTAACAATGTCTTCGGAGAAACTTGTAGCGCCAGAGTAGCTCCCATGATAGAAATACCATTCTAACATTTGCCTCTCCTTGCCAGATATAAAGAATTCGGCGGCATCTGTAACGGAAAAGAAGGCAAGTTGCCAATTGGCGTATAAATCCCAGTATGCGCCAGGATTTCGAGCAAGTTCAAACCCAAACCCAGGGAGAAGGTATTCTGTCACAACGAGCCTCCGAACCAGATTAGGGTATTTTACGGCCAAAGCAGTCGCTATACCGGCCCCCATATCGTGTGATAGGACATATGTTGAGGTAATGTTGAGAAAATCCATGACGCCTTTGAGATCTTCTGCAGATGCCATAACGGTGTAGTTTCCATCTGGTGGCAACGAAGAGTCGCCTGCACCACGATTATCCACCGCGATGACGGTGTAATTCTCTGCAAGTAGAGGCCCAATAGTACGCCATGTGAGACTAAACTGAGGATTACCGTGAACCAACAGTACCGGTGGTCCGCTTCCGGCGTACCGGAAGTGGATACTAACGTCTTCGAGGGCAATGCGCTGGTGAGCCCAATCATCAAAGTCCGTGAGCGCACTTGCAGAGCGAAGCCATTGGAGGCCTAGAAGAAAAGAGAGAATAAATGGTATGTGCATTTCAGAAGAGATGCCTTTAAAAATGGGAAATCGCTTACTGGCTACCGAGTTGAATTGAGGTTTCTCGAACTTACATATATATATTCATGTATCGTCAATTTTTGTCTTATAGATGATGGATAACTAATGATTACCATTACCAAACAGGAAGTGACAAATACATGTCCATGCTGTAATTCCGAACGCACCACTGAGGGCGAAACGCCCTTGTATGGCGGCTGCATGATGACACTCATGCTCACCTAACCCTGCTTATAATTTAGGTGTAGATAAATCCCCTGAATCAGCAGAACGACCTATAATTAGAGCAACTACGGAGTAGACATTTGCCGATTTCATCAGATAGATGACCGATTATGTGAAGTCTAAGGCAACTATCTGTTGCGTAGACCCGATTAGAGTGCTGGGCATTTTTTGTCAAGATGGACAAGTTTGGCAGTTGCCATTTTCAGACAATCTCCTGAAGAAACGGATATAGTGCATTATATGTTTCCACTTGCTTTGCACCAATAAATAGAATGAGTCAGATTGGTAGTTGGTATGCTCTCATACTACCGAGTTATAAACTACGTTTAGTGCGCTTCTACGATGTTAGTTCCTAGCTATCGAATCCTTGCAGTTTCTACTTTCAGAATAGTCTAAGAAGTGCCGAGAGGCGAAACCCGTCATTTCGAGATGCTTCTTCATGACCCAAGAAATGTTATTGTAGATAATTTAATTGTTCGGTAGCTGAGAGATTTCCGTTGAGATGATTTCAAATCAGTCGCCCCCAAGCCTTTTCTACACGGAGGTGGATAGGTATTGCGACTCCTGTGTAATGTTTCTCCTCTTATTATGGCAACCTTCAATGCCACGTATAAAGACGTACACCCCAGCTACGATCAAGACGACTTTCGAAAAAGTACATTGGATTTTACACTCAATACAATTACGCATATATCTACTTGACAGCCAACCTTTCAATCATTCTATTCAAGATGGCCGCGAAATCGCCCCTCAAGGTTATCATTGGAGCTGGCAATGTATCTTCTCTTCACTGCGACTTTAACAGACTTCACTCTAACAATCAGTCTCTAGATTGGAGACAGGAGTCTTGACAAAACTGTGCGGTACGATACACCTGAAGAGGTGAATGCATACTTGAATGCATTCTACGATCGCGGCTACAACCATATTGATACCGCTCGCTCGTATTCCACTGGCGCACCAGGAACATCTGAGCCCAGACTTGGCGCTGTCGAGGCCGGAAAGAGGTTCACCATCGATTCCAAAGCGCTATCTCGGGAGCCAGGAAGCCACACAAGGGAAAAGATCGCCAAAGAGGTTGACCTTTCTCTCAAAGCTCTGCAAATTGACCAGATCAATGTCTACTATCTGCATCAACCTGACAGGGTTACTCCCTTTGAGGAGACATGCGAGGCTATGGACAAGGCCTACCGGGAAGGGAAATTCAAAAAGTTTGGGCTTTCTAACTTTACAACCAAGGAGGTTGAACAGATTCTCGAAATTTGTGAGCGCCGGGGCTTCGTGAAGCCGAGTGTCTATGAGGGGCAGTACAATCCTATTGTTCGTGGTGGAGAGAAGAAATTGTTCCCTCTTCTGCGTAAGAACAACATTGCATTTTATGCATGGAGGTATGAGATGCAATTCCATCATTCAATACTTAATCTGGCAACTGCAATGAAAGGATGGAGAGGAAGAAAGTTATGATGAGCTAACCGTTCGGTAGCCCTGCTGGAGGAGGCTTCTTTGCCGGAAACCATAAGAATGGTAAATCCGGCGGCCGTTTTGACACATCCGTGAGTTCTCGGGATAGACTTTTCCTGCATGTCGCGAATTATGCGATTATCTAACACTGACATGTAGACTTTTCTCGGAGGCGTCTACTCGAGTCTGTATCTCAAGCCTTCTATTGAGGCTGCAACGGAGAATGCTTTGGCGGTCGCTGGCAAACACGGTATCAGCGGCCACGCTGCTGCCTTGAGATGGACACTTCATCACGGTGTTCTTGATGCCAAGTTTGGTGATTCCATCATCATCGGCGCATCCAACATCGATCAGCTCAACTCCAACCTCGACGTCATTGAGCAAGGGCCCCTTTCAGATGACGTCGTACAGGCTATTAGTAAAATATTTGAGGAAGTAGGTACTGACGAAATCCCCTATCACTTTTAGATGAGAACTCCGCGGCTAGGCTACTTGAATCATTGGTAATCCCGCAGTTGTCTTCTTCATATGCCTCTTCTCTCGGCCTGATTACGTGAAGAAGAAGCCGGTAGAAAGCCGGTTTAAAATCGGCAGGATTCGGAAGTCCAATTTGGGAAACTGCAAGGCTTGGCAAACCCGTTATAGCCTAGTGTCAAAGTTCATAGTGAGGTACTCAGTCAGGCGGCTTTCCGAGCAATTGATATTTTGGATTTATCATCAACCCGTTCCAAACGGAATTAAAATTCTCACAAAACGTCTAGTATTGCGGCCAATGCTTTGGTCTCAATTCTTTTGTAGTCGGCTAGTAAATCCTACAATTTTAAAGCACCTGAAAATCCCAACTCCATTGTCCTTCAATATCTCAACAAGTTCCTACCATGAGTCTACCTTCACGAGGAAAGCTGCATTTTGTCTATCTCACAGATCCCTCAAAGGCAGCCATATCATCACATAAAGCGGCTAAAGCACATGCCGCGCGTTACGGTCATGCAAGGATACGGAGACAGCGAATGGATGAGTACCAGGAAGAGAGGAAGAAGCAAGAAGGAAGCACTAAAGCGACTCCTAAAGCCGCGGCAGAGTCCTCGGCAAGCGGTAGCCGTTCAGCCTTGGCGGCAAACCCACGTTCCAGCTCTTACGAGAATGAAGCCAGTCATGTAATGGTTCTCCATCTTCCTCGCACTCGCCAATCCCCTGTCTTGGAAACGTCCCCACTTTCTTCAATACCTAAGAACATCAATTCTGTCTACGGAAACGAGATCGATCCTACACAACAATATCTTTTACATCACTGTGAGTTGTTGACCCGTCTGCTATGCTGCAATAATTATTACGCGGCTTGGCTTATATAAGGATAGATGTCAGCTTTGTTATCCCTTTTGGCAAACGGCACTGCAGAAAATACACGGACTCTAACGTGTGGAAACGCTTTATGCTTACCGAGTTGCTCCCAGCTGCGCTGGCCAACCCTGGACTACTGAGCGCAATTTTGCTTTCTGCTTGCCGCAGCCTTTTTGAAGAAGCCAAGAACAACCGTTACGTACAGTTAGCTACATACTACAAGTTGGCTTGCCTGCGATCTATGAGTGAACTGCTCGCGACTCAAAATCCTCAGGTGGGCGACTCAGCAATAGCCCAAGCTTCTTTACTAGCAGCGGATGAGGTAAGGCACGAATCCACATAATTGAATGAGCTGATGTTAAATCTTTGAGCAGCTCAATATCGGTGATAAAGATACTTCGAAGCAGCACATGGAAGCAGCGAACAGGATGGTTCTTATGAAAGGAGGCAGCGCAACGCTTGGAATGAATGGCTTCCTCCAGGCCATAGTAGATACATTGACTTGCGCGTTGTCACGCCGAGATCCAATGTGTAAGCCTCCTGCCCCCCGAGCTCCCGATATTCGTCATGTACTAACCTAAAGATAGCCTGTGACATGACATGAACGTAGTGAATATACAGGATACGTAACCAGCATATATATTATCTCTTGGTGCTACTTTTGACGCGAATACTGCTTCTCATAAACTTGGCAGATCTTTTGTCAGAGTGGATTTTTGACGCTCAAATAACAGTACATCATTAAAGATGAAGGCAGTAGATAATGAATTATAAATTAATGGAAGAGTAACAGGGACGACCGAGGGTCCGCTACGAGAAACACGTAAATTACCTAAAATATTGCTGCCAATAAGCTATTCCAGTACCTGTAGCTCCAGGGCTTGCTTACTCCTTGTACAGTATTATTCCGATACTTCAGCCGACCGCAGACCACTTATACAATGGCAATCGCGCGCCTTCCCAGAGCTGCCTAAAACGGTAACATTAAAACGCCAAGCCTTTTTAAACTGAGGTTTATGGGTTGGCCATATAGGGAATCGAGACCGGGCTTGTACAGGACAATCAGGGGCTTTGATTCGATACTGATTGAGCTCGGTGGAGGTGTCTACATTACAGCAATAGAAGTCTATTTTGGTGGTGACAGGATGGATTGAATGCACACTATCACATGTAACGTTGGAATTTGAGGTTTACCTGTTACGCTTATCCTACCCTGCAATCTGTTGTTGGGATCATGTTGAGGAGAATGTGTACGTTTGTTCTATCTCGCATACATTAAATCATGCAACTTGTTGCATCAATGAGGTGTTAACTATCATGATACTACTCCCAACGGCCACGGCCACTCAATTGAGCCGAAGAGGTAATAAACGCATTTATGAAACTTAAATATACATAGATAGATGATAGATGGAGTAATGGACCCTGACGCTAGTTGTATGGGGAACGACGTTTGTGTCCCTTGTTGCTCCATTCTATACAGAAATCTTATGACTGAATTTCTTTATGCCCGCCGAGGGCCGGTAATTCTCCTTGATATGGCAAAGATGCCACAAGTCGTAAATGATACTATTGTGTTGAATGCAGCTGATAGAATGTCCCGCTTCTACGGAGATTTCCCACGAATTGTTGAAGTGGTGTGTCAATTCGCATTCCATGCCAACCCGTGGGGGTAACAAAAGTGGAAAACTCAATCTGCCCAGTTGGGCAGGTACAGGGATAAGCATAATTGGAAACGTCACCGATAACAATATACTACAAGTTCCGCTAACAAACTCGTGCACCTGGATGGGTTAAACAATCGCCTTCGCGGCCAAATCCAAAGAACAAACTACAAGTCCACGGTCGATTGACTGATCAAGCCACGTATGTCTCCAACAACCAACTGGCGACTAATATTGAGCAAACTACAAAATTTGACATACCTACTTGCAGCATGAACTCCGAAACATTGACAAGTAGAGCGGCTTCAAAAAATTGAATCCTGTCGGTAGGAAAGAAGCATCCGAAAAGGTCGAGACCATGCGGCGGGAAACAAATGAACAGGCCACTGTCCATACTGAGCTTTAACAAGAAATCTGTTCCGTAATCGCAAAGAACTTGCTCGTCGGTGAATTCAATTCCCGGCTACTCAGCCACACCGAAGCGCCGCTTACAGCTTGGCAGCTAAACTTGCCTACTGGACTTACCTCAATTGGCGCTTGTTTTCCCTTTTCCCTCACCTCCGAGTGTGATTTATAGAACCAGTCGGAATTGTTACTCATAAATTGAAGTCTACCTTCTTTAAATGTGCCAGTTTAGATATCGCTACCTGCCCGATTAGGGTTAAGAATCTCACCCTGCCAAGTGCGATTTGGCCGTACAATATACCGAGCTATCGCGCTAAGGCTCCACGTGTGGTCCTGTGCCTTGGAGCTCATGTAGTTTAATTGTTATGCCTAACTTGACAGAACTCCACCTGCTAAAGTTGCGCAGCATAGATTGTGGCGGCTGCTCACTTGCAGTCAGTTGATCGTGCGGCTCGCCAGGTACAAGGAGCCCCTGGTAGCTGAATAGCTCATCATTTCATCTGTATGTGGTATGTATTTCGCAAATCCGGGTCCTGCCGGAGAGCTAGATTCTCTGGACTACGCGTCCGCTCAAGCATGAACTCTGCTATTCTTTGTCCAGCTTGCAGCTTATAGCCAATGTACCCCAGAAAAAGGAGAACGTATAATATATAGACTGCTACCCACGATACCCTGTCGCAGTAACGTAGTGGGACTAATTCGGGAATATATTCAATGCGAATGCTGAGTGATAATACCAGAGGTGCGCACTAGTGATGATGTCTACCGCCCTTCGGAGTTGTAAGTGGGGAGAAACAAACTGATTCTAACGATATTTGCAATAATTTAGCCCATCAGATCCGATTCATGTTTTAAAGACTACACAATAGCAGTAGCATGAGAGTCCTTGGCGCCCGCAGGCATCTCCGCGTTTAAACAAGCTTAAGAGATGGGGTGGTATGGGAATACCCAAACCGGCAGCTTGACGATACCAGCGGTGGCACCGATACCCCCTTATCCCTGCAAACTAATCATCTTGGTAGCAGCAATATTACGGGATATCGTGGATAGATGGAGCGTAAGGTAAGCCCTGCAATGAGCCCATGATTCCATTCAGTTGAGTCTTGCTCTAAGAGGAAGCTAGAATGGAACCCACGAGCGGCTTGGAAGCTTGGAAAGACTGCCGTAGATAATATAAAATGAACAAGAATCCTGCTTCCTGTCTCAAATATTATCGCTCTCAACAGGATCATCATCGCCAATCATCAAAGAGTTCCAACTGCTGAATATCTACCTCCATACAAAAATTCTTCAAAATGGTCAACAAGGTAAGTCACAAGATTTACACAATGCTGAGTATACCTAACGCGAATTTAAGCTTCTTGTCGCTTCTCTCCTCGTCGGAGCCTCTCTGGCCTCTCCCTATCCTCCATCAGTCCTCGACGGCCCTACCGCCCCGGTCCCCGACACTGTCGACTGGTCTCCCAAGAAGCCTGATGGCGGCAACTTTATGCCCTCAAAATCTACCAACTCTCCCGTTTCCAGGACTGCTGATGCTCCTATTGTCGGCAAGAGCAAGCTTGAGGCACGAGTGACCGGTGAGAAGGTCACCAACGGTGTCGCCCGCTTCGACAACTCCAACATCCAGGACGGAGTTGGCAGCGGTGTTGATTCTTACACCATGTACTGGGGAGACGGAAGCACTGGAGCTGGTTGGCCCGCTCAGAGCCGCTGGGTGTCCTTCCAGAACATGTTTGACAACTACAAGAACCAGATGTTTGCTGCGTGCCAAAACCTGCCCACCCCCCAGGCCAACGACAGCGGCCCAGAGGTTGGAGCTATCTGGGACGGCATTCAAGCAGCTGCAGCAGCTACTGGTGTTGATCACCGCTTGATTCTTGCCGTGATTATGCAGGAGTCTCACGGATGTATGTCAAGTCCCACCTCCCCCCCCTTTTCCTCCCCCCTGAATGTGATGCTAACTCCTGAAAGGCGTTCGAGTGCATACTACGAATGGGGGGGTCAGGAATCCGGGCCTAATGCAAGATCATAACGGCAGCGCGACTTGTAATGAAAATGGCAACGTCAAAAATCCTTGCCCTTCTGCCACGATTTATCAGATGATTCTTGAGGGAACCGCTGGAACTACCAGTGGAGATGGCCTTGCAAACTGTATCAACCAATCTGGCCGCAGTGATGTGTCAGCGTTCTACCGCGCTGCTCGTATCTACAACTCTGGATCGATATCCAAGACCGGGCAGCTCCAGAATGGTATTGCCACTCACTGCTACGCCAGTGATATTGCCAACCGTTTGACTGGTTGGGTGAATGCCCCCAGCAAATGCAATTGCGACGGTAACCCCGGCAGCTGCGGAATTACCACCAACTAAATATCAATGAAGTAACGATGTGTGTCTTACATCTACCTAGCTGTAAGAATCTTGGTTTCGAGGTACTTATTTATCCCACATACATGTAAATATCTGGGATTTGTATATAGTTTGCTTCATCTATATGTAAATAAAAGAAAATCCATTGAACTTCTCATGCTGATAATAAATTTCACGACTACGTCTTTACAAGCAAAACTCCTAGCAGAATATACTCTGCTCTTCCCCCAATCTTCCAAAGGAACTAATAGCGCCGACTTGGCTCTTTTTCAGTTATTGAACTCGAATATTTGTTGTGTTCCATTGACTAACATTGACAAGTTCAGAAAAAGCCAGCGAGTTGTTGACTGGTTAATGAGTCATTATTCTTAACATCAATCATAGGACCCATTTCTGTGGCATCTCTCAAAGTAGCTTCTGATTGGGGAACATGGTTTAGTGATCTGTGTGTACGCGCCTGCGAGAGACAGAGACAGAGACAGAGACAGAGACAGGGAGGGGGATTCAAAGATCAGAGCCAGTTTAGTACAAGTGCACATAAAGTAAAAGGTGGAAAAATATCCATATCCACAGAACAAAACACAGGAAGTAGTAATATGAAGTTTTAAAATCTCCACTGTATACCCTCCGGTAGTCAACGATAGCGGCATCAACAGCAGAACGACATCCAGGGCGACGGCGAGAAACGTAGCCAAAAGTGCCCATCTTAGGTGGCGGCAGCAGAGGTCAACTGTTCTGGTAGACAAAATCGGCATTGCCGGCTACTAAAAACTATAACACAAAATATAAGGGTCATTTCCCCTTCGATGATAGGTGATGGTTTCAAATCGTCAGGCCTTGAACCGTGACAGGTGGGAGTCCACAGCAAAAGAGTAGAGTTGCTGCATTCTTAGTCACAATTAGGCAGCTATAAACACCGTACTTATCTTTGAGTTGACTCAAGATGTACGGCTGTCGGCGAAGAGTGGTTGCCGCAATCTACGCGTTCGTTCAGTGTTCTGAATGACCGTCGTATTGTTGGATCGCGAAGGGATACCCCCCCGTGTCTGTCGATGATAGCGATAAAATACTAAATGACGGCTTGACAAGGGCTAAAGTACCCATAGATAGGTTCGCCAAAGGAGAGCATGCATTGTAGAATTATGTAGCGACGTGGATACTTCGATCTAGCATTCACGTGTCAACTGAACATTGGAGGTGGCCTTGAAGTTGATGAAGGATGGGATAACATCCACCTACACTCTTTCTTGGAGGGTATATAAACTGCCCAGCAATCGAGATCCTTCAGAGACAATTGTCTACTAATGTCATTGCGATACCGCTGACAACTTTTGTGTAGGAAATGCCGCTCAGCAGCCCCGGACAATGTTTATAATCAACCAACAAGCATGATTTCGTCATCTGTACGAGAATTAGTATCCCAGACGGTTTGCAGCTGTGACTGCACGCCGGCCTCTACATAACAAGGTCAGCACTACATATTAGCACTATTGCCCTCGGCACTGATCACGCTCAGTGGCTTTAGACTGTCGTCACACATCCGAGCTATTTACGGGCATCCCGGCCGAAAAACTGAGAGCTGAAAATAGTTCTGCCACGATATCGGGCACCACACTTCGCTGCGCTGAAATGACTAGCTTCATTCCCCGACCTACGTGTTGAAACTGCTAATCGGCTTCAAGATTATTATGCCGTTCGGCGCTATTATAATTAAGAGGTATGCGCCATGTAGGGATCATTTGGAAGATCTACTCGATGGAGCCTAATCACGGTCCCTTCAACAGAGATACTGCCTTGGACACCGGCCAACTGACAAACAAGATCCACCTAGACGTCTTTAACTCAGCGAGGCCCACACACCTAGCTTCTCTAGAGAGCAAATACTGACGATAATAATGCAGCTATCTTCTTGGGATATGATATGCCACTCGACAGCTGCGGACTGTGGTTGAAGCCCTTGCCGTGCACCCGAAGGGATGACGCACCCGCCTCCTTAGAAATTGCCACTGAGAATTTGCAGATCGTGCCAAGCTATTCCCTCACATTCTATCACTGCCACCAACAACCACAACATTTCTTTGCGGCGCAACATTACGACAATCCTCCAAAACACAGAACCGACTTGCATACCGATGTCATTTGTGATCGTTACGCACACTTAGCCCGACGACCCCTATGTCTTGAGATAATTCTTCCCGTAAAAAGGATTTCCTGGTGGGCAACTTCAGTCGCTTCCAGAACAGCAGTCGTGATACATTGCTACTGCGTTTGGGTATATAGCCAAAGTCAGACGCAATTACCTCCCGCGTAAAAGCCAGGTAGGTAGCTTATAACGGGATTCCGTCGCATTCACCGTAACCCCGTTTCAAGAAGTTTTATTACCTACACACATAGATTTCACCCCTTCTATTTCCATCTATGTACCATTATCTGCTACAGTATTACTGGGGTCGAAAAGCCTTCAGCTAAAAGCATAAGTTTCCGCCAAAAAATACCCATCCAAATGCGAATTAGTAGCAGCAGCGACATGGGCAGAGTCAAAGGCAGGAGCTGAGGCTGTAGAACCCTGCTGCAGTTGTTACAGAAAATGATGGCATTGGAGTTGATGCTGATAGTCTGAGTCTCTGTATAGCGGTCTGTCTTGGGGAGCTCCCTCTTGAGGAGCCGAAGATGTTCTTCAATTGAGATTCCTTAAAAACTTCATGGATCTGGATCATATAGATGCATGTACACCCGATGTACCCAATCGTCTTCTCCTGCCGTCCGCGGCGTTGGCTACTGCCTGCATGTCAGCCATGAGCAAATCGCGCTCCTATCTTGTGCAGTTTGAGGAAATCGTTCTTCACTGCCTCATTCACTAGCTTCTTACACAATCATTTATTCCAACCTCTTATTTTCAACCATCCAGCATCTCAGATCTATATTTCACTTCTCTGGAGAATTTGCACACATCCAGCTTAAAATATACACGCTTCGGCTTTTCCTCTAATCCTGCTGCCTCCATCCTGGCGACAGCTCTATTAGCCAGCCGCACCTCTGACTAGAAGTTCTCTCCCAGGGTCAAAGGATACGTCTGCCTCGGGCATCATGACCTCCGCCACCGATGACAATAACTCTGCTCTGGGCTTCCTGGCCCTGTGGTGGCCCCATTCTGTGAGAGTAATGGCTCCCGCATCAACGCTTTTACTTTTGCCGGCGTTGGACAGCCCCTGGATCGTGGTTATCGTAGCTAGAGCTATGTTTACATCTTACCGATGCTAAATTCGTCTATTGTCTGCTACTATCGCTACCTTTCTCTAGCATCTGATACTCTCGCTACCACCCTCGTTTCCAGGGTCAAAAAGGCCACACCCAGAAGTGTGAATTTATGCCAAAAGGTCACATAATACTGGTGGCGTTGGAGTTGACAATGAGCTTTATATGATTATCTATCTTGAGGCGCCCAAGATTGTCTCATAGACTAGAATCTTCGTGGATTGACATCATATCGGAAGTGCAAACGTCTGTCGTATCTCAATCTTCTGTTATTGTTGTCAAAGACTTGGATGTCCTGTTGTCAGAGACTTCATTTGGCAACACGATGGGTTTGTAGGCAGGTAGTGAAACATATCATGACATGATAGAGGTTGACCTTGAAGTCTGCCGTCATCCATGTGGGGTATTTCCCTTGTCTGTGAAGCACGGCATCAAGTGGCCCAGATGGCTTGGACAAGGTGGAAATGCTGGAGCCAGACTCCGCCTAGAATGTTGGTTAGTCCCTCCAACTATCCCTCTCGTGCCTTATCTATTTCTGAGCGGTGGGAGTGCGACCAAGTTCTGTCAATGTCATGCCAATATTCTGTCACACCAACAAGAGATTGTGGGTGCACTCTCTCCCCAAGTCTATGTCTGTTAGTCAATACACATCATACCTAGATTAGACGATTAGGATGGAGCATATCAAATGGCAAACTTTTTTATCGCCACTCTGTCAAAAATGTGTCAAACCAGTCGACATCTGGGCGTTCGAAAAATGTTGGATGGAGAGTTCATGTCTTGGAAATTCTTTTGCTGCCTTTCTCGAACCACCTCCTGGGATTTGTCTTTCCCAATGTTGGCTTCTTCTATCTCCATCTCTTCGGCCTCTTGAGCTTCCAGATCCATGTCTTCGTCTTCTTCTTCTTCGTAGCCTCATCTTCCCGCTGGGGTTTGAGGTACATGCATTCAATAGTAGCTTCGTCATCTTCATTGGTTGCAGAATGGTTGGGTTCTTCCAGCCGCTGCGCGAGTCTCTAGTTTCAGCATACGGAAGCAACGATAGTGGGTGCAGGGCGTTTGGGGTCATTGTAGAGGGCTGGGACATAAATAATTAGTATCACGTCAATTAAGTTGGCAAGCTTGAGCTTTCCCTTCAGGTGGGTGATTAAGTTGTGTTGAACGGTATTTCCCCTATCTTTTTTTGATAGAAAAGTTTCCTGGTGGGCAATTCCAGCCGCGTTCAAAACGGCAGTCGTAATACGTTGACACTGCGCCTAGATCTGCAATCCAAACCTAGAAACAAATTGGATTGTACTAACCCATACTCTGTCACATTCACCACTACTTTGTCTCCAGAGGTTTTGTTCTTGTACCATGGTCGGTAATCACATGTTCATCAAGATAGATATGTAAATAATGTAGGTATAAAAACTACCACCAATTGGTGATTCTCTTTTCTTCTCCTTCTTCCTCTCCTCTTCCTTTCCTTTTTCTCCTCCTTCTGCTTCTGCTTCTGCTGCTGCTGCCGGGAGAGGAGCGGCCGGGGCATCGGTCTGTGTGTGCGCGTGTGCGTATGCCTGTCTCTGCGCCTGTCTCTGTGCTTGTGCCTGAGCGGCTCGTGCTGCTTCTTCTTCTCTTGCTCGGCGGATCTGCTTGCGGCGGCGTATGTTAGGCTATAATCTATTAGTCAACGTTCTAGGTATTGCGGAAAACAGGAGTCTCACCCGGCATTTCTTCGCCGGAGCTGGAGAATTGGGGGAGGGGGCAGAGATGGAGGCGCGGAAGGGAGAGGCATCTTAGTATATACTGGACTGTTGGATTAGCGATTGAACGAACGTTAGCAACTGGTGACTCTCTTTTCTTCTTATCCCCTGCACTTCCTTTTCTTCCTCTCCTCCTTCTGCTTCTGCTTCTGCTTCTGCTGCCGCTGCCCGGAGATGAGCGGCCGGGGCATCTGTCTGTGTGTGTGCGTGTGCGTATGCATGTGTGTGTGCTTGTGCTTGTGTCTGGGTCTGTGGCTGTACCTGTGGCTGTGGCTGTGTCTGTAATTTCATCTATTACCTGCTACTGTAATCCGAAACGTCCATGACCACCACGAGGGCGTATGCTAGCACGAAAGGGGGCATTGATCCAGTGAGTGCATCTCAATGAGAAAGTGTGGCAGAATACGGAGTACAATAGCAGTAGTAGCGGTAGTAGCGGTAGTAGCGGGTAGTAGCGGGTAGTAGCGATAGTAGCGGTAGTAGCTTGAGCGGTACATGAGTAAGAGCTGCGAGACTGTCAGTACATGTATCCACACAGTCGAACAGAAGAAGCAGTGGTGAGTATCATACTTTGAACTCTCACTGAGTCGGCAGCGCCCATGGCCCAGGGCACTGGGCGGAAAGAATAGCCAGCCGCAGCTGGTAAAAAACGTAGGCCATTAGAGACCCCAAGAAGAAGGCGATGAGGCAGATTATGCTCACGCAGACAATGACCGTGATGGCCAACCATTGGCATCTTGTGCCCTTTCCTCAAACGTCAGCCGCTGTGCTCCCACACGACAAACGCAAAAACTTGCGACAGGGGAAGTACAGAGAGGTAGTACTTACGGCCAGGCGACCACGGGCGGGGCGGGCGACGACTCGGTTGGCGGCAGCTAAAAGGTGATCAGATAAACTCGTTGATTGGATGCAAAGCCAGGGGCGAAATCGGGCAAGAACAACGGTGGAACGGGACGTGGCAGGTGGGTAACAAGGATCGGGAAGGATCTGGGAACGGGATGCGATTGCACCAGTGGCGCCCATCAAACTTACGCATTGTGAAATTGTCTGAAAAAAAAAAAAAAAAAAAATCTTCGTCGAAGAGAGAGGTGCGAATTTGTATGTAAATCTAGCTGCCATTAATAAGAGGCACAGAGCAACTGGTGGCGAGGAGAATACTCACAAATCTTCTGACGGATGGCGATGAAGAAGGAAGAAAAAAAGGGTTCACGAGAATTTCTGGGCATCGATCAGAAGAAAAAGTGGTAAGTACCATACTTTGGGCTCTCACAGAGCCGGCAACGAAAATGGCCCAGGGCACTGGGCGGAAAGAATAGCCAGCCGCAGCTGGTAAAAAACCGCAGGCCATTATAGACCCAAGGAAGAAGGCCGTAAGGCATATCATGCCTACACAAACCATCACAGTGATGGCCAGCCATTGGCATCTGGTACTGGGCTGCAAGGATATCCAGCCGCAACTGGTAAAAGACGTAGGCCATTAGAGACCTAAGAAAAAAGGCGGTGAGGCAGATTATGCCTACACAAATAATGACCGTAATTGCCAGCCATTGGCATCTGGTACTGGGCTGCAAGAATAGCCAGCCGAAGCCGGTACAACAAGTAGGCCATTAAAGACCCAAGAAAAAAGGTGGTGAGGCAGATTATGCCCACAAACACCACCACCGTGATGCCGCCATTAGCCGCAGGTACTGGGCGTAGAGAATCGCTAGTTGCAGTCGGTATATCCAAAGTCTGTTAGAGCCAAGTAAAATGTGGCGAGAGCCATCGGAGAGGTGGACCGGAGCGAGGATTCTGGCAATAGCAGAAGTTGCGCGAAGCTGTGTGTAGACATTTGGTAGAAAAAAATAGCGATTCAATCACATCTTGACTCAGCTGACCTCCGAGGTTTGGGAAGAACTGGAGGATGCGTCTGCACCAGGGATTTGTTGCATAGTTTGGTGCAGTCATCAAGGAACTGCCCTCCTTGCGAGAATCCGATGGTATCGATCGTTGGAGTAGTGGAGAGAATTGGATGTGGCGGCAGAGCCTGCGAATTGTTAGCTGTCCATAAAGACTTTCCATGAGCAATGTCAGTTTCTGTTGTACTGTCAAATGTGAATGTAGAGGTGGCAGACTCACTATGCGAGTCTTGAGATCGGGGCACGATAGTAGCGATCAGCTTCGACCTCGAGATGAGTCAGGATTGTATCTTTGGTGTCGGGGTATGACAATTTGTTTGGTATCAACGTGCAGAAAGGTCTCAGCGATCAGATCACTCGCAACGTGTCGAGAAAGGTACGAGCGTCGCAGCAGGTCGAAGAAAGGCATCAAGTGGTCGGGACTGCCGTCTGAAGCTTCGACGCTATGGCAGCGGCTGTGAAAAGAGATGAAACGGTCGTGTTCTATTGTTGTCGATACATGAATCACGCGGTTTGAATAGAAGCAAGGCGCTCTACTGTCGTCATGGAACCTGCGATGGAACTGTTGAGAGGGCACAAGAGACGAAATAAATTGAGCAGCACGCCTACACACGCCATAAGGGTGGCGGCTCGTCGAGGCTCGGTCGGTCGGTCGGTCAGTCGGTCGGCACGAAGTAGTGTGATCCTGCACACATAAGTTAGGTCAACTGTCCAAAGCGACGAATGGCATAGCATACGTACATACACATAAAAAGACAATGCGGGTTGAAGCTATCGGGTGCGACGGCAGTGATATGAAAAGGACCAAGGTATGTATGCCAAGATGAGAATTGTTAGTTAGCAATGTCTTCTCCAGCCCATCCTGTGAAAAGGGAAGGGAAAAGGGAAAGGAAAAGGGAAAAAGAAGAACGGGGAAGGAGGAAACAGTAAGGAGGAAGGAAAAAATCTACTCCTGACACCATACAGGTACTCTTCTTCCCAAAAGTTTTCACCCTCGGTTGTTAAGGTTCAGCCACACCAAAGGAGAATTCGTCCGAGATAGACAAATGAGATAACTGCAAACGTTTCGACGACTAGATCTGTAGCACCGTCTTGTAGGAGAAGCTACAACCTTGAGACAGCAGTAGAGAGAAGCGGTGGCAGAGGGGGTGCATAATCGCCGATGACGATAGCTATGGCTATCTTTCCGACAAACAGCCAAAAATAAGGATGTCGATCCTCTACCATCGATGAGCAGTACAAACCTACTAGGTAGGTAGTACCATCCTGGATTGATGGATACCAATAGGCGAGTCACGCCGTCGGAGGCCTTGCTGTACGGTCACGCTTCTCCAAGACTCGCGAACAGAGTGTGAAGGAAGGTCAACAGCCAAGGGAAGTGAAACTAGATTTGTGGAACCAGTGGCAGAACTTGTCATGGGAAAAGGTAAGGTAGTTTGAGATGATCCAGGCGGGAGCTATGGACGTACCACGCCGAGAAATTAAATGCCCCCAAAAGGAAAGCTTTAGTTGGAGATACTTGGCTATGTTCAATAGCATTAGTAGTGCAAGTGCAACGTGATAATATACTCGAGCTCAGTAAACCAGCCTACGGGATACATGCACCTAGGTACTTTGTTTGGAGCTCAGCAAGTTTGGTGCAGGCGAATGGGTAAATATCGGCAAACAGACATCTGTGTGTTCAACAAAGGCCTGCCCGTCCTACTCAGTACTTCTCAAATCTGTTCGCATTTTGAGCTTTTGTGATTTTTTTCTTTTTTTTTCTCTTTTTTTTCGCGGTCCTATTTTTTTTTCTTCTTTCAACAATACCATCCGCGGTTCATTCACAACCCTACCAAACATCCACATCGTCCATTACGCATGTCGAGGCTGCCGTATGCGATCTTCTAGGGCGCAATCTCGTGCTTCCATTCAAAACCTCCGCCATTGTGATGGGCGATCTTAGGTGAGAAATTGGTCCAACACGAGATACTCTGGTAAAGAGACACCTACTGACCCATCTTCCACTGAGGAATCTCGACCGACCGGTCCTCAACCAACCAACATCGTACGATCCCTCCCCCGACGATCCCTCCTCCGACCGACCGACCGACCGACCGACCGACCGACCGACCGAGACCACGATCAAACTCCTCTTGCCCCCACACAACGGAGCCGTGAGTCTGACGCCACCGCATCCTTCGGCACGGAACGTTAGAACCAGACATACCCCTGATAGTGGGGACGAGCAAAAGGCTCCATACCGGTGAAACATCGCACTCAGTCATCACTCCTTTGCTGGGCTGCCTGTATGAAGCGAACTGTTTCAGAATGCTTCCAATATTGTGCATCTTCTGTGCTACACCTACCTACTAGGTGACAGTACTTAGGCGCGGCGCGACCATTCATTCCCTAGGTACTGTCAATTCCAGAGGGCACATCCAAATAAAGGAAGCCTCTGCTGAAGCAATCACGGAAAACGATGGGTGGAGTGCGGAAGATGCGTACTTCTTCTATCGTCGCTGCCTTCTTCTACTCTCTTCGCCTCCTCTGCAACTATCGCCGCCTCTCTTGTTCTACCTCGTACCTTGGTATTTCTACCCTTCTGCAGCACCTGAGGCAAGTCGAGTGCTATGGACGGCGCTTTTGATAGTATCTACTCGAAGGCAGGGTTTCAGCTTGTTTCGACAAGCCAATTTCTTGCGTATCTGTCTCTGTTATCCACATCACTGCCAGCTACGTTCCAACTTGCCCCTTCTAATGCGTAACTGCTAGGTAGGTACTAACCGCTTCTCTCCTATCTTCTATTCCCCTTCCCCCCCTTTCTCTCTTTCCGACCTCCAGCCTCTATATACAGGACGACAGGCCTTGCCACGCCCTTGCCGACATGTTCAAATCTGAGGGGCATCCATGAGCTGGCCCTATTTGTTGTTGGCAATCGTAAGGATAACGTTCCTCTTCACTCATTTCCACTCTTCCAAATCTTCTGCCACAATATGTGCCGCCTGCTCTCTCGTGGCGACAGCCTCATCATGCCACAGACCATACAGGGGACAATACGGCCCCACCACTTGAATCTAACACGCCTTCCGCAACATGTCCAGCTCTGAGGGGATTACGAGGACGGAGAGCCAGCAGATACAATATGCATAGGCATTCTCACGTCTGCTATCGGATAAACGCCGAGCCAAGAGCTCCATAGCCTGCACGTGGCTATCGCTATCCAACAAGAACCGATGCGAATTCGAATCATTCTGCCACTATCAAGAGAGGAAGTACTAGGAATACTAGATGGTGTGCAAAGTTACAACCGTCCATGATTCTGTCTACCGCTATTAATGCCGTCAGGTTCACGCAAGGAGGGCAGTTCGTCTGCCGCCTAGAGCACAACCATAGTCCACTGTCCCAACTCCAAGGGCGTTCAACATAGATCGGGTCATTTCATCAGTTTCGTTTTCAATACCAACGTCACTTAGCAACTCCGGATCTTGTGTGAAGTCATCGCCGCCCCCCGCATTGTATTGCCGCTCCCGCGAGAAATACTGCCGAGCTCTCACGAGGGCAGTTCACGGCTATTACGACCGACCACACTCAATTCCTTCGGCACTCCTGCCATCGATTCCGGGGCCCGCACAAGAAGGGAGAGCTCTCTCCAAATCTCCACAAGAAAGGCAGTTCTATCACAGCCATGGCACGGAAACAGTGTCAGTCAACTCCCTGGCTCCTAGGATGCACCCAGGCACCTTCAACTCTGATGGAATCCTAGAAGCTACCTAGGGGGTAGGCCGGCACTGTTTTCGAAGGCGTTTTCTACCAAGCAAGGTAGCCGCTACGCTATCTCGTATTGCTCACACCTGCGGTATTTTTCATGGCAGGTAAGCGTAATCCCTCTCAGTAATCCCCTCAACTTCCTTCCACACACCTTCTTCTATTGCTGGCTGCTGTCGCCATCTTCCACCAATGTCTGTGACTAGTAATTTTGAGTATCTGCTAGGTACTAGGTACATACTATTGCTACCTTTATCCACGACCATGTCTTACCGTACCATACTCTCGATGCCTCTTTCCCTCTCCCATCGCCATATGTTGAGCGCCGGTTTTTTTGGCCGGCTCCACCCACTGTGCATGACATGCCTTGCCGCGACTCAGCAGTGAGCACACTGTTCTGTATACATATGCATACAGCGACTGAAGTTTTGGAGCCATTACTAGATGACAATGGTTGAGCATCACGGTCATGGTTTGTGTGATGGCACAATCTGCTGCACGGTGTCTTGCCACCTTTGCAATTTCAGCTTGCGCCCACTTATCCCCAGCCCCGTAGGCGTGGTCATCTGGTCCGCGGATTGTGTACAGAATCATGCTGTGCGGAAGAAACCATCAACGCTACATGTACCTAGTAGAGGTAGAGTAGCGGCAGCCTGCAGGGAAGCACACAAGGTGCTACATTCACGAATTGAAGTAGATATTCAATACATAGACTTTCATCGACCATGTAATCTCACCACCAATGCGTAATAATAAATTGATTGACAAATAAGCATTACTACCCTGCGCGGGCATCCATCACTCTGCGGTGAACTGAGGCAAATAGGTACATAACTGCAAAAAACAATTGCGCCGTCTGATGTAGCCAAAAAACTCCTGTAATTTTTTTCCCACACAAAAAAAACGCCAATCCATCCATCCATCCATCCATCCATCAAGGGTCCGGTCCATTCTACTGAGCCAAAAAATCACATATCGGTCATATAGTCTACAAGGGTGAGTATTCTACGTCTACATCCTACGGTGTCTGGCAAATTGGTGATACATGGAAGGCTGACTCTACGTGCCACGACCGAGGATCGAGACAGCGTGAGCCAAATGATCACAAGTCTCGACAGTGACTCGACGCGCCTACGACTAAGGATCGAGACGGCGTCGGTCAGAGCAGACTGAAGTGAACGGGGTTATACATAGCAGAGATTAACTCCATGTGCCTAGGTATCGAGACAGCATGGGTCAACTAGGAAGGGCACTCGAACTGACTCTACGCGCCACGACCGAGGATCGAAACAGCGTGAGACAAAGGACGACGAGTCTCGACAGTGACTCGATGCGCCTACGACTAGAGGTCGAGACGGCGTCGGCCAGAGCGGACAGAGGAGGATGGGAAGGAAAGAATGGGAAATATGTGAGGAAAGGTGGACAGACTCTATGCGCCGCGACCAAAGATCGTGCGCCTCGACCAAAGATCGCGACGGCGCAAGCCAAAGGGTTAGGCTCAGCACTTGACTCTACGCGCCTACGACTAGAGGTCGAGACGGCGTTAGCCAAAAGGAAAGATTCGGAACTGACTCAGCGCGCCGCAACCGAAGATCACGACGGCGCAAGCCAAAAGGAAAGACTCGGCACTGACTCAACACGCCGCGACCAAAGATCGTGCGCTGCGACCAAAGATCGCGACGGCGTAAGCCAGAGGGTCAAGGCTCGGCACTGACTCTACGCGCCTACGACTATAGGTCGAGACGGCGTTAGCCAGGGAGCAGAAGGAGGGATAGAGAGAAGGGAGGAATAGAAGAAGAGGGGAGAAAGGGACAGAGAAAGACTGAAGGAGGAGAGGAGGAAGGAGAGACAGAGGGAAGGGGACGGAGAGGGACGGAGAGGAAGAGGGAAGGGGACGGAGAGGAAGAGGGAAGGAGACGGAGAGGGAAGGAGAGGGGGGCGGGATATAAAGAGGAAGGTAAAAACACAAGGGGAGAGGGGGGAAAGTGGAAGGGGGGGGGGACTGCTATGGTTTAATAGGGGGGCTCGGGGTCGGGGTCGGAATCGGAGTTGGGGATTTCGAGGCTGAATTGTTTGTTAGCTTGGCCATTATAGACACAGAACGACAAACTTACGGCAAGCTTGTAGGGATCTGTGTCCCATTCCCGTCTTCTAGGTCGAAATCTGAATCGGGGATTTCGACACTGGATTGTATGTTAGCTTGGCCGTCATAGACACTAAACGACACACTCACGGCAAGCTTGGAGGGCGTTCTGTCCTATTCCCGTCTTCTTGATCGGAATCAGAGTCGGGAATTTCGAGGCTGAACTGTATGTCAGCATAACTGCCGTAATAAGAGACCAAGCAACAAACTCACGGTACGCTGGGAGAGGACTCTGCCCTATTCCCATCTTCTTCCTCTTCCTCCTCCTCCTCCTCCTCCTCCTCCTCCTGGCCGGAAGTCCCCTGGCTTCACCGCTTTGTAAGCATCGACGCAGCTGAGCGAACTAATAGAAAACTTACAGAGAGTTGGCAGTACGGAAAGAAGCTTCGCTGCCGTTGCCGTTGTCGCTGTTGCCGTCCTCCCCGTCATCCAGGCTGACGCTGGCAGTATGACCGCGTTGGATGGCCTGCAGCGGGTTAGTCTCTCTCCTTGATCACGCAACCTCCTTGGGGGATTTTGTACGTACATCACGAATGACTTGGGCGAAGACATTCTGATCCCTTAACAGTCTGGTCTCGGTGTGCCAGAAGATCGAAATGGCAATATTTGGGTCCGTATCGCCGCCACTTGGTCCTCCATCCCCTTCCCAGCGCAAGCCATAAGGGTGGTTATCCTTATCGTACCAGATTGCGAATTTCCGTTGTTCAGCCGTGTGACTGATCCGTTTGCCATCTTCGGTTCGCGTCTGGCGAAGGCCTTCCAGAGACTCGCGCAAAGCCGTAAAGTATCCATGGGCTTTCCTAATCTGCTGCCTGTAGCCAGCTCTTCTTCTGGGACCAAAAGTTGCCCATACGTTTGGCCACCCACGAAGCGCAGCAAAGAAGTCGTACGTGTTCTTTGCATTGTCGTCATCGTTGAAGTAGGACAACTCGTGGCGGAGAAGATACCTTACATCAAAGCTGCGGAGGAGAGCACGAGACCTGGCAAGCCTCTGGGCCTCACATTTGTCTTGCAAGGCTTTTGTTGCTTCTTTGGGTTGTCGAGGGCCTCTCGCTCGCATCACCTCGCGAGCTTTGGCAAGGTTGGGATGGCCTAGGTCTTTGAGAATCTGACGACCTTTGGCAAGGTTGGGATAGCCTAGAGCCGCCATAATGGCGCGTCCCTTTTTCAGTTCAGGGAAGCCTGCCTTACGCCGAGCCTCGAGGTTTCTCTTGAGCTCCGGGAAACCTTTTTTCCGACGAGTTTCGCGACCCCTGACCAGTGATGGATAGCCGTTTGCTCGCTGAGTCTCACGGCCCGGTTCCAGTTCATGGAAGCCTTGTGCACGTCGAACCTCAATGCCTTTGGCGAAGTTCGTATTCATTTTTGCCGAAACCCATGAAAAATGATCTGGGCTCGCAATGTCGATACGTGCAATAGCGGCGGCGGCGTTCCAAACTAGATCCGCATAGATGGCCTCCTTAGGCGAGCTCCCAAGCACAAATCGGCTGCCGTGGGGGGAGATAAAGACTAATTGCCGAAGTTGATCGCTTTCTCGATCTTTAACGGCATAGAAGAAGGGATTTTGGGCTAAGATCTTCGTTGATACCCCAAGCAAGACTTTGATGAGCCGTATTGAGCTATCTTGTCGGAGCTCTTTCTCAAAGGCGTCAAAGCATGCCTTTCCGACAAGGACCACAAGAGGTGAAGACTTCATTATAGCGTAATTGAAGTCTATGCTAAGCTTCTGTATAGCTGACCATTTTGCGGTGCCGAAGACAGTCTCCCATTTTGGATACTTGGAGTCTTCGCGGATCGGGATCATGTCGGAGGTGCATACGTCTGGCGTATGCCCGATCTTCTTCTCCTGCTGCCGGAGACTTGGGTTTCCAGGGTCCTTTTGTGGAACATTAGCCAGTGCGACAAGTCAAAGACAGTGTGTGAGACATACCATAACGTGGCCGAAGTTGAAGTTTGAGCCCGCAGTCTTCCATGTAGGATAGTGCCTGTACGGTATGTCAGTCACTGTCCAAAAACGACGGTCGACGTGTGAGGATGACAAACCACTGCATGTGGAGGACGGCACCAAACGGCCCAGATGGCTTGGACAAGGTGGATATGTCGAAGTCAGTCTCTTCGCCCAGAATGTTGGCCAATTCTTCCAAGTATTCTTCCCACGCCTTATCCATTTCTTGGCAGTGGGAGTGCCACCACGCTTTGTCGATGTCATTCCGATAATCTGTGACGTCGACAAGGGATTGCGGGTACACTTTCTTTCCAAGTCTATGTTTGTTAGCCAATGAATATTATTGATTGGACTGGATTGGACTGGACTGGACTGGATGGATTGGATGGGTGGATGGATTGGATGGGTGGATGGATGAGACGAGATGAGATGAGATGGATGAAAATATGAGGTAGACATACCGAATGGCAAACTTTCCAATTGCCGCTTTCATATCAGCGGAGGCTTCTGACACTTCCAAAAGAGTGTCAAGCCAATCGACATCTGGCCGCTCAAAAAGGTCGGATGGAAGGTTCATCTGCTGAAGAACCTTTTGGCGCCTTTCTAGAATCTCTTGGCGTTGGCGATATTTGTCTTCTGAATCCGTCTCTTGGGCCTCTTGAGCCTCCATTTCGTCTTCGACGGCTTCCAGCTCAGAACTAAGCCCCTCATCCTCCTCGTCCATGTCGACGTCTGTGTCTTCGACATCTGTGTCCTCGACGTCTGTCTCTTTGACGTCCGTCTCTTCGACATCCGTCTCTTCGGACATTTCTTCTTCTTCGTAGTCCCCATCTTCTGGTTGGGACTCGGAGAATTCAGTGGGGGGCGCAGCATCTTCATTGGCGGAAGAGTTGGTGGGCTCTTCAGGCTGATGCTGTCTCTTGCTTCGGCGCAGGGGGGTGGGGAGAGTGGATGCAGTGCGTTTAGGGGCCATTGTGAAAGTGTTGAAAAGACTGAGAATTGTTGATATTGTGTTGATATTGTGTTGACTGAATCAATGAAGCTGAGCCTTTCTTTGAGGTTTTGAACGAATCTTCTGTCTTTTTTCCAAATTCTTGATGGGCAATTCCAGTGTCTCTTCAAAATGGCAGTCACGATCAAGCGAGGTACACCGCCCGGATTTACAGATAGGTACCTCAGGCATTCCATGCCCTACCACCTAATACTGCCGGGCGATAACTTCAGGTAACTAATACATATACCTGTATTTAGGTACCTACGTAGGTAGTCCCTGAATTGATGAGCAAAATAGGGATCTTGTGACCTCGAATGAAGCTCAAAATTTACAGAATATCTCTATGTTGACTCCATTCGGGCCTGCACCCGTCGTATTCTCCCATCCTCCTTTTCTTCCACTTACTTCCGATTGCCCTCTGCCTCCATATATTCCACTCTTGTTATCATCAACCTGTATGTTTTTTTACTGCCACTGTTAATGTTGGGGCTTCAAGGGGAATGGCAAGCATGTCAAGGTTCAAAGAAGCATTACGAATGGAATGGAACAACAAAAATCACCACACCAAATTTTGTATTGTATTGCCTAAAGGCGGTCAAAAAAAGCGACGAACTCCTCTCCAGATTGACACGGGCACCCCCCATCCTGCCATATCATCATCATCCTCTTCTTCTTCTTCTTCTACTTCTTCTTCTGCTTCTGCTTCTTCTGCCTCCGGTAGAGGAGGCGCTGCCAGAGCGTCTGTTTGTGTGTGTGTGTGTGTGTATGCGTGTGTGTGTGTGTGTGTGCGCCTGAGTCTGAGCCTGAGTCTGAGCTTGAGCTTGAGCTTGAGTCTGTGCCTGTGCCTGTGCCTGTGCTTCTGCCTGTGCTTGTGCTTGTGCTTGTGCTTGTGCTTGTGCTTGGGCTTGGGCTTCTCTAGCCCGGCGGATCTGCTTTCTGCGGCGTATATTTGGCTATAGTCCGTTAGTCCGAGTTCAAGGTGCTATTCAATGCAGAAGGAGTCTTACCCGACATTTCTTCGTCCGAGTCGAAGAAATTGGGGCAGCAGGGGCGGCAGAGGGGGCAGGAGGCCGGGGAGGGAGAGATGGAGGCGCAGGAGGGAGAGGCATCTTTGGATAAAACTGGGCTATACAATCAGTTCAACGAGCTAGAATTGGTATTGGCAAGGCAGGGAACTTACAATCTTCACAAGGAGGCTTTTGGTAAATCTTGGAAAAGACTAGAAAAGAAGAAGGGAAACGAAACAGCTTTATGTATGCTCCTTGCTACGCAAAAGTGAGAAGAAAGTGAAATGCCCTAATGCTGGTACGGCCATTAGCACACGTGACCGGGAAGTCCTCAGCAACTTGGCGATGATTCTGAGATCAAAGTGAAAGAATGGTCATTTATGCCTGGGTATTTGTTCAGTTTGTTTAAACTTGATGGAGATTACGGCTATGTGGAATGAGAGGACAAGCTATCTAGTACCAAGTCAACAGTTCACCGTCTCTTCTGAGACTTTCTCCGTATTGATTCACACCCAAATTCTTCCTGCTCTACCACCCATCTTCCAGCATCTGCATCTATCCAAGGCGGTCTATCTTCATTCTGCCAATTAATACTAACCTGAGGCAGCCAAAACATGCAGGTAATAAATACTTGCCAAAGATTGTATACCTCAGGCATCCAAAGTACAACTCTACCAGCTCTACAAGCAAAATCTCCCAAGAAATCATGTAAATGTATACTCTCTGTAAACACCTAGCGCCAAGTAATCTACCGTAGTGTATACCTCGTAGCAGGCGCGCAGAAATTCTGCCGCATTGCAAAATGTAAGGTAGGTGGCTGCCCAAAATTCTCGTGAACTTTTTTTTCCCCTCTCCATCGCCTTCCGTCAGAGTCTTTGTGAGTATTCTCATGATCAACTGTTCCTCGCCAATTACTCACTAATGTTGGTCAGATTCTACGTACAGATATATACTCATTTGAAGACTTTTTTTTTTTTTTTTTTCACAAGCTTCCAACATGCGTAAGTTGATCGACCTCATTTGTGGGCAGTCGCCAGCCCTTCGTTCCTTCAGATCGTCACTTTTTTTACTCATCTGTCAAGACGCGTTCCTGCATTGGCGTCCAATCATCGTTCTTGTCTAATCTCTTTTTAGCTGCTCCTGCTGCCAGCCGTGTTGCCCGCCCCGCCGCCACCCGTCGCCGTCGCGGCCTCGCAGTAAGTGCTAGCATTCCGTACTTTCCTTGTCGAAGATCCCTGCGTTTGTCGCGTGGGGGTACATGCAAGTACGAGTACAGGACTGACGTTTGAACCAGGGAACGAGGTGCCAATGGTGCGCCATCACCGTGATGGCTTGTGCGGCCCTCTGGGCCTTTACCATCATTTCCGTCTCCGGGGCCGTAATGGCCTATTATTCGTACCACCTGGCCCTTGCCAGTCCCGTCGCCGGCCCCCTCCCCCCCGTCGCCCCCGTCGCCGCCGCCGCCGCCACCACCTCCAACGTGGTCATTACCAATGGCCCTCCTGAGGCGCGCCTTCTGGCGCAAAATAACTATCCTTCGTGGGGGCCAACCGGCCCAGAAGCTGCTGCTGCTGCTGCCGCCGCCGCCGCCGCCGCCGCCAACATCGTCCACGCCCCCCAAGTCGCCGTCAACGCCCCCCCCCTGCCGCCGAATATTCCTGCCTCAGGCATTGTGGCACCCCGGGCCCCGGGCAGCTCGGCCGCGCGTTTTCTTGCGCCGGTGTGGAACGCGGTGGCTCCGGCCATCAATTCTTTTGCGGGAGTTGGGCGCCCCCTGGCCGAGCGCCAGGCAAGACTGGGCGGCCTAGTCAATTTCTTTCTCCCGGGGGTACACCCCCTGTGGTCTTTCAGTGTATGTATTCCAGGTGTCTTGTTGTCATTACCGTGTAGATGTACTAACGTTTTACAGGTCCAAGCATTCTATGGATGGCTGAATAGGGAATAAGCCCCCCTTCCCCCTCCTCTCTCTCTCTCTCTCGTCGTGGTTTTTTTTTTTTTTTTTAATGTTTATATTTATGTTGTTTGTCTGGTTGTGGGTCGGTGTTTGTGTGGTTTTGGGGAGTTGTTTTTATTCTTTTTTTAATGAATGGTGATGTTTGGTCTGGTCTGGATTCAAATGTTCCTCGTAGAGTCCATCGACGTGACATGATGTGTCCGAAACTCCCCAATTCAGGTGCGCGACGAGACGATAGTAGCAGGTGATACTGACCAAAAGGCGTCGGATGATCCGTAGCTTAACTTGGAAAAGGCTGTGTATAGGAATGTGACGATTGTAGGTAGATAGCGTTTCGATCTCGTCTTGATCTAGACAACTCCCCAGGCCCAAAAACGACCGGAAGAAGCCTCTTGATGGTGTGCTGTTGTATTGTTCGATGTATCCTAGAGCGGTGCTTTCCCCGTGGCATTTGGATAGCAGCAATTGTTGGCAGGAACGGTGGAGAGAATTAAATGTGCGCCCAGGCCTTCATACCTGCCGAGTAGGTTGCCGAGAAAATAGGCGGAGTGATCAGGATGTTCGTCATGACGGATTCATCTTCCACTGGTAAATTTCGACTAGGAGCTCCGACGACGAACCGTAATCCAGCGCTCCCATCTTTTCGCCCTAGTTTCCTATCCCATTCAAAATCTTCAATTACTTAGGGATATTTTAAGACAGCTTAGTACAGTTTCTTTAAGCTCATGATTGGATTATCCATGACCATGAAAACATTTGTATACCTTTGTGGCACAGTCCGTCCTTCAATGACCGAATCAGCATTGATGATTCGGATGATGGGCCGTCAGTAGATGACCAACCAGTTACCGCCTCCCAATTTCATCAAGCGATGACAGAGGCACAAGCCAGCAAGGCTTTTTTGCTCTACCGACTTTTCGACGACCGCTAACTAACGGATATTAGCTAAAATGTGACGAGCCTTTGGCAACCCATTTAATCGGGGTCGCGCATTATAGAAGCAATTGCGTTCCAAAGCTTGGGTGCATTGGCAGCAGCAACTGCCCACGTAATAAGATTTTTTGTGCACGAGACAGCTGAAAGGAAGCCACACTCCAAAGAAGCGACACCTTTGGGGGATTTCACCCAAGATTACTCCAGCTATCCCCCCCCCCCCCAAAAGAGTAACATAAAGGCTATCACTGTTGTCAACCATTCTCTCTTTTTGCAATAAGAAAGCATTCTCCGCAACCAATCAAGCTCTTCTTTAAAAATATTGTTATGAACATAGGTAGACAACATCAAGCCCACTCTTCAATTGTAAACTCATATCATACATGTAGTAGATTCCACTGCATACAACTAGCATATCCGCGTTTACTAACATGATTTTACGAAAAACGACCGTCAAGGCACTTCAGAAACTCAGTTGCGTATGCCTCCAGCGGGCTCCCAGTCGCACGAACCATTATCTGCCCATAGGGGGACAACGAATATAGCCGCAGTCCATCTCTGCCGCAGAAAGTCAACCTCGAAGGCACGAATGCAGTGCACGACAGTACTTTGTCCGATGATCCTTACGCCTTGGATGGCAGCTGTATTGTTGAGTAGAGGCCAATACTAACCCATCAGCCATTCGCATCAGCCACGTTGTGATACCGCTTCTCGCCCTTGCCTATTAGTGATCGTGATGAAGAGACAGATTGGGGCCTTGAGTGTTTGGGATCATTTTCTTTGCGCTTGTTAATGCATGACGCAGTGGGAATAACCGAAGCCAAGGAGCTTTGGGAAGAAGAAGGTATGGAAGATGCGAGACTATCGTCCAAGCTAGAACCTAGGAAACAATACACTATCGTCATATCCAGGCACGAAGCCTAACCAAACACAGCAAGGATAGAGGTATGGATTCGCAGTGGGCTCGCCGGAGGGGCATCCGCTGCCACTTGGCGGGAAATCCCTGCTGCAGAGCTGAATGGACTAGGCTTCTGTCCAAGTTGGGACGCCTGGCTAAACGTACTTCCATGCGTCTGCGGTTGTCCAAATGGACCGGATTGTGTTTTTGGCTGGGACGTGTGGCCAAAAGTTAGAGCACCAAACGGACTGGGCTTGGCCCCAAGCGCGGACGGTTGACCAAAGGCCGAGGCCGGTTGTGATGGTTGAGAGAATGGAGAAGCCGCCTGCGTCGGCTATCCAAATGTTGATGACGGCTGAGACCGTTGGCCGAATACAGATTGCAATGGCTGTCTAAAGGGCCCGGTTAGGCTTCTGTCATAAAGCAGACGGTTGGCTAAAGCCACTTGTCGTGGGCGCTATAGTAGCAGTGCCACGCCGAATGGATTTGCAGCATTAGATCTTCTTCCGACTTGAAACTCCCCGAACGGCGCGCCTTTGGTTCCCTCTTTGCATATATCCAGTCTGTTCGGATGCCTATTCTCTGCTTCCACGATGAATCGTGCCGCCTCCGTCGGGTCTCGCGCCCCGGTCTCCATCTACTACTTTACATTTTATCAGCGCAATCGGTGGAAAGAGAGGCACCATTCACAAGGATTGGGACTGAAACAATCGGCAAGAGTAATGCCCTCAGGGTGATATGTGTCGACGAGAGTGATGAATTGGCAGGGCGGTCGGAATTTGGATCAGTGCTGGGTCTGATGGCATATGTGAAGGTGCCTGGGTTTATCTCGTCCGCCAACTCTCCAACTTCCATAATGCCCTCAGAGTTGCACGCGTCGCCTAGGCCGTGCCAGATGACCAAGCGGCGTGTCGTCGTCTGCATCGTCTGTTGCGCGATGTGAGAACTTTCACCCAAAGGTGCGGCTGGCTAGTAGAGCCATCGTTTAGGTCGTTTAGATAACTAGAGGCAGCAGCGTGTCGTCGTCTGCATCGTCTGTTGTGTGGTGCGAGAACTTCCAGCCAAGAGTGCGGCCAGCAGAGCACGAGAACTTCTAGCCAAAGGTGCGGCTGGCCAGCAGAGCCATCGCCTAATCTATGCAACATAGCTTAGGCAGCGACGTATTATCGTCTGTTGTTTGGCGAGAGAATTTCGAGCCGCACCTGCACGCCAGCGGAGTCGTTACCTAGGCCATGCCATATAGCAAATGGCAGCGGCGTGACATCGTCCGCATCGTTTGTTGTATGGTGAGAAACCTTCCAGTAAAAGTTGTGGCTGGCTAGCAGAGCTGTCACGTAGACTGCGCTAGATATCCAGCGTCAGCGCGTATCGTCGTCTGTTGTATGGTGGGCAGAGGGCCAAGGGCGGCGGCAGCAGCGTCTGGGCAATATACCCACGCAAAGATGAATAAGCTTTCGCCAAAAAGCGTTCCCTGGGAGGCGTATTGGTGATGGCGAAGTTGGAGGCGGTGGTAAGGGCGAGGGGGCCGGACACAGGCGCGGCGAGGGCGAGAGCCCGGTGGTAGGAGTCATATGGAGCCCATTACGGCGGCAAGAGACTGTTACAACGGCCAAGGCCCTCAGGACAACACACACCGTGAATGTGATAGCCAGCCACTGACATCTGGTTCCATGTTTCAAACGTCAGTATCTGCGACATAGAAACTACGGAGTGCTAGCACTTACAGCCGGGCCACGGCGGCGACGGGCAAAGGGGCGGGATACAGAGGCACAGGCCCCAAGTGTCGTGGGCTTCAAACGGAGAGTTGAGGGCGAGAATGTGCCAGATGTTGCAGACTCTGGCAGGGAAAAAACAAGCTTGGCCTTTGGTTGCAACGCAACACCAGCCTTGATTCCTCAGGCCCAACGCTGATTCGATCTTTGATCATGGCGCGTAGAACCAGTTTCAAGTCCCTTTCTCAGCTGGCCGATGCTGTTTCGATCTTTGGTCGTAGACGCGTCGAGTAAGCATCGGGCTCATGATGTTCTGGTCTCTGGTCGTAGTTGCGTGGAATCAGCCCTTGATCTCCCCGCCGTTTCGATCTGCATACGTAGGCAACAGTCAGTCTCCCGCGTATCACTCACTCGCCTCAAAGCGTAGGGAAAAGAGACAAGATGGAACACTCACTCCGCGATGATTGGCATTCACGTAAAACCTTGCTGATCGGGGTGCACTGGAGCGAGAATGGGTGGGCGAATTGATGGACTGGAGTTGTTTGGGTGAGGGAAATCGGGAAATTTTTCTTGAGAACATCAGATTACCACATTGTTTTGGGCCAGTGGTTCTTTCCCCTTCAACTCACCTCATGGAGTAGGAGTGCAGGGTAGCAGCGTTTATCTGTCACTTCGTTCTTGCACGCATTGATGCTTGTAACTTGACATGAGTTCCAATGAGATCTCATAATTTTCACACCCAACGAGCTGTACGATGAACAATTGCTACAGGTACTTGACCATTGTGTATTGCATTTCGCACAATGTCTGCCTTGCATTATCATCCGTAAATCTTTTTTGGCGCGTCTCTTGGTATTTGCCAAAGCAGCACTGGACTGGTGATTGCTGGGTCCCTGATGGGCAAACTTCGGTCCGGAGTACTTCCGAATGGCAGAGTGCACGCATAATTGAGGTAGCGGGAATGGCTTATGTAATAATATTTCGGTTCTGAGTGCTCGAAACATTTGACGGCTAAATCTCGGCCAAGCATGGCCAGCATTGCTGTGGCAGGTCCAGACACACCAAATGGTTCAAGCAAATGCTCCGAATCTGTTGCCATCTTTTGCTACCATTTTCTGTGTACTCGGTACATGTGCTAACAATGAACAAATATTTGACTATTTGAGTTCATGTTTTTCAAATGCAACGGAAACAAAACTTTGAGATAATATTGAGAATTCTTCATCTATTTCAAGTTCACATCTATGAAGTATAAGTCAATCTCTCTCTCAGTCCCACGCATTTGTTATACAAAGCAATAATAGGTAGTATAATATTATATGCTCCGTAACATTAGAAGTAAAGTTTGGTTTGATTGTATAACTAGCAGCCTATGAAACTACCTATGTAATGAATGTAAAGAAGTAAATTTGTACACCTAGTTTATTCTGGGCCCATCCAACTTATTAAACAAGCCATTGAACTGCCAGCTTGTGTAGTTTTTAGCAACTCTATACAAACTAGTCACTGTTAGCTGGCTGGTCTATAATTTTTCTGGCGCGGCCTTCCTTGTGAGTCCAATATTGCAACCATAAGAGCCAGGTCGTAACATCAAAGGTATATCTCGGTATTAGAAGGTACTATTGCCACTTGCTGTAGTGAACAAGCGGGCTGTCATCGAACCCTCAGGAAGATACTGCTCGATTCAGTCGTAGATTCGAGCCCCACCAGGAACGGGATTGCTAAAGTCCTTGACTAGATAACCCAGAAGCGCGTTGATTCCAACTAGATGCACGCCTGCGTCCCGCATTTGAGCATTGGTGACTTCCTGAATCAGAGGAGTGTTTGTACCAGACGCTTCAACGTTGGCCCAAACACTATAGCCTTCTGCTCTAAGAGAGAGTGCTAGAAATGCGGTACCTGCAAATGGAACATAAGCCATCGAGCTGCGTCAGTTCAGGGGTGGCGAGTAAGGCACTTACAGACGTCAGTGGCAATTCCGGCTATGATCATTTGCTTACGATGAGTCTCCTCAACCGCTTTTCTAAAGTCAGGATGGTCCCACGCATCAATCTCCCCTTTGCGTGGTATAAAAGGGGCATCTGGGTACATGTCGCGGATTTCCTGCAGAAGAGGACCATTAGGCCCTGAGGTAGCACCTGTTAGCTAACAATCGAATCTTCCCAGTGACGGAGGGCGAGGTAACATGGCTTACCCGTTTCTCCAGACGTTGTCATAACAACAGGGATGTCAAAGAGCTTAGCAAGGGCAGCATGTGCGATTACGCTTCTGTAGAAACGCGTATTCTCAATGTCATGGACGTAGTTCATCAGACCAATCTGGTGGTCCACGATGAGAAGGGCCTTTTCTATACTTAGTGAAGCCCCTTAGTTGTAAGCTATCAACACATACCGTGTTGTTGACGTCTAGACGTTCATAAGTAAAGGCTACGCATAGTCAGTACATGTATTTTACACAAGAGTCTAATTCGCAATCTATAATACCTTCTCCACGGACTGACACAAGCCCGCCTAAAAACAACGTGAGGTATGAGAGTGAAAGAAGCATCATGTTTTGAAAGAGTCGCTTGAATATTGCGTAATGATTTTGCTAATAACGTTTCCTGTAGAGTCGAATTGCTAGTAATATTTCCTATAGACTTGAATTGAACAAACATAGACCACCCGCGGGAAGTACGTGTATTTATACCGGTTTGAGCACTCACTCACTCCCAACAGCTCATGCTGCGAATCTGCTTATAAATTAGATGCCTCGTCAACCTCCAGAGTAGTAGTTACACTATCATATTGCTGGATTTGTCATCTATTCCATGTAAAGGCGGCGGTCTAGAAGATGAGATACTTCACAGTCATTCTAATGTGTATTATCATTCCGGTGGACCACAGTGGCTTGCATGGTGTTTGGCATTCTTGGCAAAGTGGTCTGTTCGAGGCGGTGATGGCTGTCATTGGGCCTCTGTTGGTACGAATACCCCGATGTCGATCCCTTCCACTCTCAGTCAGGTCCAGGATCAGGAAACGTACGGAGACTGCGGTCACTCGACAGTAATTGAATGACTGAATTCAAGTGACGTGAGAATACTATATTCAGTGCATTACTTGGCGGCAATCGGGTGGGAATATTCTCGCGCTTCTGGCATTGAGTGTCAGTCCTCAACGGCTGTAACAGTCTAAGAAAGTATAGGTAAGTATTCACAACTGGATAGGTAACTGAGTACTAAAGCTAAGGTAGGGAATGAAGAGAACCAAAAAAGGGGTGGAAGGAAAGCTCGAGAGCTCGAGGGACCGGCCGGCACGGAAGGCGTGAGCGTCATCCAAGTCGTCCTCGGGTTCAACACGTTGCTGACATGGATCCAGTATTTCCGCTGTTGAAACTGTCAGAAACTTCGTGATGGACTACAGCTACTACAGTTTTGACATTGTGGCCAAACGTAAAACTGCTATTGAACCTGGTTAAGTTCTGTGAAAGCCCAAGGTAACTTGTATGAGTATGTTCCTGTTGCACTGAGCGAGCTGAAGAATGGATCAGGAACAGTAACTGTACTATAATGATTGGAACCTATAGTACTATACAGTATATTAGGAAATGCAAGGTTTGTCATTGGTTTGTATGACGGTGGTAGGCTTAGAAACACAGGTCGCAGGAGGACACTACATTGAAACCGGGGTGAAGCTGAAGTTTAAATGGCTTAGCTGTATGTGAAACAGGCTGTACTGCCATTCCCCTTTATATCGTGGCTATACGAAAGCCTCATGTGATTTGACACCCTCAGTCCTTCAATTTCGCTATTATTTCCTGGTCCTTCCATCGCAACATCGTTCTGCAAACGCGTGGGTATTTGGTAAAGTAGAATTGGAATTTTTGCATTTTCGAAATGGAGGATCTCTAACCCCTACCATGGATAACCCTAAATTGTGATATCCCGCGCTGAACGGACAGTTGGTGCAAGGGGCCGCTCCCTTGTTTGTTCAACTCGAAGTGACCTTTCATTTGTGGGACGGCCCAAACGAGTATCTATATTCGCATCTCGAACAAGATAATGAGAGTCTAACAGCTTAAGAAGTGGCTGGTGAAATACTCCGTACACGCAACGGAATTGTAGCTGCATCAGCAAGGGGCGCTGTACTCCTTACGATCTTCTTATTCCGTCCCGTCCCCATTCCTAGCGTCCTTGCTCAGACATCATCTGATACTTCTACAATAGGCTATCATTCATCATTACCGGGCCTTCATCCAATTCTAATAACTACATATCTAATTTTCCCCACAGGTTGTCTGCCAGCCCCCATTCTCATCCGAATATCCAAACTAGTGTGCAAACACTTCTCCACACTCATCCCGTCAGCAGGTCTTTCAACGGCCACGTAAGATTTCGCCCACTTCCCAAGCTTCCTTACCGTTATTCCCCCTACTGGTGGCGGATGTGGGTCATTGACTCGCTATACGAGAGCTGGGTGTTGCCGCGCGCGTCGCAGTACTTACTATACGATGGTCATAGGCAACTGTTCTCGGTGGTCTAGATTGAGTGTACATACATGTATTTAGAATGACATGTGACCCACTTTGGAGGTTTGACACCTCAAAAAGCCGAACTGCCCAAAACGGAGACTTTTTGCCATGTGGGTTGTGAGATAGACCTGGTCTGAGGGTCCAATCCACAAAAGTCTGGGCGCTGAAGCTGGTTATTGGCCGATTAGAGTCACAGACAGGGAGGGGAACTACCGCCTCCCCGCGGTGTAGCTACAGATTGGTCGGGTGCAAGTTCTTTGTCCTGCATTTCCGATGAAGAGAGAACGGCAAAAAGGCACCAAGTCTCTTCTCGGCATGAGATACGGAGTACTCGTAGGCTCTCTGAGAGCTAATTAGCAGTTATTTTACTTAGGCTCGGGCGTTCTGCGGTGGGCCTTCGTTTAGTAGCGTTATCCGACCGATTCCAGCACAAGTTGGCCACAGGCAATCTGAGGAGACTCTATGCTCTTGTTTTTGACTGAACATAACCCCCTTCGGGCTGAATAATTCTGTACGCCATGTTTAAGTAAGACATTCGTTAAATCAGGGGCCGCATGATTCCATCATACAGTAAGGGCTATGTTGGGATCAGTTGCTTAGAGTCGGCATGTTTGATACCAATCGCAAGAACTGGCCACCAAAACCGGCGTTGTCGTTTTCTGATATCCCAGCAACGCTAGGATCTGATGGTTCCACCCGCTCGTCCTCGCTTGTACGTTTTGGCTCACGGGAAGCCCGGATAGCTTGGGTCCAGTATGCACCCCAAGTTGTTGCTGGCTCTTGATGAATTATATATTTCAGTTCCACCCCACTCATCCCTAGCATTCCAAGGCACTGTTCACACAAGCGTAAAGAAGTCGTCAAAATGGATTCAACTCATAAGCTTGAGTACAATGTCCACAACCTTAAAACCCGATCTGTCATTCTCTTCTCAAATGGGGCACAAGTAGTGAGAGAACTTGCGGTGATGAGTCTGAGAGTATGTCTCGCTCCTATAACCCCTATATATCAACGAACTAACTCAGCTCATAGCCCGGTCTCAACGAAATTACCATCGCTGGGCTCAGTCCGACAGTTCAAGCAAATACCGTCAAAGTCGAAGGAACTGGTCCGTCTGCTATTATCACAGGCATGTCTGTTCATACTGTGACAAACCAAGATATCTTTGATGATGTATACCCGGATTCTGGTAGCGAGGCTTCTGACAGCGATCCTGATACTTTGGAAAACGATAAACACCTTGAATACCCTTCAGGAGCTGGTGACGCAAAAGAGAGACTTAGAAGTCTAGAGACATCCTTGGAGCAGGCAAATGAGATGGTGTTAAGTGCCACAAGCCGACTCAAGATCCTAGATTCCTACAGTACGAGTCTATGTGGAAAAAGCCCCAGCGTGGATATTGAAGATGAATTGGCAAAGTATAAACAAGAGCGCGAGAAAATTTTCATGGACCAAACTCACGGCAAAAAGTGCCAGAGAGATCTTGAGGAACATATTAAACATGTGAGGCATGAGATTTCCAAGCTCGAAAAGCAGGAGAAAAAGGCAAAAGCAAAAGCAAGGAAGAATAAAATCAGTGAAGGAGGCCGCGAAGAAAAACACAACGCGAAGCGAAAGAGAGAAGAGCGAGAACGAGAGAAAGCCCGCGTGCGCCAGGAGCGTTTACGGTTCTGGCCTAAGTATTGCTACTCGGTTTCTATCAGCATTGAGTGCGATGGTGACACGCCAATGTCATCCCGTCGGGCATCTGAAGCAAGCGAAATAGACTTCACCAAAACAAGATCGGGGCAAGCCGTTAATGTTGGTATTCATAGCTGCGAGTTAGTGCTATCATACATTACCGAGTCCGCAGGCTGGTCACCCAGTTACGATCTCCAACTCTTCACCAGAACGGCATCTGCGGTATTGTTCTTCGATGCACAGCTTAGCAACCGTACTTCAGAAACTTGGTCCAATTGCCAAATTTCACTATCGACATCCCCGGCAACCCTCGGCGTCGAGGATTCCACACCGTCACTTGAGCCGTGGAAAATTAAACTTGCGGGATCGAGCACTGATACCGTGGACACCAATATTGTCCAAAGTCGAGAAGAATACGGCTTTCTGAACACTTGGAAATTTAAGCAAGACATACGACCTAGACAGAAACTACACTGCGACATGTTTGGACTTCGTGACGAGACAATTCGCACTCCTCATCATGGGGTAATTGGTTTTTCCAAGGAGTTAGCTGACTTTTATGGTCAAACGATGATATTGGAGCAGCAAAATAAGAAGAGGCTCATTATGGCGCGACAGGAAGGGCACAACGAAATGCGAGCAGAGCAACAAGCATCCAACGAGGCACGACATATGCAACAAAATGTAAATCGGATAAACTCAATACAAGCTCCCAATCTCAACTTTGGGCATGACATAGTCACAGCCGCAAACGGTCCAGGACAGGGCTCTACAGCCTCTGCAACGACTTCCGCTATCACCCCTGGTATAGCTGGGCAAGAGACACCACAATTCAGCAACCCCCAAAACCAAGGGCGAAGATTTGATTTCGAATACTGTATCGCCGAAGAGTCCGGCCCTAATACTACTTACGACCTCCCGGGTCTCAAGACGCTGCCTCCCAGGTCCGCTACATCAAAACAGCGAGTAACTCGACTTACATTCCACAATGTGGTCTTTACTCATGCCGTTTTGGCAAAGTATCGACCTGTTGCCACGTTCAAGGCCAAGCTAGAGAACAAGAGCGACGTCACCATACTTCCTGGTACAGCTGGCCTCACCCTGGACAACTGCTTCATTAGCCGCACGAATTTGCCTCACTGTGGCGCTGGGGACAACTTCTCTGTGGATTTAGGTGTAGATCCTGCTATCAGACTCACTTACTCGAAGCCCGAAACTCAACGGGTAGCCACGGGCATCTTTAGCAAGGAGAATTGCTCTGTTTACACCCGTACGCTCATATTGGAGAGTATCCAAGCTAGAGTAGGTAACCCATTGTCAATTCTTGTGCAAGATCAGGTCCCAGTATCAGAAGACGATCGTATGCAGGTCGAGCTCCGAATCCCGCGAGGGTTGTCGGTTGAAGGGCCTACGGTATCTGTTGGTGATTCGGGGCGAGACACCGTGAAAGACAAGGATTGGGGCAAAGCAATGGCCATACTCAAGAAGGGTGGCGAAGTCAATTGGCAGGTGGACTTGAACACTGGGAAGGCTGTTCGCCTTACATTGGAATATGCTGTTAAATTTCCGAGTGGGTACACAGCGGTTCAATGCTGGTGATTGATGAAGCCAAACGAGAGAGAACCTTGATGGAGCCCAACCAGAGTTTGAGATTTCGTGTCCCCGATGTTGTCAACAGCTGAAAATATTGAACAGTAGCTCAAATTCTTCAAATAAACCATCCATACGTTCGATAAACGACAGTTATTTAGCTCTCTTTACACATAAGTTTTGGCCAACTATCCTATGGGATGAATGGCATGGCGTACGTACACCCTTGTGGATTGAAGTTGTCGGGCGCGGTAGTGGTTATAGGGAAAGGAGTAATGTGCGCTATGGGGAGAGTTGGTCGGTAGGGTCTTTTCCGGTCCATCCTGCCAAGGAAGAAAGAAGAAAGGGCGAAAGGAAAAAGAAGAAAGGAGACTTCCTGAAAGTCTCTCCCCTCGGCTGTTCAGGTTCAGCCACAGTTACAGAGAATCCATCAGAGATAGACAAATAAAATAGCTTCAAACACTTCAGCGATTAAATCTGTGCCTGCGTCTTGTAAGAGAAGCTACCTTGAGAGGGCAGTAGAAGGAAGCGGTGGCAGAGGAGTAGGCGCATAAGCCGATGACGATGGCCACGGCTATCCTTCTGACAGACAGCCCAGAATGATGATGACAATTCACTGATATCCGAGAAGCAGCTGGAGAATTAATGGGCGCAAGCTGAAATGGCAAAAGCGGCGAGGCACGCCGCCCAAAACGCAGAGAAAAGCGAACCTTGCGATCGACTGCAGCAGATTGTGCCACGCTACTCGGTGTGTGGCAGACTTTGGATAAGACAGTCAACGTATCGCTCGAAGTAACCGCGGAGGAATCGCTTTTGCATGGCAAAAATCCGTGTCGGCAAGTCTTGGACAATGGGATGTGAAGCAAGACACACGCACTTGAGGAGTTCGATGGTACCTTCTAAAGATATTAAGTCAGTGCTGCAGTAGGACAAAAGGGATTTGATTCACACCTTGGTATTACAACATCTTGCAGAAGTGAGAGAATCAGGTTTCTCATCGTTCAATGTAGCGCTCTTGAGAGGTCGCCGGTGGTAGGAGGCCGGGGGGGAGATGGAGGCGTAGGAGTGAGAGGCATCTTTGTATAACTGGGCTGTACAATCAGTTCAACGAGCTGGAATTGGTATTGGCAAAGCAGTGAACGTACAATCTTCACAAGGAGTCTTTTGATGAATCCTGGAAAAGGCTGGGGAAGAAGAAGGGAAACGAAACAGTTTTATGTGCTGGTACGGCCAATAGCATACGTGGCTGGGAAGCCCTCAGCAACTTGGCGATAATTCTGAGATCAAAATGAAAGAATGGTCATTTATGCCTGCATATTTGTTCAGCTTGTTTCAAACTGAAGGAGATGATTACGGCTATTCAGAATGAGAGGACAAACTATCTACTAGTGCCAAGTCAACAGTTCATCGTCTCTTCTGAGACTTTCTCCGCATTGATTCACACTCAAATTCTTCCTGAAATTTAACTCGAATATTGCTAAAGTGCATCATTGACGCTTTAGTCGACACTCGGGCTCATATTGAGATTGTCAAAGCTGGTTAACTTTCAGATGCACTATTACACAAATGTGTGCCTCTTCCTATCAATTTGGTACTTTACAGCGCAAAATCTGTACTGCAAATAATACCTTTGTTGTCTTTAAGCAAGGTCAATGTGTCTTCGCACTTCTTGCTTATCCCGTGGTATGCATCGGTTCCCAATGGCAATCTAAATGGCATCTCACGACCAGCCGCGGAACCTTCGCCACGAACAAAATCCAGAATCAACGCTACTCCCTTTTCTGGATCACCAGGCTGTTTCCCGTCCAGCTCATTTAACATATTATAAAGAGCTTGTGAGGCAGGTTTGTAATCCTCTATTTCTGATGCGTGATATTTCATATTGCTGCCGAGCATTGTTCGGAATAGCCCCGGCTCAACCAGCATCGTCTTGATACCTAGAGGAGAGGTCTCTCTCCAAAGACTCTCAACTAGACCTAGAAATTGATGTCAGATACACGAGAATATGAATGGGGACGATGTGAATCGCAATACCTTCGAGGGCAAACTTAGAGCCCGCGTATGGACCGCCAAATTCGTGTCCAATCCAAGCTACTAAAGAGCTGAAGAATACTAATTTTCCGTTTCTGAGCTCCCTAAAATAGGGCAAAAATGCTTTGGTGACTTTGAAAACTCCAAATACGGTTGTTTCAAACTGTTGTCGCAATTCTTCAACGCTACATATCGATCAGTACCATTTCCAGCAGCGAATTAAAACAAATATATAGACAACCTTGTCTCTTCCCAGGCTGCAGCGGTAGAGTAGCCGGCATTGTTCACGAGCACGTCAACTGTGCCGTATATGGCGATTGCTTGCTTTGCAATGCTGTTCAAGCTTTCCTGATCGTCGGTAACATCAAGTTGCATTGTCTTAGCCCCAATCGTCTCCAAATCCAGGATACTTTCGAGCTTTCGAGCAGTTGCAATGACAAGATCACCACGTGCCAAGATTTGAGTGACAAAACTTCGGCCAAAGCCTGAAGAACATCCAGTCACAAGCCACACGAGGGGTGCCATTGTCAAGTAATTTCTGTTTGTCCCACAGTGAGTGTAGGAATTGATTTGAGACTATTTATTTTTTCTTCGGAGCAAAATCCCATTTATATACCAAAAATTATCTGTACGAAATGATGTATCACTGTTGTGTTTCTCCTTCGTTTAGTGGGTGCCATTAATTCAAGTCCTCAAGGAGCGGATGGAAGCGGACTCTGTATAGGGAAAAAGAGACACTGGAGCGGGCTTCAAGTATGCCGACTTTTGAATTGAAGCGGATAGTGGAACGAGAGATATTTGCGCTGATTCATGTATACGAACTTGCTGCCGGATTTATATGATTATCAGTATCGGGCGAATTAGACGGAGTTTACTTATCTCCACCGAGGAGCGCTACTATTTTACATAGACGTCATGCGCGATGTAGCATCCTTTACTAAAACTCAACAAGTATGCTTCATAAACTTGAATATTATCTCCTCATGTGGTGACCACAGCATCAAAATTATGTGGTTAAATGTTGGTGTCTTGAAATTGTTTCGTAAGAATAGGTTAGTTGTTCAGGGTGCACAAACCGGCAGTACTGGGTTTATGTTGCAGGCGGTCAGGTTGGTAATAGGCAATCTTGTCACTAGCAAGTAGGGTGGTAGCTGAATCCAATCTTATTGCCATGTTAACAACTGGCTATCTAAGCTATCTGAACGAGTGTAGAGAATGTGAAGTTATATACCCAGTTATATGTGTTGGGTTGTGACACAAACTAAGTTCTTATAGTAATAATATTCTTAGAGAAATTAATTTTTAATACTACAGTATTCGAAATGATCTGACTTAGTCAGAACGTTACAATGCTTTTTTTTTTTTTTTTCTTCTTCTTTGACATTACTTAGTTGCAGGTTGAACCCCCCAACCACGGCTACATACGTAACATCTATCAGTTCTCCATTACCCTATATCTTCTAACTCAGAAGACCATGCCCTTGACTTGAGCCACCTTTGAAAGATTAATGTTTCTAATCATAAGCATCCAAATTATCGCAAGGCCCATGACACCAGTTCCGGCAGCAAGCATCCGGGTTTGTGAGTACGCATATGCTTTCTGGATTGCCAACCTGACGGCGCTTCCGACAGGGTAACTGAGCTGCGTGTCCAAATCCTCATAAATGGTGTCCAAATCTGGAAGTGCTGATTCCGGAAGATATCGCTCGAGCGCCTTCTGAAATGTGTTTGTCCAGATGGCTCCAGATATCGTTGCCCCCATGGCATCTCCAACCGTACCCACTACATTGAGCAATGCAAGGGCTGCAGCAATATGCTGATGATCAACAGCAGCCAAAATAGCCAGTTGTTCGATAATAATGAAGATGCTACCTCCAATCGATATGAAGACTTGACACATGACAAGATAGCCCACATTCTGGTTCGGTCGGCGGAAATAGATCATCAACCCCTGTGCAAAGATGTAAAGCGGGACGGCAATGTACAGAAGCCACTTGAACCGACCAGTCCTGCGGATCAGGAAGCCAACAATCAACAACAGTACTCCTGAAACCACGTTGAAGGTATTGTTCACGTATCCAGCTTCTGCTAGACTTAGGTCGTTCACCACTTGTAAGAAAGAGGTGAAGTAGTTCGCCCAGCAGTAATACGAGATCTGATATGTAGCATCGAGAAGGCAGGCGCCGATGACAGTCCGATCAATCAAGAGGTTCCAGTCGAGTAGAGGAATTGGCGCCAGGAAGGTCTCGTACAAGGTAAAGATGATAAGCATAACGAAGCCGACCACAATCATGGCAATAATATATCCTGATGACCATCCATTGGGAGCAGAGTCGGCAATATTGAAAGGAAGAAGAAACACCGTGAGACCGACGGAGAACAAAAACACTCCCATTGCTATTGCGAGATTAGCACTTGTTATCTTTTTCTCAACCATCAAGCATCACATACCATCGAACTCTACGCTGTAATACCAGATGCTTTGCAATATTGTCCGGTTGCTTGGCTCCTTGGTCAACAGACCTTGTCTCTCGGCCTTGCGAAGGTTAATCTTCAAGATAAAGTATAGTGGAGCAGCCACAATAGGAAAGACGATGGCAAAGACACCAAAGCCCCATCGCCAGCTGATGTCGTTGTAGAAACCCTCTGATGCTTTTGCTCCAGCAAATGCCGTGATAATGTAGGGAGAAGATGTGAAAGCGTATGCTAACCCTCGATTCTTCAACTGCGATGCATCGGCCGTAATAACGTCTACGGCGTATGTCATACCACCAAATCCAATGCTATAAAACACCTGTTGCATGTCGGTTGTTAGAACTCGTTTACAAAGGAATGTGTTATATATGGGTAATATGTATGAAGTTTGCATTCGGTTCGTCTTACATATGCTGCACAGAAGGTGGCAATGCCATTGCTTGCAGCCATGAGAATCAAGCCCAAGGTAGCAAAGACGGTCATGATAAGAAAGCCTTCAGCTCTTCCCCAGACGTCCATTATCTTTGATAGGGGCATATAAGTTGCTGCAGACATAGAACCGGCCACGACGTAAATAACATTCAATAGCGAATGAGATTCGAAAGCGCTCGTGGCGTAGGGAAGCAGGTTGGAGAGAATTGTAGACTGAAACGCATTGACAAAGTAGAGCAACCAGATGCTTTAGCAGCCGTGAATATTAGCCATGTTTTGATAGAACCCAGATAAAGTATTTCGAGAAGGCTTACTTGAGGAAGATGCCGATTAGTGTCAATTTCGACCAAGTGAGAGCCATGGCCTCGACATCTTGAACACCTCGTTGCGCTTCTTCATTTGGCAACTCTTGTCGAGGATCGCCATTGTCGTTGTTTGTAGCCGCAGAGTCAGTCGCAAGGACTGCGACGTTCTTGTCATCCATCTTGGTGACAGCTGAGATGTCTGTGTTGTCAGTTGTACCTTAGGGGACAGAGAGTATGCGTGGGATCCTTGGAATAATATTCTGAGGTTGGCCTAGGTGAGGGAGCATCGACCAGAAATCACAAAATGGAGAAAATAGCGCAGGCAAGCCCTTAACCTTTTACAGCATAGGACATGCCCAGGAAATAGTACGAGTATACCCCCGTATGGTGCTTGTGATAATTACTAGCTGAACTTTTTGCGGACCTCGAGGGATTCCATTTCTAATTAGACGCTATTATACAAATTTTCGTCAATCTTCGGCCATGTACTCTGAAGCTTGGCCAGCGATAAACGCAGCCCCTGAAGGACCGATTGTCGGAATGTTCTTAACGATATAGTCTCCGAATGACAATGACAACTGGTGTAACATATCGGAGTAAATACTGCTTGCAAATATCGGCATTCTTGTGCGGAGTAAGATAAAATCTACCATTTCATCAGTGATTGGGTTGCCTAGTTGCCTAGCTTAGGACTGGGGGCGAATACGTATTGTGACCACTATTACCTCTCTGTCATGGCCCATCTGCCATTTCATTCTGTAAGTCCGGATGGCGTCACATCACCTAATTTTTATGAGTCACAACTTAGAGGCGGAGAAAAAAAAAAAATACTTCCATTGTGCGAATTACGCTGTACCGTTTATTTCCATCGCGTGAGCTCCGTCAATTATCTGATCAGTTGATTTTTACAAACTAACAACACAGGAACGGGCAAGTTTGGCTCGACCAAGTGATGGTCTAACTTGAGTGAGGTTAAGCGGCAAAGATACCATAGGTGGGCCTCCAGGGAAGGCTGTTGTCTCGGCTACGTACTCGTACTCATACTCCGTAAAAGGTCGAGAATTAATAGCCTAATAGTGAGGGAAAAGAATTATCAGATCCGCTGTCGTGGAGATCAAAATGGATACCTGACAGCAAGGGTTAATACTGTGTGGGAGACTGTGCGGGCAAATCGCACAGTGAAAGAATTCCTCGCGCCTACGGTGCAAATTTTATGACGAAAACAAATGGGGACCTATTACATACGAGTATAACGCAGCCAGTGGAGTCTCAATGTACTTAGCTGAAATAAAGCCAGCAACGGCTTTTCGATAGTTTTGTAATTAGTGCAAAAATAATATGATGCCAAGATCTCGCTTAGGCGGGGCGGCGGGGCATCTGATAAGATATATCGGCGTATTCCATCTTATCAGATCGAAAGCATCCCAGTACAAGGGAAATACGAGGAGAAATCACGCATGGAATGTCCAAAGGAAAAATTTTATGATTATGAAACGCTAGCTCCTCACAGCTTGGACGCCACCCATTTTGGCCTCCGCTTCTCTACAAACGCCCGGATTCCCTCGGTAAAGTTAGGACCATTAACCAGACGAGGATACCACTCGTTGGCCAGCATCGATACAGCCTCCTCTACGCTGCCCACTTCCCAGCTTAGCCGAACGCCTAGACGTCCAACAATCAGAGAATCCGGGCTGTTCTTGCACATTTCTTGCGCAAGTCGGACCGCGGCACGAGCCACATCTTCTGATGTATCCACCAGCTGAGAGACAAGGCCCCATTCATGCAGCGTCTTAGCGCTCACGCTTCTGCCGGTCAGGACAAGATCCAATGTGCGCTGAAGTCCAAGTGTCCGGGTTAGTCGCGGTAGACATCCAGCCACCGGAACAATGCCTCGCTTTATTTCGGGCAGCGAGAATACTGCCGAAGACGAAGCGAGCACCATGTCGCAGTTTGCCACCATCTCAAATCCACCTCCCATGCATATGCCATTCACAGCCGCTATGATGGGCTTTTTCCCGTCCCGACGTGGAAGGCCGGCAAGACCGGGGGCAGCCATATCGTTGAATACTCCGTTCTTGTTCATCTCGTTCCATTCTGACCAACAACCAACATTAGTTATGTCCCCTTCACGTTCTGAGCAAGTTGTGAGGAAGGCTTACCCTGTAGATCGGCTCCGGTGCAAAAGGCTCTTCCATTTCCTGTAATGATGCCGACCCATAAGGTCTCGTCTTGGTCAAATTGCTGCCATATATCCGCAATCTCTTGACTGGTAGACTTATTGATGCAATTCAGCTTATCCGGCCTGTTTATCGTGACTTGAATGATGTGGTCATCGGGGAAAGAGACCTCAAAATGTTCAAATTGCAGACGCCTAGTTGTAAGAGACATTGCGGAGAATTTTCGCTGAACCGACGACAAAGATATCATCTATGGAGAATTTACAACTCTACTAGACATATACAGCTGTTCCCCGACTTTATATGTTTTTCGTATTCCAGTACCTATATTTCCGAATAAGTCGATGCCCATTAGTGCCTTTGTTGGTGTCGCCAGCTAGTGCCAAGCCACCGTATCGAATGAAAGGCTATTGAATAGACGACCGGCATTCTACAAAATAGTCAGCAGGTTGGGGCGTCGGTGAAATCAATGTTATCTGATTGCTGCATCTGCCGTTAGTATTATCTAGGTACCTAGCTTTTAGTAACTACTTATATACACCTTGCCTCGCTATTGCAGTCAAAGTTCCCCGAACCACAACTGTACCAAGCTACCGCAAAAGCTCTTCAATAGCCATGGCGCCTGCTGCTGTTGCGATGACCAATTATCCTCCTATAAAGCTGCCGCATCCGTTCTTAACAACATACCGGGTACGCTCAGTTGGCGATACAGCACCAACCAGGCTTGCCTTGGTACTAGATAATGAGCCCAGAAATGGCAAACCGCTGTTGCAACCGCTGCATCTCGCTACTCTCTCGTGGTTAGACTTGACGAGAATACCCGACGATCAGTGCCCACCTACGTCCGACAACAGCCCATGGGCCAGGGCGCGTCGAAGCCCGGCGACTACCTTCCAGTGGGAAGGTGATACAGTTCCCACTCTGGGCCAGATTTGGAACGTGATCCACGCAATATTTCTGGCCTATCCGACATTCGAATGCTTCAGGCTCGTCTTGTTGGGAGAGGGAAAAGAAGTGGTGTCGAGGGAGCTGACTTACACCGGCCTTGGAATAGAACACCCGAAGCCACGGATCGGCGTACAAGGTGACAATACGTCTTTGGCCGAGCTGGTGATTCTTCGGAGTGCATTCTGGCAAGGCGCAGGCTCTCCGACAGGCCCTCGACCAATCTGGGTTGTAGGAGACCGTACTGACGATTCCTTGAGAATCAACTTGGCCCAATACCCGCCAATGCCTGAGCACTACCAAATCACGAATAAGTTCCCAAGTGAGCCAGTATATACTCGGCATCCGGCACGTCGACCAAAGCCGTGTCCGGGTTCGATAGTATATAGTCGGTACATACCAGAGATCGATGTCCATTTCTCTCTTGAAGCTGTCGATTGGCAGGATGATGAACATTTGAAGCTTTTCAACACATGGCAGAATGACCCCCGAGTTGCCATGGGATGGAATGAAACGGGGACACTGGAGCAGCACCGAGAATACCTACGCAAATTGCACTTTGACCCTCACGTCCTTTGCTTATTCGGCCGCTTCGACGAGTCTCGCTTCGCTTACTACGAGTTGTATTGGGCAAAAGTAAGTACCTTTTTTCGTACTTTCGTTATATGCATTACCTTGGACCCTTGTTTCATCCTGCCAATCTTTCTCTTGATCATTTCTCATATTTTCTATAGGAGGATCACTACGGCGCCCATTACAATGCAGGGGATTATGATCGAGGAAGACACTCCCTTGTTGGTGATGCTTCATTCCGCGGCGCCCAGCGTGTCAATGCCTGGTATTCCAGTTGCATTCATTACTGCTTTTTAGATGATCCACGAACCGAAAACGTTGTTGGAGAACCCAAAGCAACTGGCTCGACAATCTTATCTTACGAAAACTCCCAGGGTCTCACTATTGGTAAATACGTCGATCTTGGCCACAAACGATCGGTGCACTCTATATGCAGTAGGGAGAAGTGGTTCCAGCTATCTCCGCTCTTCTGGGACGGACGTGAGCGGCCACTTGAATCCGCTGATCGTGCTGCGTGGAATGCCAAGCTCTGAGTACGTCTACGCTGCGGGATAGTACATAGCCAAACAAGAAGGGTAACATCACGGAGGGTGATTATTAATTTCGATGGCTATTCTATCCTGTACTTAGAAGTTTTGTCTAGCATGATATAAGTGCTTTTTTATTGTTCGAATGTCGTGGCAACATGGTTTTACTTTTCAAGGTGATAAGAGTCCATTTCATGAGCTGTCGTAGTCTTAACCTAGAAGAAGTTAAAGAGAACTTGTACTACAGTGTTACTAGGTACTAAATGGCTTTGTCGACATTCATTTTCGTGAGCCGTGTTCTGCTCTCCTCTTCCCCCGTTCCTAGGTCATCGTCACCGCGGTATTTGCAAAATTGCTCTCTTACCCAAGTCTCGCCTCCGCCCGCTAACTCGCGCGCTAGAAGAAAACCTGATGCGCCTCACCCCCTGTCGCGCGCTGCGTGGATCAACTGCGTTTGGCTAATGCAGCATTTGCCCGTGTGTTGGTGTGGCCGTAATTTAACGCCGGGTGTGGGCCTGTACGAAGTTGCTTGGCGGCACTATCCAAAATTCGTGATTTACGTACTCGTACGTGTGAACTCCGTCCGAAGTACCGAGCTTCTTGACGCTTTCTTACGGCTTGACTCGAGCTGCTATATCTATTTAGGAGCTTTGCAAAGCCGATATCGGTTGGTATTCGAAGAATTGCCGATTTAGTTCTAATGTTTTCACATCCTTGGCCTGGCGTCGCCTTTTACAACCAACTCAGAATCCAGGAGTGCTATTGAGGCGGGACCATCACTCTTGAAGCGCAACGCATAGTGGGCTCGAATTAAAAGGTATTGGAGTGAAAATTCTTCTCATAATCAATCGAGTTATACTCGATCACTGACCCTAATACCACTTTACCACAGGTGATATTGTTTGCTGATACTCAATGCGAACGGTGGCCGAGTCTCTGTTTTAAACGGCCATTGTTCGCTTCCAGGCGCCATGGGGCTGATACGCAAGTTTAGGGGCTATCCTCGCCTCATCTTGGCTGGAAACCCTACACGGCTCGATGTTGGAATGCTTTTATGTGGAACAGTGTGCGCAATAGCATCCGGTGTTCCGTTTCCATTGATTGGTGTTATCTTCGGTCAACTCCTCAACGACTTTAATGCAGCGACGTGTGCCGAAACCGAAGCCTCTGGGTCTGCATCGGGTCTCCAGGGTGGGATCAATAGCAAGATACTTACAATATTCTATCTGGCAATTGCGCAATTTGTCCTAATAGGTGCCCATCTCTTCTGTTGGAGTACGTACGGTGCTCGGTTGGCACAAAGACTTAGGGAGCGCTATCTCCAAAACCTCCTTCGACAAGAGCCTTCGTTTTTCGACAATCTACCCCCAGGAGAAGTCGCCTCCCGAATCAGCGCAGATATCCAGACAATACGCTCAGGTACATCTGAGAAGGTGGGAATATGTCTCGCGAGTGTATCCTTTTTTGTAACGGCATACATTGTTGCTTTTGTCAAAGATCATGACTTGGCTGCCATGTTGATATCACTCGTTCCGGCGTATTTCTTGATGTCTTTTGTTGGAAGCCACTTCATCGAGAAATACGCCGGACTGATGTCCGATTACGCCGCCACAGCTGCTTCGATTGCCTCGGAGGCTCTTTCCAATATCACCGTTGTGCAAGCTTTTAGTGCCAACGCCCGCCTGGAAGAAAAGTTTTCCGATGCTCTTAAATCGTCGAAACGAGAAGGCTTGAAGAAGGCTTTGGCCGTCGGAATCCAATCTGGAGTGCTGTATTTTGTTGCTTATTCTGCAAATGCCTTGGCCTTTTGGCAGGGAAGTAAAAGCATTGCGGATTTGGTCAGCCACAAGTCTGGCGGTGTCACAGTTGGTTCCACTTTCACTGTGATTTTCATTCTCGTCGAAGGTTCGTCATTAGCGTCAACAGAGCGCTGCTGAAGAAAATGCTGACACGCACCCATAGCTACATTACTCTTCAGTCAGGTTGCGCCGTTTGTTCACCTCTTCATGGCGGCTGTTGCTTCCTTCGAGAAGCTTCGTGAGGATATGGATCGTGAACCGTTGATCGATGGCACTTCAACTTCCGGTTTTACACCATCCCAATTGGCGGGGCATTTTGAATTCAAAAATGTATCGTTCACTTATCCTTCCAGGCCAGAGATTACCGTCCTCGACCAAGTCAACATCTCTGTTCCCGCCCTGAAGCATACGGCCATTGTCGGTCTTTCAGGTAGTGGCAAGTCTACGGTTGCGAGTCTCGCGACAAGATTGTTTGATCCTACCAAAGGAGAGATTTTACTTGACAACTACAACATTAAGGATCTCAATACCCGCACTCTGAGAAGCTTCATAAGCTTGGTCCAGCAGGAGCCATCTCTACTTGATCGTTCAATTTTGGAAAACATTGCGCATGGCTTGGTTAATTCCAGCAACGCCGACCATTCGGATTTGAAGGCGATACTTCTTGGCTCTAGTCTTGCTGATCTGGCAAATGAAGTGAGAGAGGGCAAAGATTTGTTGGCTGCAGCGGAGGAACGTGGCCCTCAAGTTGTCAAAATCGTTGCCTTGGTCCGAAACGCGGCAATCCTTGCAGACGCAGATTCATTCATCGAAAAGCTACAATATGGATATGCTACACTTGTGGGATCAAGTGGTCGACTCATTAGTGGTGGCCAAAAACAGAGAATAGCTCTAGCAAGAGCCCTTGTTAAGGATCCTGCTGTTTTGATCTTGGACGAGGCTACCGCAGCTTTAGATTCACGAAGCGAACAGAGAATCCAACAAGCCATTTCCAAGATTGCGGGCGGCAGAACCATACTCACCATTGCACATCGCTTGTCTACTATTAAAAGTGCAGACAACATCATAGTCATGCACAAGGGACGAGTTATAGAGGAGGGAAGCCATTCGGTCTTGATGGAGAAAAGTGGCGCTTATGCCGACCTGGTTAAGCTACAAACGCTGGCAACTACGACCAATGAGAGTGAAGCCGCCAGCGTAAGAGACGATTCTGGCAAACTAGCTGGCGCACCAGTCACTGATATTGATATAATCTCTGAAAAGGGCAATCCAACTGTATTAAACGATGATCTTGAAGACGCGAGTGACTCTCGCCTCTCGGATGCTCAAGATGCAGAAACTCCTTCCCCTCTGATAGAAGATGAACCCGAAACCCCATCCATATCTTTATGGGCGCTACTAAAAGGATACGCGCCCGCATTGAGGCCACACATTCTTATGGTGGCAGCTGCACTCGTTGGTTCTACCATCGTCGGCGGTGCATTCTCTGGCGAGGCCGTAATATTTGGAAACACTGTAGGCAGCTTGGACATTTGCAAAAGCCCGTCGAGTATTCGATCAAGCGGCAACTTTTATGGGCTCATGTTCTTTGTTCTCGCCATCATCGAGCTATTCGCCAACATCGTCAGTTGGACTGGGTTTGGATGGGTCTCGGAGAAAATTGTCTACACAGCGCGAGTTTTGTCATTCCGGTCGCTGTTCGAGCAAGATCTCCAGTGGCACCAATCTAACGGGCGAACACCTGCTTTACTTCTCTCCTATATTACCAGGGATGGCAATGCCTTAGCTGGACTTAGTGGCTCTGTCATTGGCACCCTATTTTCGATTACAATCAACCTCATCGCGGCAATCGTCTTGACGCATATTATTGCCTGGAAAATTGCGCTTGTTTGCCTGGCATTGGTGCCTCTTCTTCTCGGAGCCGGCCTAATGGAACTCCGCGTTCTTGGTAACTTTGAGGAGCGCCACGAGAACGCGTACAGCAAATCTGTTGATATTGGCACAGAAGCAATCGCATCCATAAAGACAATCTCGTCGCTCTCTCTTGAGCACGAGACGCTGAATGTTTATCGGCGATCACTCAAAGGCCCGCGTCAAGAGACCTTCAAAGTCACTCTGCAAGCAAGCTTTTGGCAAGCCCTTACCTACTTCCTGGGAAACTGCGTGAATGCATTGGCATATTGGTGGGGATCAAAACAGATTCTCGCGGGTACCTATACACAAACCCAATTCCTCATTGTCGTCTTCTCTCTTCTTGTTAGCGCAATGCTATGGAGTCAAATGTTTGCCCTTGCTCCGGAACTTTCTAGTGGCCGGGCTGCAATGGCAAGGATTTTGAACCTTGTCAACATGGGATCGACAAAGATGCAAGGGGATCTTCAACTGATGCAGTCAAGCACGGGGCCCTCAACAGAGAAAGATCTCGAGGCAGTAACTGAGCCGAAGAGCTTCCAATCAGGCTCCAATATCGCCTCGGCCGTACAGTTTCGCAATGTACATTTCTCATATCCTGCTCGTCCCAATGTCGAGGTGCTGAGCGGATTGAGCATGGATATTCCCGCCGGTAGTTTTTGTGCTCTCGTGGGCCCAAGCGGAGCGGGCAAGTCTACAATAATCTCACTGATCGAACGTTTGTACACGCCACAATCCGGATCCGTGGTAATAGACGGCTTCGATGTGACAACGAGCTGTGGTGTATCTTTCCGTGATACAATCGCCTTAGTGCCACAAGAAAATGTGCTCTTTGAAGGAACTATCGAGTTCAACATCGCTCTTGGCGCTAGACCAGGACAAGAGGTATCGTTAAAGGAGATTGAAGAGGCGTGCAAACTCGCCAACATCCATGATGTTATTCAAGACCTGCCCAACGGCTACCAGACTCTTTGTGGACCTAATGGTAACCAATTCTCGGGTGGTCAGAAACAAAGGCTTTCGATCGCTAGGGCTCTCGTTCGCAAACCTAAGCTCCTCATTCTAGACGAGCCGACGAGTGCGCTTGACGCTGAATCAGAAAAACTATTGCAGGATGGTCTCGACAAAGCAACGAAAGGAATCACCGTAATCGCAATCGCCCATCGCCTGCACACGATAAGAAAAGCAGACTGTATTTTTCTCATTGAGTCAGGTCAATGTGTTGATCATGGGCTACATGAAGAACTGTTCAAGAGATCACCAGCTTATAGGTTGAACGTGATGCACCAATCCGTTGCTGAGTAATATAGAATTTTTTTTTCTAGAGAAATGGGTATTCTACGTTGAATGGGTAGCTTTGAAGTATGAATAATAATATTTTGCTGCATACAATTTACCCCTATTTTCAGCTCAGTGTCTTCAAATACCCAAGGACTTTTCCGACTAGGAATTTTCGTGGTTCTGCTTGGTCATCATTGCTCAACGCGTGAGATGCTCCTGGTATCAATCCACTATGCTCCTCATCCCATATTTCCACCGAGTTGTTCAAATTCGTGGCTTTCTTCCATCTAGCCAGCACTTCCTCTTTGTTAATCCAATCTGGCACTGACTGATCGGCCCCAGACATTAAGACCATCAGCTTATGCTTCAATAGCCCTTGTTGCTTGATCATTCCGAATGTTTTCCCCAGTTGTTCTTCAGTCAAATCAGAACTAAACAAATCATCATCGCTAGGTGACTTGGGACTTTCCGGGCTGGTAAGGCTCAGGAATCTTCGGCTGCTGAGAGGAGTATTGGCCGGATATCCGATCTGTGAAGTCATCGAGATGGGTAGCATGGTATCGGAAGATGGGTCGCTGAGGGCAGCCTCCTTAGCCATCGCTTGTAGTTTCTCATACACAGCTTTAACTTGGCTGGGTGACTTGCCGCCAATTCCATGATGTAAAACCCATTGAATAGCTTCTCTGTCAGATACTGGTGCCTGCATAATCGCTCCATCAAGGGCTAGGCGCTCGACATGCTGAAGTTCGGAATCAAAGGGTGGGTCAAAGGTGTGAGGATTTGGCCTACTGAGGTAGTGTATTACACACTGACTACCCGTTGAATGACCCATAAGGATAAGCTTGCTATGCCCATATTTGGCATTTTTATAAGATTTGATATATCTTATGCATTGAGCAATCTCATCGGTGTCTCTGTCAAGATGCCCAAGACCCCATGCTTGGTAGGACGATGTGAGATTGAGTGTGAAGAATGACCATTCAGTTGGCTGCAGCGCCCGCACTATGTCTGCTGTGTAAGACGTTGTAGCAAGACCATCTCCAAGACCACCGACAAATAGAATACTATGAGGCTGGCGCGCAGTGCTGGATGTATATTCAAATGTGACAAGGGTTTCTGTCTGATATCCGCATCCATTAGCCTGTAAAGCAAATTTATCAAACCAAAATACTTACATAATGGTGTAAAATACCAGAATGCCCCCCTTTGGGCCAGAATTTTGAATACATGTACATTTTGCAATAGACCGTATGTCGAATTCTGAGTGCTACTGTCTGGGCTTTTCGTTCGCAATTTGCGCCTTCCAAATGTCAAAGAAATGTGAGAGGTTAATTTGTACACTCTTGTTGCCCATACATTGCAACCTTCCGACATCGCATCATGCATCTGTTCCGTGAACGGGATTTTAATGAAAATTTTTCACCAACCTAGCTAATAAATGGCTAGATGGAACTAACACCAATCTACTACTAACTTGAGAACTATTGCTGGCCCACCGCATCTGATAAGATGTTGGGACAGCAGCTTCATGAACACGAGACCTGGCGGATCTGATTAGATTATCTCATGTCCCGCTAAGCCGCGAACGCACGGATTGCCGGCAAGAGTCGGGTAAAGCCAGCCCAGAGTTTGATTCTGTGACCCAGCGGCAAATACATAGTACGTACTCATATTGCAGGGGGCGGGGGGGGCGTACTGTATTTTAGTGAAGTTTGTGGATAGTACAGTTTAGTATCAACTGTGTGGAGAAATTGGGTGTCATTGCATGCATGCTCCGTTTTCGTGAGAACAAGTTTCTAAAGCGAGCGCTGAGAATATGTTGATGTTGATGTTATATGTAAATAGCGTACTATGAGGTTTTATGCGTTAAAAATTAGAGGCAGAGTAAATAAGAGAACCGTTTAGCAACTATGTAAGGCATAAAGGCATATATCTGAAAACTCTGTGCAATTTGTCCTACATCGCTGCGGCATTTTCTAATGGTTATGAGGGAAACGTTGGCACTTCTGGTCTTTGTTCTTTGATTACTCGCCCAGGATCAACTCGCAGCCATATACTAAGAGACTCGGCCGTCCTCAGCCGAGCCGTTCGTTTACTTGGGTAATAATACTCTACCACCAAAGCCGCGAGACACGCTCAAAGCGATAACTATATAGCGCGCAAACTGGACTACTTCAATCTGTTTTGACGTCTCATACCGATAACTCTAAAAGGAATATTAACTTATTTCTTCCCATTTCCGCCAATTTGTTCTCATCCGACTGCCGCACAATTTAATGACCAGCTACAGACTGGACAATACATGCACATTATGCCATCCAGTTTAGAGAATGTTTATATACCGCGGAGCTTTGAGCTTCCTAGTCTTTCCGCGAAAGGGTCATCGATTCCAACAGGAATGAAGGATGAATTCCTGCTCCTATCATGGCTTATTGTTCTTTTGAGAGTAAAGGAAGACAGGCAAGCTAGCTATGGCTGGATATATCAAACACGAGGGCCTGAGGTCGAGCGCGAATTGGTCAGGGGGGAACTCTCAACGAATGGAGTATTGGAGAACTTGAAAAGCACCGTTGGCCAAGCTGCCGCTGCCATCTCCAAGTATATGACTAGCGCCATATCACAGTCTCATGAGGGATATTCGACTCCCGTTTCTCTCTTACTGAGTACAGAATGCCGGCTCAATGAGAACAGCAAGCCTAAAGATGAGGTAAGACTATCAATCGCGCTCATTGAAAGAGGTCTCATAGCTAATGCGAGCGAGAACAGAGTACCCTATACCTCGAAACATATTATATGAATGGCCATCTCTGGATATGCCCCGCGCGCACCCCCAAAAATGTTTCAACATATGTAATAACGCAGTATGTCGAAGCATTGAGCCATACCATCAGAATGTGCATCTCAAACCACGATGCGGTCATTGAAGACTTTCTTGATCCATTCGCGCACGATATGGATCAAATATGGCAGTGGAATCATTTGCTTCCCCAGACGTATGACTGCTGTATGCACGATATAGTTTCTGGACAAGCTCAAGAGTCCCCAGACAAGGTGGCCATTCTATCTTGGGACGGCAGCTTGACTTATGCCCAGGTTGATCGATACTCGTCTCTTCTGGCCTTTTTGCTCAGGGAACGGGGTGTTGAGGCACAAGAATTCCTTCCACTGTGCTTTGAAAAGTCAAAATGGACTGTTGTTGCTGTGCTGGCTGTGATGAAAGCCGGAGGAACAATGGTGCTTATGGACCCAGCACTTCCGGTTGCGCGCTTACGAAACATGGCAGAACAAGTTAATGCAAAGACAATGGTTGTCTCTCGAAAGCAGTACAACTTGGCTACAGAAATCCTCCTACATGGGGATTTTCTTATTTTGGAGGAAGATACATTTGCTCGCTTTGCAGATTTAGTACCCTTTCCCGATCTCCCGGCTGTGCATCCTTCCACGCTCATGTACATCATCTTCACATCTGGAAGCACGGGCACTCCCAAAGGTGTGCAAATATCCCATCGCAGCTATTCCAGCAGTGCTTTCCCTCGGGCTAAAGCAGTTGGCTACAACAAATCTTCCAGAGTTCTCGATTTCGCATCCTACGCCTTCGATGTTAGTATTGACAGCATGATACTGACATTGGCTAACGGTGGCTGTCTCTGCATTCCATCGGATGAAGACAGACTCAACGACATAAATACAGCCATGCGAAATATGGAAGTGAATTACGCGGGTCTCACCCCTTCAGTTGCTCGAATACTAGACTTGGACGTCATTGCGTCTCTCGAAGGACTAGGTCTTGGGGGTGAAGCGGCTTCCATCAGTGATGTTACGCTCTGGGGCCAATATGCTAGGATTATCATAGGATATGGGCCCTGTGAATGCACCATTGGCTGTACTGTGAATAGCAATGCAGCTGCGAATCGGGACTACATCACTATTGGGCCAGGCAATGGCGCCGCTATTTGGATCGTCGACCCGGATGACCACGAGTCACTGATGCCAGTAGGCGCAGTGGGTGAGCTGCTTGTGGAAGGCCCGATTGTCGGGCAAGGCTATCTTAATGATCCCGAAAAGACTGCCGCTGCTTTCATTCAAGATCCGTCCTGGCTTGTATCAGGCTACGGCCAACATAGCGGCCGCCAAGGTCGTCTGTACAAGACTGGAGATCTTGGAAAGTATGCCCCTGACAGTTCTGGCGAGATCATCTTCATGGGCAGGAAAGACACTCAGGTCAAGTTGCGTGGCCAGCGGGTTGAGTTGGGAGAAATAGAGAGCCAACTGAAAGCTAGGCTGCCTTCAGAGACCAGCGTGATATCTGAGGTAATTACGCCAGCTGGATCCGCGGCCCAACCGACTTTAGTGGTATTCATTGCACAACAGGTCGGAAAGGCAAGCGAAAATCGCCAGTTGGAATCGGTGGGCCTCTCTGGAGATTTGGGCGAAACGCTGTCGAAAGCTAATACCGAGGTGGCAAAAGTATTGCCTCGGTATATGATTCCAACCGCATACATATCGATCAACTATATTCCAACATTGATATCAGGCAAAATTGACCGAAAGCGGTTGAGAGAATTTGGTTCCAAAGTGGACTTGAGGAACCTTGATAAAAACACGAAGAGCACAGCAACTCGAGCGCTCAGTGACCTTGAACAACGCCTACGACATGCTTGGGCTTTCATCTTAAAGTTGAACCCAGACGATATCACCCAAGAGGACAATTTCTTTGCGTTGGGTGGCAATTCTTTGGCAGCTATGAGATTAGTGTCTACATGTAGAGATCGAGGGTTGGATCTCAGCGTAACTGGAATGTTTGCTAACCCAACTCTTTCGGAAATGGCAAATGCTGTCTTCATATGCGATTACGACGCGAGTGTCACAGTTCCGGAGTTCTCCATGATATCTCAGCTTGCTGACAGCGCCCGACTCGAAGCATCGCGCGTTTGTGAGACAGATGATGCCGCTATTGACGATATTTATCCCTGTACTCCAACGCAGGAATCTTTGTTTACGTTTTCTCTCAAATCGACTGAACCTTACATCGCCCAGCGGGTTGCTTGCATTCCGCCTAATGTAAACTTGGAAAAATGGAAACTGGCATGGGAGTCGGTTGTTGATGCAACCCCCATCTTACGCACACGCTTAGCCCAGCTCCAAGATCCTGGGCTTCAGCAAGTTGTTCTCAAGGAAAAGATATCGTGGAAACATTCTACAGATCTTGATCAGTATCTTGTCGACGATAGAGCCCTCAGGATGGATCTTGGGCAAAGTCTCGCTCGATATGCTATTGTGGATAACAATGGAGATGGTAAGCGATATATGGTTTGGACTGTTCATCACGTACTCTACGATGGATGGTCAGAGCCGATCATACTTGAAAAGGTTCGCGAAGCATTGCAGGGCGGAAGTGTTTTGTCTCACCAGCCAGCACTCGCAAGTATGCGAGACTTTGTCAAGTATGTTCGTGACACAGATCAGATTGCGATGCAAGAGTTTTGGAGGAGAGAACTTGATGGTGCAATAGGTGCTCAATTCCCTCGCCTACCAGCCAGAGATTTTTTACCAAATCCGGATACCATGTTTGAGTATCAAATAACCATAAAGTCAACTATCGGCTTTCCATTTACCCTAGCGACCGTTATCCGTGGGGCATGGGCCCTAGTTGCTTCACAGTATACTCAGAGCGATGATGTCGTCTTCGGAGAGACACTCACGGGTCGAGACATTCCACTGCATGGCGTGGAAGGTGTTGTTGGTCCATTGATTGCTACTGTACCTATCCGAATACGCATTGACAGGAAAAGATCCATCAATGATTATTTGAAGGCTGTTCAGCAAGCTATTCTCGCTCGTACTCCATATCAACACATGGGCATGCAAAACATCAGAAAGGTTCACCCAGATGCCCAACATGCATGCGAAGCAGGAACAGGCCTGGTTATACAACCGGAACTAGAGTACGACGGCACCGACCTTGGTTTTGCCCACGGAGATGTTGTTCGAGAAGCGCTACATTTCAACCCTTATCCACTTATGCTAGCATGCGGTATGAACTCTGATGGATTCAGGATTTGTGCAAACTTCGACAGCAGCCTGATAGATCTCAGCCAGATGAAACGAATGCTGGCACAACTAGAGACAGCTTGTTCACACCTTATGAGTGATCTCAGCAGAAGGGTCGACCAGATATCTTGCCTCCCAGAAGCTGAATTGAATCATATTTGGCGCTTCAATCAAACCCCACCGTTATCTTTTGATCAGGCTTCAGGGAGGTGCAGAGCAGGCGCGGAAATACAGCCAGGATCTGAATATCCTCCATTTCTAGTTCCTTGGGTATGCATTCCACGAAACCCGTCCCTTTTATCGCCCATCGGTTGCCTCGGCGAACTTTGGCTTGAAGGACCACTTTTGCCCTCTGCTGAGGCGATCGAGTCTCCTGCATGGCTCTTAGCTGGGAGCTCTCAGTTCCCCGGCCGATCAGGCCGAATTCGAGCGACAGGAGACATGGTACAGCTACAAGAGGATGGTAAACTAGTGTTTGTGGGTCGAGCTGAAAACATTGTACCTGTCAATGGCCATTCAGTGGACATCACAGACTTTGAGACACATTTCACCCAGTTACTGCCGCCATCTGTCCTTGCTGCTGCGGCATTATATCACCCATCAAATATTGAGAAAAAGCAGACTTCAGATGAAGGGCTGATTGTGTTTATAGAACAACAGCCCTTGGAGAAGGACGGTGTTGAGTTGCTACCAAAAGAGTGCCGAGTGAGTTGTGAAGTGCCTGGCTCACAACCCTTTGAAACTGCTATCTGTGCAACTATATCTGCCAACTTTGCTGGGGTATTGAAAAAATTTGACAAAAACATTCGGAATTCTTTGCCGTCGCACATGGTACCTTATGCGTACGTCGTTGTAGAGAAAATGCCCATCGCACGGGGGCAAATCGATCACAGCTTGGTCAATCAGCTTGCGTCCAAAATCTCTCAGAATATAGCTTCTCAGCTACGCGAAAGTCTTACGAAAGAATGGGCGAAAATAGTAAGCCCAGTAAATCTCACGGTGTCGCAAAATATCCTGCGATCCGCGTGGGCAAAAGTACTTAATGTCAATCCGGACCAAATTGACGTTGACGACAACTTCTTCCGTCTAGGCGGTGATTCAGTGTCAGCTATGAAACTGACGTCGAATCTGCGTAAGCAGGGACATGGAATGAGTGTAGCAGATGTATTTCGACACATGCGCCTTGGCGACGCTGCCACAGTTTTAAAGGTTGACGAACTGCCCAAGGAAGATACAGCGTCCTACAGAGCTTTTTCAATGATGGGTTCTATCGACGTAGATCTCTTTCTGTCGGAATGTATCCGCCCAAAGCTTGCTAATCCAAATTGGAGCATCAAAGATGTATTCAACGTGACGGATTCACAGGCATTGGACGTTGGAGCAACTATTCAAAGGCCACGCACATCCATACAGTACACGATGTTGTACTTTGACCGGGACTCAATAGGCCAAACTAAACTGCTGCGGGCTTGTGCAAATCTTGTCAAAACTCATGACATTCTGCGCACAGTATTTGTCGAGCACAACTCAACCCTATTTCAGGTTGTCTTGGACGAAATTGACATTCAAGTGACGATGGAGACGACAGACGCAAACCTTGATGAGTTTGTCACAAATCTTTGCAATAATGATGTCGAGTCCGATTTTCTTCTTGGATCGCCTTTCATCAGGATGTTTTATATCCAAACCCTAGATGGCCAAGGGTGCCTTGTCCTAGGCTTATCTCACGCACAATACGATGGAGTATCGCTGCCTCGATTGCTTCGAGATTTAGAAACGTTATACACTGAAAAGGAAGTTGTAAACTTTGAACCTTTCAGCTCTTATATGGCACGAATCCGGAACGAGGGAATGCAAAAAAGAGCGCTGGACTATTGGAGTAATCTTCTGAGTGGCTCAAAGCTTTCAATTCTTCCTGGAAAATCGACAGCAAATACAGACAGAGCTGTATTCTTATCAAGACAAACTGATGTCTCCATGGCACCTGAGGGCATTACCACGGCCAGTATGCTCACTGCAGCATTTGCTCTGGTGATAGCTCGTAGACTTCACAGGTCAGACGTCTCTTTTGGAGGAGTAACATCTGGTCGAAACATTGGCCAACCGAACACAGAGAATGCAATGGGTCCATGCTACCAGTTCGCACCCATTAGAGTCATCTTTAAACCTGGATAGTCCACAACGGATCTCTTACACTTTGTTCAAATTCAAAACGCTGAATCTGCTGCTTATGACTTTGTTGGTTTCCAAAGAATAGCTGAGCGGTGCGCAGAGTGGTCCTCAGGAGCAAACTTTTTTGATTCCATTGTTCACCATCAAGATTTTGAGGATTTTGATTATATGCCTTTTGCCAATAGAAGTTGCAGAGTCAATATTCTCAACCCACATGGCGACGCAGCCTATCCTCTTAAGGCAGTCTCTTTCCTTAAAGAGGGGAAATTAAACGTTGGACTAGTTGGAAGCCAGGTAGATTTGGCTTTTATTGAATCTTTACTAATGGAATTAGTAAATGCAGTGGAGGAGCTTAGTAATTATAAAATTATAAGCTTATTATAAGCTTATAAAAGTTATATTTATATAGAGGTTTTATCATAGCTTAATTTAGCTGTAATATTTTGAGCTACGGGTACTCTGTTGTATTTGTTGACTGCAGGGTGACCCCTATCCGATCTGCCTCATCGGATCTCGTAGATTGTGTATATATAAGAGGTCCTGCCCCCGACTTTGTATCTAGATAACTAAGACCTTTAATGAATATAATATTACACCCAACCTCTCTTCCAACAGTATTATTATAAATCTGATCCAAGTCTGTTAGTGAGGCAATGAGAAATGATATATTGGCTGTTGTATTTGTAAAGCCTTGCAGTAAAGAACTAAGAGGGCTTAGTAGCAGATCTATTAATTGTGATGATGGCATAGGGGTGGAAAATTCGTATGGATTGTGTCACCGCGGTGACTGCTGCCCTGGGTTATCTAGGTTGAGATCGTCGACCTCACCGTGATTTCGGATCCAGCTGCTGTTCTATATGATCTCATTGTGGCCCAAGATGGAGGCCCTAGCTCGAATCGGAAATCCCCCTATGCCTGTTGAGCTCCTCCAAAGATAGACTGCGAGGCTTGCCTTATAAAAAATAAGCATTCCACTTATGATGTGTGTAAAGCAAAGATATATATGCTCTCTATGCAGAAGAACAGGGACACCAGGTACGATTAGCGTTTTTTACGAGTGTATATCGACATGTGTAAGTTTGACACTTACTAAATTAGCAACTAGCTTCTAATGCTTCTATATATTACTTATAATTTCGGTATTGGTTTTGGTGTTTGTGCGTATGGCGGCGCTTAGCTCTGTCTTCTGGCACCGCAGGAAGGATAGCTGGATAGTATAGGAGCAGTAGGCAGTATAACTGACACATCCTAGGCCTTCTGACGTAAGGCCAGACAATTGGAGGTAGTCTTTAAAGAGAGAAGGGATCTGCTGTGTATGATTGAAGGAAGTTTGAACTGAAATTGCTTAAGCATATATGTTCTGCTCTCCAATAGGATTTAAGGTCAAGAGTGGGATAATAAATAAGCAGTCTCTTCTCCGCTGCAACTACGCGCTAATGCTATGAAGAAGGACAACAAAACACAGTTTTACTAGTCTGACACCACTCTGTTATCTCGCCGAATATTATCAATTGAGCTACGCGAAGATAAGTAAAAACCAAGCATCTTCTAGGTTGCATGGTAAAAACTAGCCGTAAATATCGTCGCCCAGGTAGGTGGACTTGCACATCAGATGGACGGATTCATCCGTCATGCTTCCTCCAGATGCACGTTGTTGCAGACATTCCCAAAAACCTCCATGGAATGGGATAAGTAGTCCTGCACCACCTGAATCCTGCCTGCCAAGTCCCGACCCAGCGGCAGTGCCCTTTCCGCCTCGTGATCTTTACCAACCCCTTCTCCCACAACAACGTCATAGACTGCCTTCATGGCTTTGTCTTTGTCTCCATTAGGCGCAAACTTGCCAGTAGACATAAATTCCATAATCTTTTCCGACATCGATCCCTTGTAGTCGTCGGGAAGTGGATTCTGGCCTAGTATAGTCGCATTACCCATTCCTGTATTAAACGTTCCAAGAAGAACAGTTAATACGCGGATATTGAAAGACTCAACCTCTTTGGCCAGTGCCTTTGACATGCCTAATGCTAGTTAGTTATGTCTTGTTGTTTTCTTTAGAAGTGGGATAGCTAAAGATGCAATCACATACAATCCAATGCTCCTTTGCCAGCTGCATAAGGACCCATAGTGGGATTGGCTTCTAGGGCAGCACCGCTGCTCATGTTCACGATGATACCGAACCTTCGTTGACGTTGATGCTTAACAACAGCTCTGATCAGGCGGCTAGGGCCAAAGTATAGTGTCTCCATCAATGCGCGGGCTTCGTTGTCGGTGAAGCTCTCTGCAGGATTGTAAATGCAGTACCCTGCGTTATTAACGAGGACGTCCACAGGTTGTCCCTGACCTTCAAGCTCTTCAATCACTTTGTCGCAGTCGAGATCATTGACATCTAGTTGAATCCATTTACCGCCTTTACCCTCAACTTCGGCAACGAGATCGGGCGAGTCTGATGGCTTGCGGGAAGTAGCGATAAGATTATGGCCATTTGCCTGGACAATACGGGCCAGTGACAGCCCGAAACCAGACGAGCATCCGGTGATGAGCCATGTGAGTGGCTTTTTGGGAGTGGTGTATACAGGCGTCATTATTTTGAGAATAGAATATTGATCGAAAAAGTCTGTAGTTGAGAGTGATGGTTTGAGAAGTTGGACTCTGCTCGAGACATGCGGGCGTTATATAACAAACCGTGGGCAAACAGCCTTCCAGTAAACATTCATTGGTTTCCCCTTTCTTCGGCTATTGTCAAAATCCGTGATATTCGGACTTAGGCCTCTTAATGCCATACTTTTGAATCGACGTTAATTATACGCAGACGTGATGAATTGGAGTTGAAGTGACTGCCGGACTTCTGTGGATGTAAAATGAAGCCATGTTTCGGCCATGACCCTGACGCGATTTCCTATTTTGGAAAACTTTCCGGAAGACGCCCCCACCAAACCTCGGACATGATTCGCGGTGTTCCTCCGAATTCTTCCACTCAGATCCAGTTTTACTCCATATTTGAGTAAAGAATTGTTAAAGAGCTATTAATAATCCAATTCTAAGTTGAGAGATACATATTAACCCGGTGTATTATCTGGTGGGATGGAAGCCAGGAGAGTGTTGCATGCGCGGCTGTAGAATGCTCGCTGTTCTACTCTTTCTATTTGAATTGGCTTTTGTTGATATGATATTACTCATCTATGCGTTTAAGTACCTGATGAATATTATTTATGTTGGTACATACTCCGGAAAATAACAGTTGGTCAGGCAATCCGATCTGATTCAGAGCTTAGCGATTATCGTCATAATAGATCTGGCGGTCGTACAAAAGTTGAACAATCGATGTCCAATTGTCCTTGTGAATGATGCCTTAGCTTAATACACCATGAAGCAAAGAAGATTGGATTTTTTCAGGTAGAATGCTCATCTAATAGTGGTTGGAATTGACTATGGAGCACCGCTTCACCTAGAACGACCTAGAATTTATTTGACACATGGGTGCCAGCCCTTGCAATTCCTTCGCTGAAGCTTCCACAGTGTATATGGAATGTACAGCGAATGCATCCTTCACCTTATCGATTCATACATTTTATATAGAAGGTCTCTATGTACTAGGTACATGTAGTAATTAGTAGACAGTTGTAGTAAAACCGAGTTGATGCAAGCAAAGCTCCAATAATCCATGGCAAGGGCGGGAAATACGCCAAGGCTAGACACGGATAAACGTGCACCGATCTGTCGCTATCTGATCTCTTTCCTTGGCTTGGGACGCGCTGCGAGCCGTGGCGCCAGACATCAATGGATGTGTCGCGACAGCTTCATGTTCCAACATTGCCTCTCATGATGGAGTTGGCGCCATGGAGGACGAAAAATGAACACCGACTCACTGTGATTCGTGAGAATCCCATCAACAATGCGTTCGAGGCCTTCCGGACATCCTTTGCCTTGGCCCGCAAGGAAAAGAACTTGGCCAAGGATCTGGACGTGCTTGACACGATCGATAAACTAGATCAAGATGGTAATGATCCTGCTATAGAGGGCCTGGAGAAAAGCAGCTGCTGACATCCGAACAGTCTTCCAAGATCTCTCTATAGACCTTCTCACGACGATCGTAGGTTTACGTGCCCCACGAAAACTTCACTCGGTCGGCATCGGCAAAAACCTCTCTATTGATATCGCTAGACTCCTCCTTGCCGTGAACTCCGACGACTTCGATTTCGCCACCATTAAGACCCTATTTATTGCGGTTCTCGAGCGGAAACCTGATAAGGAAATCTGGGATTGGGTCTACGACGCCGTGTCCCCAAATCCATTCGCGCCCCATAAATCCAGACTTGCCTCAGTCAAGGACACCCCAGAGCAGTGAGACGAGATTGATCCATTACTTCATGCCAAGCTTGGAATTATCCGGGTCGATCTCGATATATTCAAGACTTTTTTTTCGACCAGTGGACAGCCTTTAGGAAACTGCCGAAGCTATTTTCAAAGAATTTTGTGTAAGTGACGGTTGAAAATAAAGGCACCAATATAGAAAGTATCATTACCTGGGTATATTAGATATATTTAACTACTAGGTATAAGTAAAAAAACTACGTTAACTATATAATTAAGAATAATTAAAATTAATAAATATATAATTTTTCTAAATTATAAACATATTAATTATTAAATATTAAATATTTATATAATTAAATTAATTAATAATTAAATTTATTTTATTTAATATATTGAAATTTGAAAATAAAAAAACATAAAAAAATCATTAATAATTAAAATATAATAAAATGATAAATATTAAAATTAATAAACAATTAATTATTTAAGCTATTTAAATTAATATAAAAACGTAAACTTATATATTTAATTAACTTAGGCTAAATTAAAAGGATTTTTATTAATTTATTTAAAAATTACTTTTTAATTTATTAATTTTATATTAAATTAAAAAATTAATTTTTAATCCGCTTTTAATTAATTTAATAAACTATTTTTTATTTAAGGATGTTTACTTAGTAAGTTTATTATTATAATTATAAAAGCTAGGTTATAATATAATATTTTTTTTATTAATTTTATTTTTAAAATTTTATTTTATTTAATATAAATATTTATTTTTATTTATTTTTTTATTAATATTTTTTTTATATAATATTTATTTTTTATTAATTATTATATTAAGTATTTATAAAAAATTTTATTTTAAAATAAAATATTATAATATTTTTTAAAAATTATTTTTTTTTATTTAATTAAAATAAAAAACTATATTTATGATTTTAATAAAAAAAATAATATTTTCTTAAATATTAAATATTTAAAAAAGATTTTATTTACTATATTAAATATATATAAAATAATAAATCTTTATATAATATATATTTTTTATTATTTATATAACTTTATAAAATTACTATATTTTATATTTAATTTAAAAATATTTTTAAAAAAGTAAAAAAGAGATATTATATTATTAATAAAAAAATTAAACATTTTCATAAATAAAAATATTTATAATTAAAGAAAATAACTTTTATAATTATATACAGTATTAATAACTTAAAAAAGTTAAATAGGGTTAAGTATAAAAAAGCGGAGGCTATTTATTAAGCTATAATATTATTACTTAATTTAATCAATTTTATAACTTTAAGTTTTATAATTAATACTGTTAATTAGGGTTAGTTTAATATTAATTTTTATTATTATTTTTTTTAAGTTTAGCTTTTAATAAAAATTATTAAAAATGTTTTTTAAATATTTAAGGTATTAAATAGGTTTTTATATATTTTTAATATTATTATAGTTTTTTTATTTTATTAAGTATTTAAGTTATTAAATTTTTTTATTAAATTTTATTATAGTAAATTTTTTAATATTATATTTAAGTTTTTTATTTCTAATAATAATTTATTTTTTTATAACTTAATTTATTTTTTTATTTATTAATGTTTTTTTTAATAGTATTATATTAATATTTATAAATGTTATAATAATAATATAATTATATTTTTTTATAAATATATATATTTTTTTAATAATATTTTTTTATTGATATTTTAATATTTTAATTATTTATTTATAAAAATATAAAATTAAAGTAACTTTTATTAAAATATTTATTTATTTTTCATATATTTATTATTTAAAGTAAAAAATTAAAAATTATAAAAATAAAATATTTAATTATAATATAAAATTATTAAATATTTAAAATAATATTATATAATAAAAGTTTAATATTATTTTAAATATTTAGTTTATTAATATTATTAATATTATTAACATAAGTTTTTTTAATAAATTTTTGTAATTAAAAAGTATTATATTTTTAACTTTTAATAAAC